TCATCCCCTGTGCCCTCTATCTCATTTTTTTTATTCAGTACTCGTATCTCTGCAACGGTATCCAAAACATCATGATAAATCCATTAGGTCAAGAGAAAAAAATCAATTACTGTGTCTAAATCTGTTTGACGTTAAATTGTAATTGAAGACCACAGAAAAAAATGTGTTGCTTTCGTCAAATCTCTCACAACCATTTAGTAGAATAAGTATATTGTGATCTCGGCTATTGTGAAGGATTATTTCAGAGTTCTGTATATCTTACAAACTGAAAAAAATAGTGAAATTTTCTTTTTTCAGTCCTTGCCGAATGAACAAAAAGAAGAGCCACATTAATGGTCTTTATTGGAGTCATTGTCTAAATTACTTTCATAATTCCTTAACTGAAAAAGTACTATGATAACTTTTGATTTTTTATATTAAAACAGCAGTACGTAAGGCTAGGAGAGACCAGATTTACTCCATGCATATCTAAATTCCTTGACCAAGTTCAAATGAAACGTCCACATCCTTCCTTGAGTTGCCTTTACCACCCAAATATTTGTATTTATAATTGTCCTAACTTTTCCAGTTCATTCTAAATTGATCTTGTATAATTATTTTAATACTTATATGGTATTTATCACTGTCGACCTTTAAACTGATCTCCTATCTATTTCACATCTCAGTGACAAATGTCTATGTACATATGTTGTGTGTCAAACAAGGAGTAATACATCTGATAATGATAATTTGAGTAGTTTTAATACGTTATTATTATTTTTAACCAGGTGGTAGTTTTTCCTGTGTTTTTATGATGAAATAACTTGAATTTTGAAATGATGTTTGCCGAACTTTTTTTCAATAGATACCAAGTTTGGATGTTGTACAATGTGCTGTAAACTGAAACTGTTTTACAAAAAAACTGAAAAATGTGAAGACGAATGACAAACTAGACGTGTTTATGAAACGCTATGTCCCCTGTTCCAACAAAATCAAAATCGCACATACAACACAAAAATAATGTGACCCCGATCTTTCGATCCGGGGACATAATGAATAAAAAATCCCCATATTAATTTTTTTCAATAGACGTTCTACTTCCTGTCACGTGCTCCTTTAACCTCCCAAGTATCCATGGTTAACATTTGTTTACATTTGGAACACCGTATATATTATAATCTTAATTGTATACTTATCATATTAACCACATCGTTTACTGTCGAACTTTCTTTCACCGGCCACTGATAAATCGGTACTGACGTGTGTTGTGTTACCAACAGGGACTCCGAAGTGATAGGTTGAGTAGTGATAAAAATACTATTGTCATTTTCAATCAGTTGATAGCTTTTTTCGGTTTGACAAGATAGCGTAAGTGCTAACTAGATAGATATGACATTTTCATACCAGATATTTCATTATTTTTTTAAAACAAAACAAATATTTTCTCAAAATTTTGTAGAATCTGGTGTAGTTTAATACGATTCGACCGAAAAATTAAGCAATTTGAAATATTTTTTCACAAAAAATTAGTAACTAATTAAATTTTTAATAGTTCGATGTTTATTTCGAAAGTTTTCAAGTTACACTTTCGTTCTATATCTAAACTTCAGTATATTCGATATTTAAAAAAACAAAAACAAAAACAAGAAAAATAAATAAAAAAAAAAAAATAACAAACCAAACAAACAAACTAATGTCGTTTCATTATCCACATCCATTCTCTAATCATCACAACTTTACGAAAATAGTCAGCAACAAGGGTGGCCTGTAGTACCTATCTACCAGGATAGAGCGCTGGGATTATATTGGTGTTACTGACTCGAATTACAATCAATTCCCCAGTAAATTGAGGTATCTGAACTTTTTGATGAGTTGTGGTTAAAAGTAATAAACAACTGTTGTCCTGGAAGGGTGAGCTATGTAAATCAATATTTCTACCTTATACTGAGAACCAAAAGTATCAACAACAAACCATCATCCATACCAGTCACGTTATATCAAACCATCCATACCAGTCACGTTATATCACACCATCATCCATACCAGTCACGTTATATCAAACCATCCATACCAGTCACGTTATATCAAACCATCATCCATACCAGTCACGTTATATCACACCATCCATACCAGTCACGTTATATCACACCATCCATACCAGTCACGTTATATCAAACCATCCATACCAGTCACGTTATATCAAACCACCATCCATACCAGTCACGTTATAACAAACCACCATCCATACCAGTCACGTTATATCAAACCATCCATACCAGTCACGTTATATCAAACCACCATCCATACCAGTCACGTTATAACAAACCACCATCCATACCAGTCACGTTATATCAAACCATCCATACCAGTCACGTTATATCAAACCATCCATACCAGTCACGTTATATCAAATCATCCATACCAGTCACGTTATATCACACCATCCATACCAGTCACGTTATATCAAACCATCCATACCAGTCACGTTATATCAAACCACCATCCATACCAGTCACGTTATATCAAACCATCCATACCAGTCACGTTATATCAAACCACCATCCATACCAGTCACGTTATATCAAACCATCCATACCAGTCACGTTATATCAAACCATCCATACCAGTCACGTTATATCACACCATCCATACCAGTCACGTTATATCACACCATCCATACCAGTCACGTTATATCAAACCATCCATACCAGTCACGTTATATCAAACCACCATCCATACCAGTCACGTTATATCAAACCATCCATACCAGTCACGTTATATCAAACCACCATCCATACCAGTCACGTTATATCACACCATCCATACCAGTCACGTTATATCACACCATCCATACCAGTCACGTTATATCACACCATCCATACCAGTCACGTTATATCACACCATCCATACCAGTCACGTTATATCAAACCATTCATACCAGTCACGTTATATCAAACCATCCATACCAGTCACGTTATATCAAACCACCATCCATACCAGTCACGTTATATCAAACCATCCATACCAGTCACGTTATATCACACCATCCATACCAGTCACGTTATATCAAACCATCCATACCAGTCACGTTATATCACACCATCCATACCAGTCACGTTATATCAAACCATCCATACCAGTCACGTTATATCAAACCATCCATACCAGTCACGTTATATCAAACCACCATACCAGTCACGTTATATCAAACACCAGTCACGTTATATCAAACCATCCATACCAGTCACGTTATATCACACCATCCATACCAGTCACGTTATATCAAACCATCCATACCAGTCACGTTATATCAAACCATCCATACCAGTCACGTTATATCAAACCATCCATACCAGTCACGTTATATCACACCATCCATACCAGTCACGTTATATCAAACCATCCATACCAGTCACGTTATATCAAACCATCCATACCAGTCACGTTATATCAAACCATCCATACCAGTCACGTTATATCAAACCATCATCCATACCAGTCACGTTATATCAAACCATCCATACCAGTCACGTTATATCAAACCACCATCACGTACTATCAAACCATCCATACCAGTCACGTTATATCAAACCATCCATACCAGTCACGTTATATCAAACCATCCATACCAGTCGTTATATCACACCATCCATACCAGTCACGTTATATCAAACCATCCATACCAGTCACGTTATATCAAACCATCCATACCAGTCACGTTATATCAAACCATACATACCAGTCACGTTATATCACACCATCATCCATACCAGTCACGTTATATCAAACCATCCATACCAGTCACGTTATATCAAATCATCCATACCAGTCACGTTATATCAAACCATCCATACCAGTCACGTTATATCAAACCACCATCCATACCAGTCACGTTATATCAAACCATCCATACCAGTCACGTTATATCACACCATCCATACCAGTCACGTTATATCAAACCATCCATACCAGTCACGTTATATCAAACCATCATCCATACCAGTCACGTTATATCAAACCATCCATACCAGTCACGTTATATCAAACCATCCATACCAGTCACGTTATATCACACCATCCATACCAGTCACGTTATATCAAACCATCCATACCAGTCACGTTATATCAAACCACCATCCATACCAGTCACGTTATATCACACCATCCATACCAGTCACGTTATATCAAATCATCCATACCAGTCACGTTATATCACACCATCCATACCAGTCATGTTATATCAAACCATCCATACCAGTCACGTTATATCACACCATCCATACCAGTCACGTTATATCAAACCATCCATACCAGTCACGTTATATCAAATCATCCATACCAGTCACGTTATATCACACCATCCATACCAGTCATGTTATATCAAACCATCCATACCAGTCACGTTATATCACACCATCCATACCAGTCACGTTATATCAAACCATCCATACCAGTCACGTTATATCAAATCATCCATACCAGTCACGTTATATCACACCATCATCCATACCAGTCACGTTATATCACACCATCATCCATACCAGTCACGTTATATCACACCATCCATACCAGTCACGTTATATCATGATCTAAGATAATTATGATATAATTAATAGAATTAAGATGAATATTGAAATACCACGGTCTGTTAGTTTCATATCCTTGTTGCTCTATTCAGTACAGAGTCGTTCTGATCAAATCAAGGCATTTTACCGTAAACCTCACTTAAACAAATGATATATATATGCAATATAAGTTCCCCCACCCCCCGGTCACTTCAGATACACCAAAGGTTACAAATTATTGATAATTAAACAGATTGTGCCGTTTAAGCTTATATACGTATGCGATGTTGAAAATAGAAGCCATTACGTGTGATGCCACTGAGTCTCCAATACATTTGTATCCCCGTCATTCTTCACACGATATCAGTGTACGAGAGCTTGATCACAAGGTTGTAATCGAACGCGCCTAATTTGAAGTTGAGGTCACTGACATCTACCGGTACGTGTGCACGGTGTGCGTGTGTGTGTTTCATACGAACTGGTTTAAATAGCGCAGTGTAATACTTAAGTCAGATGGCTTGTGGGACAGTGTCGAGAAAACATGTACCTGAGGATATGACGGTGGGGTTCATCGGGGCAGGCAGGATGGCCCAGGCCATGGCTAAGGGCTTCATTTCTACAGGTAAGTCGTTTGACACGTGAGAATGCATCAATACAGTTAAATATGAATTACGCAGTTATGTCAGTTCTGTTCGAACTCTGTTTCCCGGTCGAATACCCTTAAACAGACCCCACAATAAATACGATGATGCAACATTCGGTATAGCAGGTTTTGTACAAACAGCTGATCGGAGCGTCCGATACGCACGCAAAAAATAGAGGTTAGGATCGACTCAAAAAGAACACGAAACTGCAATGATTTATTTTTGTGAAGAGTAATGAACTGTTCTGAAAACCTGTCTACAAAAAATGCGTTTACAATATATGTAATAAGTTATCGTTTGAATATTTATGTACAATGACTGGAAGTGGGGTTTACAGTAATATGTATTATCACTGAATTTTAAACGTATATTATCATATCGCCAATAGATATTGAGATATCGTTTTAAACCCCATACTCAAACGGGATTTACTTTACATAATAATTTAGGCTTAAATTAATTCATAAATCAATCGGGAGTAAGATGCCTATTTTCCGTGCTAAACCTGTAGTTATAAGCCTACGTTGTCAGATACACCATAATTATGTAAACTTAAACATAAGCGTATCATGATGATCACCAAACCAAATATAAGTATGTAGATGTTCGGGTAGATAGCTGAACAAAATTGTCATGTGATGTAATTTCTGCTAAGAAAGCAAATTCCATCAGATGGGCTCTTTATTTTTTATTATTATTTGAACAAATTTGATTTGATGTTATGTCAGCATTTACATTGTAAAATTAATAAATTTAATGGATTTTCTGAAAATGACATGGATCTTTATTCGATTATATTTCGCTTCAAAACGCTATAACATATACGTCACTGGTTACAGCAAAAGCTAAAACTTGAACTCTGAATAGTCATATCTTAGTCACTGAAATCGGACAGGAAATAACTTGAAGACTTGACCTGGTCTTACACACAGAAAAATCAGTTTTGAACACATACAACAGACGTCTGTCATCATTGTAAGGAACGTTACAACACCATGTCAATGATGACGCAATCGACGAAATGGGAGATGTTTTATCAAACAGGTGACAGGCCTATATTTACATGTATACCAATAGATTAACTTGATAACTATCTCTCCCTAAAAATGTTGCTTCAGACTGTTGACCGTTTCTATAACTTAGATTTTTTGAAGTCCACATAGCTGTTTGTACTAGTCATGTTTCTGATCGATTTTAACAAGCTAAAAGGCAAAACTAGGCCACTCAAACTACGTGATGATGCAATCAGAAGTAGTGGTCATACCTCTGAACAGAACCTATGATGCAACCAAACTTTCAGCTTACTCAGCATTTGTGCCGGAACAAAATGTCACCCCCTCCCTCCGTCAGTCTGACGGAGTCGTACCGTAAAATAACGCGTCTTTGAAAAATGCTTCTTAAAATGACAAATGATGGTAATTATTTTCAAAATTATTATTTAAAGTCAAAATGAAATCGTTTTGAATGACAGAACAATATTACAAGTGTTTGTAATTATTACTGTTACAGGTTTACCAGTGTCTTGTTTTTGTGTTACATCTGTCTAAACAGAGCAGAACAGCATGAACACACGATGAAGTAGGATAACGACTGTCTCACAAGGTGAAACATATCTTATCTATTTACTCAGTAAAAGTTTACAACCTTTGCATTCTCTAAGTAGGTAACTACGAACATTATGATACAGGTCATTGTGTAAAGGTCAGCGGTTACATGGCTCGAGCTTACGGACCGTGTTGAGAACGTGTCTATGAACTGAAAGCGGTGAATACTTGATTTTTTACCTTCAAGTTACACAGTGTTCCAGTATTTTATTAATTGATAAATAAATAAATTTGTTTGTTTATTTATCTCGACTCACTTCAGTATACATGATAAAGATATACCAGTACAATAAATATATAATTATATAACCAGTCTACACTAAACAAACATGTCCATGTTATAACACATTTGATTTAAAATGAGTTATTCAACATTTAATTATTAAAGAGGATTTAAATATAGAATTCGTTTTCACATATAACTTCATTTTACAGTTTGGTTTAAAAATTACTCACACATTTATACAATTACGCCGTAATAGATCGTTATTTGAGATACAGCCATACACTGGTTCAATGTCTATAAAACAAACAATATATATGGCTTTGAAGTTGTAAGGATTCGGTAACATGTGACACTATATTAACATACCACAGAGTGCAGGTGCTTTCCTCTTCCTGAGAAAATGTTAATCGCAATATACCATTCGACCAGAGAGAACGATCGGTTGAACGTCAGACCGGTAAGCCTGAGATCCCGAGTTCGAATTCCGACAACGGAACATAGGGACCCAGGAATAACACTCAGCGTTACAATATACTTTCATCAACATCAACGTTACCCCAGGAAACTCGAGGACAAGTTCATTCATTCCTTGAGGGAAGTACGTAATCCTGGTTAATACTGGCCACAATATGCAGCTCGGCTAGAGAGAATTTCTCTTAAGATCGATGGGTTGAGTGTCAGACGAGTAAGCCAGGGGTCTCAGGTTCGAATCTAAGCTGACGTATGGAAATGGATAAGGACCTCTGTTACGTAGTGATATTGTAACACCCATGTATAATGTTATTGGCATGAAGTAAATAGCGTTCACAGTGATTAAGAAAATAATAATGATTTAAACAAGAGGCAAAATGGTCCTTAATAGTTAATACGTTCTTCAACATATAAAGAGACTAAATTAGAACACGAATCTTTTATGAGAAAATTAACGTTCGTCCGAATTCCGGGCCCCATACCTCGTATTTATACAGTATATATATATATATATTTAAGGCAAAATGAGATCAACAATACAGAGCTCTTCCATGTCAACAATACGGAGCTCATTCCCGATCAACAATACAGAGCTCTTACCGATCAACAATACAAAGCTCTTCCAGATCAACAATACGGAGCTCTTCCAGATCAACAATACAGAGCTCTTCCAGATCAACATAACAGAGCTTATTCCAGATCAACAATACAGAGCTCTTCCAGATCAACAATACAGAGCTCTTCCAGATCAACAATACGGAGCTCTTCCAGATCAACAATACGGAGCTCTTCCAGATCAACAATACAGAGCTCTTCCAGATCAACAATACATAGCTCTTCCAGATCAACAATACATAGCTCTTCCAGATCAACCCTACGGAGCTCTTCCAGATCAACAATACAGAGCTCTTCAAGATCAACAATACATAGCTCTTCCAGATCAACCCTACGGAGCTCTTCCAGATCAACAATACATGGCTCTTCCAGATCAACAATACATAGCTCTTCCAGATCAACCCTACGGAGCTCTTCAAGATCAAAAATACAGAGCTCTTCAAGATCAAGAATACAGAGCTCTTCAAGATCAACAATACATAGCTCTTCCAGATCAACAATACGGAGCTCTTCCAGATCAAGAATACGGAGCTCTTCAAGATCAAAAATACAGAGCTCTTCCAGATCAACAATACGGAGCTCTTCCAGATCAACAATACATAGCTCTTCCAGATCAACAATACATAGCTCTTCCAGATCAACCCTACGGAGCTCTTCCAGATCAACCCTACGGAGCTCTTCCAGATCAACAATACATAGCTCTTCCAGATCAACCCTACGGAGCTCTTCCAGATCAACAATACGGAGCTCTTCCAGATCAACAATACATAGCTCTTCCAGATCAACCCTACGGAGCTCTTCCAGATCAACAATACATAGCTCTTCCAGATCAACAATACAGAGCTCTTCCAGATCAACAATACATAGCTCTTCCAGATCAACAATACATAGCTCTTCCAGATCAACCCTACGGAGCTCTTCCAGATCAACAATACATGGCTCTTCCAGATCAACCCTACGGAGCTCTTCCAGATCAACCCTACGGAGCTCTTCCAGATCAACAATACGGAGCTCTTCCAGATCAACAATACATAGCTCTTCCAGATCAACAATACATAGCTCTTCCAGATCAACAATACGGAGCTCTTCCAGATCAACAATACATAGCTCTTCCAGATCAACAATACATGGCTCTTCCAGATCAACCCTAATGAGCTCTTCCAGATCAACAATACATGGCTCTTCCAGATCAACCCTACGGAGCTCTTCCAGATCAACAATACATAGCTCTTCCGGATCAACCCTACGGAGCTCTTCCAGATCAACAATACGGAGCTCTTCCAGATCAACAATACATAGCTCTTCCAGATCAACAATACATAGCTCTTCCAGATCAACCCTACGGATCAACCCTACGGAAAATAATAATGATTTAAACAAGAGGCAAAATGGTCCTTAATAGTTAATACGTTCTTCAACATATAAAGAGACTAAATTAGAACACGAATCTTTTATGAGAAAATTAACGTTCGTCCGAATACGGGCCCCATACCTCGTATTTATACAGTATATATATATATATATTTAAGGCAAAATGAGATCAACAATACAGAGCTCTTCCATGTCAACAATACGGAGCTCATTCCCGATCAACAATACAGAGCTCTTACCGATCAACAATACAAAGCTCTTCCAGATCAACAATACGGAGCTCTTCCAGATCAACAATACATAGCTCTTCCAGATCAACAATACATAGCTCTTCCAGATCAACATAACAGAGCTCTTCCAGATCAACAATACATAGCTCTTCCAGATCAACAATACATAGCTCTTCCAGATCAACAATACATAGCTCTTCCAGATCAACAATACGGAGCTCTTCCAGATCAACAATACATAGCTCTTCCAGATCAACAATACGGAGCTCTTCCAGATCAACAATACATGGCTCTTCCAGATCAACAATACCAGATCAACCCTACGGAGCTCTTCCAGATCAACAATACATGGCTCTTCCAGATCAACCCTACGGAGCTCTTCCAGATCAACAATACATGGCTCTTCCAGATCAACCCTACGGAGCTCTTCAAGATCAACAATACGGAGCTCTTCAAGATCAAAAATACAGAGCTCTTACCGATCAACAATAAGGAGCTCTTCCAGATCAACAATACAGAGCTCTTCCAGATCAACAATACGGAGCTCTTCAAGATCAAAAATACAGAGCTCTTCTAGATCAACAATAAGGAGCTCTTCCAGATGAATCCTTTGGAGGTCTACCATGTCAACAGTACAGAGCTTTTCCACAGATCACAGTAACGTTCAAATCAGCCAACTTCACCCCTCATCCTCCCGGCCAGATTGGTGTTTGATTAACATATAGTTTTGTTTTCTAAATAAGACCAGTAACGATATCATTTTATGATAAAAGTCCTATAAAATACCTGGTATATATACATGTCCCACACTGATTGTCTGTGTATGTTATTCTTTTAGGGATCTTGAAAGCATCAAACATTGTTGCCAGTGACCCGGACCCTCGATGTCTACAGTCCATTCAGGTAAGTTTATACACGTTGATTTTCTAATACAGTCTGACATTGTGGAGCATCACAACTATCACTTTAATCTGCTTTCCCCTTCCCACAAGTAAACATGATTACTTAAATACATCATCTAAAATTCACTTTCCTCCCACGAGGAGTTATCTGTATTTCCTTTTGATTCTAGATATCCGGTTCATTCTTTTTATCAATTCTGATGTTTACTTTTATATCAACAGAATTTGTTGCATTTTTACGAGTGACCATGACCTTTACTACGTGTATCTTCTTTTTTCACTTGAAACCTTGAACTTGTAGAGTATGGGCGTCAACATCACGGACGACAATCTTAAGGTTGTTGCAGACAGTCAGCTAGTGGTTTTGGCGGTAAAACCTCATGTGATCACTCCCGTCCTAAAACAGGTTTCATCCTCATTCTCTCGCGATAAACTCATGGTCTCCATCGCTGCTGGGATTACATTATCAACATTAGAAGAGGTAGGACATACTTAAAATCATTTATTCAATCTTAGGAATATAAGTATTTATTTTAAAACATTTTCAACACTTGTTGCCTACATATAGGTTGTATTAACAAATAAACTGAGGCAACACTAAAATATAACATTTGTTTTCAATAGTAAACACAACGTACCTTTTTGTAAATCCATTTTAAGGACCCCAATGGAAATAAGGGTGTTAACGCTTTTGGGGAAATCGTAGGATATATGTACTTTTGTCTTTATTAATAATTATAACTAGCTGATACATTAAAGATATAGTTAACAACTTATTCCTGAGTATGTATAACATGCTATATGTGCCATATATTCATATGTTTTGTATACAAACATGTACATATTTTTCCTGAATAAATTTGTTATTATTATTACCCTAAATAATGAGTTGATGATTGTATTGACAGAATCTACTCCCATCAACACGCGTGGTGCGTGTGATGCCCAACACTCCCGCTCTAGTTCAGGCGGGAGCGTCTGTCCTCGCCCCAGGGTCGGGTGCCTTGTCAGGTGATCCAGCGCTAGTATCCGAGCTGCTTAGCTGTATTGGAATCTGTGAATCGAGTACTGAGGGACTTCTAGACGCTGTCACGGGACTGAGCGGAAGTGGACCTGCCTATGTAAGTAATCCCATTTATGTCACGTGTTCACGTGGTCAAAATCTACGCCAAATTAAGGCATCCATACGGGAGGAGAAGGATTTTAAATAATCTAATGTAATTGCCCTATTCAATGGGTCATGTTCCTCCCGCCTCAGGCGGCCGAAACTAACCGTTCATACTAAATCGATTCCCTTTCACCCAAGAATGCTTCAGACCAGATTTGGGCAAAGTTCAAGCATTCATACCGAAATATAAGGAGTTCAAAGAACTGGTTCAATGTGTCCTTTTGGTCCCGCCCAGCAGCCCATCATTTATGCAAAAAAATGTTCATAACATAAGCGATTTGTAGAAAAAATTTACAGGCAGACGGACGGATGACGGATGCTGCGGTAACTACGGTATGCCTTAAGCTCACTTAATCCTTCGGACAAGATAAGTTGAAATTATAAAATCTAGTAAACCTCCAGATCTAGATTTCGACATTTCTTGCCATCAATTTTTGTTTTATTCGCCCCTAGGCTTCAAAACTTGAAGTCCATAGCATCACTAACAAATTCTAGAACGACGAACAGCTTATGATGGAGTTTACTTCATTTTTACGGTCTACTGTATCTAATTCTAAATTTGTATTGAAATCATCTGTTCACTTAGTTGTCGCTTATACAATTCACGGATAGTTCATGTATGCTGTATCACGTTAAGTCATCCTTGCGTTTCAGCCCTCTCTCTTTTACGTTGCTAGGCATTCGTTGCTATAGAAGCGTTGGCTGATGGCGGCGTTAAGATGGGACTCCCTCGGGATCTGGCAGTCAAGCTAGCTGCCCAAACACTTCTGGTAAATACTGCAAATGTTTTGTTCTAGATTTGAAATAACGTGTATTAAATAAGATAAAAGATGGCAGCCATATTGAATAACTCGACTGTTTCCTTTTCTTCTATTTTCATGTAACCATATTATTTTCTGTGCATATACTTTTGTTTGTAATGTTATAATTGTTCCATGGGGTGGTGTTACGTCGTAAGTAATCCCGCCTTGGTAACACAATACATCCCATGGGTTCATATGTTCAGTATAAATCACGACCGGTATTTATGTGTGACAGGGGGGTGAAGTATGACAGATATCACGACCTTAATTTGTGTGACAAGAGTGTAAATTACGAAAGACATTTGTGTGATGAGAGGGTGAATTATGACCAGTATTTTTGTGACGAGGGCAAACCAGGTCCGATATTTTCATGGCAAGAGCGAGAATCACGACCGTTATTTGTGTGACTAGAGGGTAAAATCATGACAGGTATTTATTTGACAGGAGGGTGAATTATGACCGGTATTTGTTTGACAGGAGGGTGAATTATGACCGGTATTTGTTTGACAGGAGGGTGAATCATGACCGATATTTGTTTGACAGGAGTTTGAATTACGACCAGTATTTGTTTGACAGGAGGGTGAATTATGACCGGTATTTGTTTGATAGGAGGGTGAATTATGACCGGTATTTGCTTGACAGGAGGGTGAATTACGACCGGTATTTGTTTGACAGGAGGGTGAATTACGACCGGTATTTGTTTTACAGGAGGGTGAATTACGACCGGTATTTGTTTGACAGGAGGGTGAATTATGGCCGGTATTTATTTGACAGGAGGATGAATTATGACCGGTATTTGTTTGACAGGAGTTTGAATTATGACCGGTATTTGTTTGACAGGAGGGTGAATTATGGCCGGTATTTGTTTGACAGGAGGGTGAATTATGACCGGTATTTGTTTGACAGGAGGGTGAATTATGACAGGAGGGTGAATTATGACAGGAATTTGTTTGACAGGAGGGTGAATTATGACAGGTATTTGTTTGACAGGAGGGTGAATTATGACAGGAATTTGTTTCACAGGAGGGTGAATCATGACCGATATTTGTTTGACAGGAGTTTGAATTATGACCGGTATTTGTTTGACAGGAGGGTGAATTATGACCGGTATTTGTTTGACAGGAGTTTGAATTATGACCGGTATTTGTTTGACAGGAGGGTGAATTATGACCGGTATTTGTTTGACAGGAGGGTGAATTATGACAGGAATTTGTTTGACAGGAGGGTGAATTATGACAGGTATTTGTTTGACAGGAGGGTGAATTATGACAGGAATTTGTTTGACAGGAGGGTGAATCATGACCGATATTTGTTTGACAGGAGGGTGAATTATGACCGGTATTTGTTTGACAGGAGGGTGAATTACGACCGGTATTTGTTTGACAGGAATGTGAATTACGACCGGTATTTGTTTGACAGGAGGGTGAATTATGACCGGTATTTGTTTGACAGGAGGGTGAATTATGACCGGTATTTGTTTGACAGGAGGGTGAATTATGACCGGTATTTGTTTGACAGGAGGGTGAATTATGACCGGTATTTGTTTGACAGGAGGGTGAATTATGATTGGTATTTATTTGACAGAAGGGTAAATTACGACCGATATTTGTGTTACGAGAGGATGAATTACGACAGGTATTTAAGTGTGTATGTGAAAAGGCGATAAATTGCGACTGGTATTTTCATGCTTGGCAAAAGGTTGACTCACGACAGATAGTCATGTGTGTATGACTAGAAAACATTAACATGTCAGACAGATTTCATTTTCTTAAGTCACACATATTGTGTCTTACGTCTTGGATATCTGTGGAAAACGTATAATTTCCATGATTGATCTCCAAACTGTGCTAATAATTTTTCAGGGAGCTGCAAAAATGGTCCTAGAAACGGGCAAAAATCCTGGTCAGTTAAAGGACGAAGTTTGCTCACCAGGCGGCACCACCATTGCTGCTGTGCATAAACTGGAGAAAGGCGGGTTCCGAGGTGCCCTTATTGACGCCGTAGAAGCTGCTACACTAAAGGCTACCGAACTAGGGGCTAAAAAATGAAATCAATATATAATACAGATGTGTAACCAGAAAGGGTGATCGACGCTGGGAATGAGAATAACACGAAATTTAAACAACCGTTGTTAAGACGACGCGACACACACCATGCCCATATATGGCTGGCAGTGAGAATTTGGCCATCACCAGATCACGTGAAAGGTCTCGATCCAGTGAACGATGACTAGGTGTAAAGAAGTGAACCCATTGGTCATCCATGGTCACGTGTCAAAGTTGACATTTCTGTTTTTATATATAAGAAAACCTGGAAGGACTATTTGATATTATTATGTTGTATAAGAAATAATACAAACAAGATGCCGCAAAGCGTGGCATTATCCCCCGCGCACAGGTGTTGGTACGGAACCCAAATATGCTATATATAGCACTGTAATAATTTGAGACTTCACACACTTATGTATCAGTACTTTACACGTGAAGGTCTATTACAGTGAAAGCACTAGTAGAAAATAATAAACTCACATCTCCTCAACTTCAACATTATAGATATATATATAGAGATATAATTGAAAATATAGAATCAACACAACAAATGTGTTTCAGTAATGTTTTCAGGCATAACAGCTATCTTCAGGCGATACAGTTATTATAATGCCTTGGTAACCACAGCATGATGCAATAAACAGCATATGGCAGAAGGGGAGATAATAAGTCCATTGCAGTATATCAACATTAATTTGTAAGACACATCGTACCAGTCAAATATGTAACATTTTAAGAATTAAGTGGTTTTTATCTGATATGTCAACTTTATAGCAACAGTTTATATCTTAGTGTAGATCTTTTGTGTTTGACTGTTGATAAATGAATAAAGGTTAGTAATGTCCATGAACAAATTTATGCAATACTCTATAAATCCTGGAGTAATACAAGAAGTCATAAAAAATCGAAAAAAATGCAGAAATGATACAACATATACGGCTGATATTTTAAAGACAAGAATTCCACAGAAATGCATGTGTCACCTGGCCCAGCAAGGTTTCTGGAGACGAGTCCTAAGGAAATCTAGCTATAGATATTCATTGTATGAATTCCATTTTGATAATTTTCCCATGGCTTTCGATGGAACCGAATGCCAAGGACAAATTTTCCTATGGCAGTTTGACACTGTGGAATTTAGTGTTAGATAACTTTTCAGCATAATCCATTGCAATCTTTACTTCATATAAGTACATTTATGAGAGTAAACTAAATAACAGTTTACAATCTCAATCCTACTCTATCTGACATTGCCTTTTGACATTTGACTTTAAAAATGAATAATACCAAACGGTTTGGTTTTCAGTTTACAGTAAGAGCAACATATACTTTTGACTTTCGAACATAAAGAGCAATCTCAAGCAAGCATCTTTGGTAAGGAAGCACTGTATGAAGTTGGAGTTGATAAGCAGTTGTTTGGATAACCACTGCACAGATCTAGATTATAATGTGTTGATAAATGTCCAGATGTGTAAGTAACTATTTTGTAATTATTATATAAAGATTCTAAATATTTCATAAACAAATCCGAAGCTTTAATAAAAATGACACTGTTTCATCATATAGTGTGACATGACATAAGGGCAGGGGATGGACATGGACAACACTATATGGAGCAATGGGATACTTGATACTGTATTAAAGAATATGCTTTAGGTAAATATACCTCCTACAACATTGACAGCTTTCCCCACACAACATGATGATCTGAATAGTTTAGAGGGAAGGATCCAGTTGTTGCTGAACCAGGCGAGGAAATCCAAATCTCCACCATGGGTATGAGTTGGTTCCTTTATAAACTGTATGAGTCCATATTTCTCCACCATTTGTTCGAAATGAGTAGCTTCACGTTCATTTTGGTGTAGGTTGAAATCTCCTGTCAAAACTGTTAGACATTGACCAAGAGGCAAGCTTTGCAGATAATGATCTAGCTGATTGATAAATGTTTTACATTCAGTAGTTGGTGGTTTATATGTGACAACCACAAGTAGTTTTATTTGAGTGTGGACGATGCAAGCCATTGCTTGAAGTGTACTTGATGGTAGGGGAAAATCACGATGAGCAATGTCTTCTTTGATGAAAATGCCAAGTCCATGGTGAGTATTTGAAAGATCTGTTGAATATCCTAGCAGTGTATACTGGTCTTGAGATGGATTGTGTGGTAGATGGGTTTCACATACACAGAAAACACGGGAAAAACAAACAGATTTGTCAGCCTGTATGTCTTTGCATTGTTTAGGTAAGGAGCGAACATTGAGATGAGCCAGAACTACACCTTCAGGAGAGAATGATACCAAATCGTTCTTCCACTGGAAAGAGTTTTCATCTCGCAACCGCTGCATCTCTTCTAACGCACTTTTATTTACTTTAATCTTTTCCTTTGCAAAAGCTGTAAGTTTTAGTCCAGCTCTGCAATGGCACGACTCAACATGGTGTAAACATGTTTTTGTGGTATTGGAGTATTTGGGTGTAGCACAGTGAGATCACCATGCATGTACTTGTAGGTGCTGTCTTGTGATTTGTGGACTGTGAGGCCAAATGCAAGTACACCAGGAAATTGCTTGCGTTCAACAGGAACTGATGTCTTCTTAGCTAACATAAACTGGGACGTCACAACTTTTACCGGAACACAGTGTGACAGATGAGGAGGTACCACAGTTTTCATTATCAAATTTCACATAAATTGTTCCCTGCAATGGATCAGCTATATCAATGTTCTTGGTCAACATGAGTCTGCAACCTACTGCCACTTGAAGCTCTGAAGGCAAGTTCCCTGTTTCATATATGTTGTTGCTCGTTATTGTAACTTGTGAAGAATTAGTATAAAGCTCCTTCTTACTGTCGTGTGCAAGGACTGTGATAACAGGTGTGTCAAATGAGCGCAATTTGGCCACATTGTAGTCTGCAGTTTGCTTGTTAGTGAAAAACAGATGGACAACATCAGTAGGGAAAGTGGCAGTATCAGTATTTTCTAGTAGGTGCAAGTTTGTGACAACCTAATCTTTTATTTGTCCCACACGAATTCTGCAAACTCTGGATCTAATTTATGTCAGTTCATGCAAACAGAAATGACGAACCCACAAGGAGCCATAAAGTACGCTATAAATGTCTGATGTGGATTTAAAAACTGGGAGGTCTCCAACAGGGTTTAGTTGTAGTAGGTCACCGACTGCAAGAATAGACATTCCTCCAAATGGAACACTGTGTCTTTGAAGTATATCTTGTAGAGCCGAGAGAGATGGTTGAGTGATCTTGCTCTTAACATTGATATTTCATCTATGATAATGATTTTTAGATTCACAAAGTGATCTAAGGGTGTTTAGTTTAATATGTGCAGAAAGTTTTGTGAAGTTGAGTGGAACAGTTTGGAAGAAATAGCCTGGAAAAGCCTCTTTTTAGCCCACCATCTGATAGATGGTGGGTTATTCAAATCGCCCTGCTCCGTGGTCCGTCCGTCCGTCCGTAAACAATTCTTGTTACCGCTATTTCTGGAAAAGTACGGGATGGATCTTTCTCAAATTTCATATGCATGTTCCCCTTGGTCCCTAGTTGTGCATTGTACCTTTTTTGGACTGATTCGAATTCAAGATGGCCGACAGGTGGCCATCTTGTATTTTGGATGTAAAAGTTTGTTACTGCTATTTCTTGGAAAGTACTGGATAGATCTTTCTCAAATTCCATATGCAGTTTCCCCTTGGTCCCTAGTTGTGCATTGTACCTTTTTTGAACTGATTCGAATTCAAGATGGCCGACATGCAGCCATCTTGGATTTTGGAAGTAAAAGTTTGTTACTGCTATTTCTTGGAAAGTACTGGATAGATCTTTCTCAAATTCCATATGCAGTTTCCCTTGGTCCCTAGTTGTGCATTGTACCTTTTTTGAACTGATTCGAATTCAAGATGGCCGACATGCAGCCATCTTGGATTTTGGAAGTAAAAGTTTGTTACTGCTATTTCTTGGAAAGTACTGAATGGATCTTTCTCAAATTTCATATGCAGTTTCCCCTTAGTCCCTAGTTTTGCATTGTACCTATTTTGGACTGATTCGAATTCAAGATGGCCGACAGGTGGCCATCTTGGATTTTGAATGTAAATGTTTGTTACTGCTATTTCTTGGAAAGTACTGAATGGATCTTTCTCAAATTTCATATGCAGGTTCCCTTTGGTTCCAAGTTGTTCATTATACCTTTTTGAACTGATCCGAAATCAAGATGGCTGACAGGCAGCCATCTTGGATTTTGAGAGTAAAATCTTGTTACAGCTATATCTGAGGAAGTACTGGATGGATCCTTCTGATATTTCATAGATATTGGTTTCCCTTGGTCCCTAGTTGTGCATTGTACCTTTTTTGGACTGATTTGAAATTAAGGTGGCCCACAGGCAGCCATCTTGGATGTCGACTGTAATACAGCACAAGCATATTGTCCATTATCCACCTGTAACTGACTGCTATCTAATAATACTTTGGGATCTTTTTCAAATGATATTTGCTAATAGGTGCTTAATAAAAAATATCTTGTGCCATCATTGAGTACATTCAATGAAGACCAGTTCATGAACATTTACAACACCTGTAACAAACAAAAATAAATAAATAAATAAACAAATCTTCAAGAACTGAAAACAGATCCTCAAATGGTGGGCGCCAAGACCCCACTGGGATCTCTTGTTGTGTTATCTGACTATTTTCCCATGGAAACAGAAAAAAAATGATATAAAGTGAAATGACGGCAATAGCAAAAGGCACAAATAGGGCACCCTCTTAATATGTGCAGAAAGTTTAATGAAGTTGAGTGGAACGGTTTGGAAGTTATAGCCCGGAAAAGCCCTCTTGGTGTTTTCTGATTATGTTTCCATGGTAACAAAAAAAAATATATGAGAAATGTCGACAATAGCAAAAGGCACAATTAGGGCAATGACTTAATATATACAGAAAGTTTTGTGAAGTTGAGTTGAACGGTTTGGAAGTTATAGCTCGGAAAAGCTCTCTTTTGGTGTTTTCTATGTTTCCATGGTAACAGAAAAAAAATATAAAAAATAATATGTCGACAATAGCAAAAGGCACAATTAGGGCAATGACTTTATAGATACAGAAAGTTTTGTGAAGTTGAGTTGAACGGTTTGGAAGTTATAGCTCGGAAAAACTCTCTTTTGGTGTTTTCTGACTATGTTTCCATGGTAACAGAAAAAAAAATATAAAAAATGATATGTCGACAATAGCAAAAGGTACAACTAGGGCAATGACTTAATATATACAGAAAGTTTTGTGAAGTTGAATTGAACTGTTTCGAAGTTATAACCCGGAAAAGCCCTCTTTTGGTGTTTTCTGACTGTTCCATGGTAACAGAAAAAAATATAAAAAGTGAAATGTCGCCATTAGCAAAAGGTTCAACTAGGGCACCAACTTAATATATATAGGAAGTTTTGTGAAGTTGAGTTGAACGGTTTCGAAGTTATAGCCCGGAAAAGCACTTGGACGGACGGAGCCCAATTTAATATCCCCTGCAAACGCGTTTCGCGGGGGATAATTAAAGAAACATTGGCACTACGTGTTGACTGTCGATGTACTCAACACCCCTCCACACCACATCATAATTTGTTTGATGGGATTATCTGGGCATGTGTCCATATAGATGGTTATTATCTTAATGAATAATATGCGGAAAATCCACCACGAGGTATTTATAGTGCATATCCCGTTTCCCCGAGAGGGACAAACTGCTCCACAAAGGGATGAACTACACATTTCGAATCTCGATCCTCTATCCGCTGAACTCGAATCGAAACTCCACTCCAACAGTAAATCATAAAGATACAAGGTTGGCATTCTTTACTCCTTATTTCACCAGGTGTAACTGTACGTATGTTATTCGAACTGAGGGTACTTGTATATACCATGTTTTGATTATTGTCAGCACAGTAACAAACCTAACAGGGCAAGTCAACACAGTAACAAACCTAACAGGGTAAGTCAACACAGCAACAAACCTAACGGGGCAAGTCAACACAGTAACAAACCTAACGGGGTAAGTCAACACAGTAACAAACCTAACGGGGCAAGTCAACAAAGCAACAAACCTAACGGGGCAAGTCAACACAGCAACAAACCTAACGGGGCAAGTCAACACAGCAACAAACCTAACAGGGCAAGTCATCACAGTAACAAACCTAACGGGGCAAGTCAACACAGCAACAAACCTAACGGGGCAAGTCAACACAGCAACAAACCTAACGGGGCAAGTCAACACAGCAACAAACCTAACAGGGCAAGTCAACACAGCAACAAACCTACCAGGGCAAGTCAGCACAGCAACAAACCTAACAGGGTAAGTCAACACAGCAACAAACCTAACAGGGCAAGTCAGCACAGCAACAAACCTAACAGGACAAGTCAACACAGTAACAAACCTAACAGGGTTAGTCAGCACAGTAACAAACCTAACAGGGTAAGTCAACACAACAACAAACCTAACAGGGCAAGTCAGCACAGCAACAAACCTAACAGGGTAAGTCAGCACAGCAACAAACCTAACGGGGCAAGTCAGCACAGCAACAAACCTAACGGGGCAAGTCAGCACAGCAACAAACCTAAAAGGGCAAGTCATCACAGCAACAGCCCTAACAGGGCAAACCAAACCAGTTTTGGGAACAATTCAATATAGGGTTTTCAGATTTTCTTCGGGGAACAACTGAGTTTTCTTTTCATACTTGTAAAACCAAATTACAACAAAGACATAAAATTTATATATATATTTTAGATTTCAACTGAGTTTTATTTTTATAATACAAATTGAACATACGCTACAAGGATGAAGAATGATTCTAAAAGGAAAGAATGAAGATGTGAGAAGTACATAAACGGTTTCACATACATAACAAATCTACATGATAAAACGTCACATGTAACTAAAACGGCACAGACAAATCTATTGTCTTATTTCCGTGAAGTCCATATAAAAATAATCTAATACTCATTTTCACTGCAACAGTTCTACAACTTGTACACAAACTTACAGCCTCTTCACTTGATCATTCACAACAACACTCTCAGTCTTACCACAAATTTGAAATCAAAGCAGAATCTTATAGCATTTAAATGTATATTTCAAATGAATATTTTACAATCTTGTGAATAATTTAAATATTTAAAGTTCAATTGAAGCCAATTCTGCAAGCTGCTCTTCCCTGAATTAAAGCTGAAGACATTTTTTCAATATCATGCAAAAGGTTAATTAAGTTATTTACTTTTCTTAGCACTGTTTCTTTCCAGTAAAAAAGAGGAAATGTAAAATAAAGATAAAAAAAAAAAATCAACAGAAACTGGAAATATCTGTGAAGGTAGAAAATAATTGTTTTCTAAAAACATTAAAATGACAACAATTAGTAGCATATTTATGTTACCAATGTCAGAAAGATGAGGGAAGGAAAGAAAAATGTTCTTATTAAAATTTACTTAGTATTGTCTATCTCAAGCTTGTGGCAGTTTTTTTTAAGTTGAATGCCAGTATGACAAACTTCTAATTTCTAATGGATGAAATGCATGAATTAAATTGCTTTCGAGACGACACATTCAAAGTTTGTTCATAATAAAATAATAATAGTTGTGTACTGAAGTGTCCATTAAAAGAAAAGCTGCCTTTTCAGTGAAGTTTCAACTGACAATAGTATTTACTCCAATGTCACAAAACTCCCAAGGATGACTGACGTTATATATACAATGTACAGTTTACAGACGATGAATTACAAAGGAACACTGAGATGAACACAGAATACAAACAGTTAAATTTTCTTGTCAATTACACATAAAAGTTGACTTGACAACTGAAGCCCATAACAAATTTTTCTCCAAATCTTCAAAAGTAAATGTATTTTAGTGAGATATCTATAATGGTTTATGTTCTAATCCTACAAAAGAGAAGCATCTCTTGCTGCAATTTTTTAACCTCAAAATTAAATGTTATGTATTCACTACCATATCTCCAACTTTATTGTATACTTTCCTTTAACTTTTCAAACTGATTTGTTTCTGACATTTTATGATTAGGCTCCAAAAAAGATAATCATGTGTTTCCACTATAATGCCAAAAGAAATAAGGCTGGTTGCTTTTGTCTTTAAAGATCATATCTATATCATGAACCTTGATGAGCTCTTTAAAAGTGTTGTAAAAAAGGATAGCTTTAAAGACATAGAGCCAGTCAAGTTATCGAAACACAGATATCTTTTTTCAGTCATTATTCTTATTTTAAATTCCTGATCCTTATTTTTATTAAGAATATCCGGGAACCGATATGATTGTTTATTAGGAGCAAAACAGCTTAAACTGAAACCAAGTTTTATCAATCACAACATCAATGACATTGCCTCTGACCCCTCAAATACAATGCACTTGGTAAAAGCCAATAAGAAAATCTAAATGTGTCTCTCTCTAAACCATATGGGTTAATATTAAAACAGTAAACAACACAGACATTGCACAATTGTGTTATTGTCTCACCAAATATTTCACATTTACATTAAATGCCTCAAATCCATTATTTTTCCAATTAATATGAAATCTGCCACTGTTGACATCAAACTTTTGAAGATTCAATATTAGCAATAAAATATTGATCGTGCAAACTTAAAAAAAAAAAAAAAAAAACCCAACAGGGCATTTATATAAAACACTGATTTCTCTTGAGACGTAAAAAAATTGTTCCCAAATTTTAAGTTTTATGGCATATTTAAATCAAATAACCCATTAACATAAGAACTGAACACATTTGTTTTAAATGATGGACATTGAAAGTAAGGATACCTAGAAATATCCTTAGAATCAACAATCCTAATTCAACGAATGCTGGACATGGAATTGTTCACAGAACATATTCCGAGATTTCAGCAACATTGTGAAATTATCATTTTGCCATTGCAAGTGTCTGCGAACATCATGGATTTGAAGATTGTTGCAGAATATAAACTTTGAAAACAGAGTAACAGAAAACAATCCTGTCAACATGCGATGCCAAACTGAGGACCTTTCCTAATGTAGATGTCTCCAAATTCCTCTGGCTGATCAACTTCAACAGCTTGGTATTTCTTTAACACAAGAAGAGTATAGAAACGCGCTGCAGCTTGCTTACGATTGAGATTCCTTGACATCTCTTTGAATCCAAGAGGGTTTTTATAACGAAAACCAATATCAAGAGAGTGTTGCATTTTTTGTGTTCTCTTTGTCCATCTTAACTCTTCTTGTTCTTCATTTTCTGGCATGGCCTCAGTTTCCAAATCACCCTCTATGCTGAAAGTCTGTTGAAAAGAAAAGATGCAGAATGAAAAATACTGCTTGATCATTATTTTACATTCTCTATTTATATAATATGTCAGTGAAAATATGTTTGATCTAGCAAAATGTTTGTTACTCAGCAACAATTATCAGTTATCTTGAGGAAGCTTTGGATGGAGGGTGAAAGAATAGACCAATTCAAAGCAAAAGATAAACAGCTCAATAAACCTAATGTCTTTACCAAAACAATGGTTGCTGCACCAAGACTTTTCTTTCCACAAATTTTTAACTCCCAATATTGCGAAGATCCAGTGAGATGTACAAATGAAAGTGAACATGGGATAGTAGTTCTCCTTAGAAAAAGTGCAGTGTGAAGAACTGTAACTCCCAATTGTATTATTTAGAGGTTATTGCCATACTATTTTCATATTGTTGAAACAAGCCCTTTTGGAACCAGCGTTTATTAAGAAGCATCTGTGGAAATGAGCCCTTTTGGAACTAGGGTTTATTAAGGAAGAATCTGGAAAGGAGCCCTATTGGAACTAGCGTTTATTAAGAAAACATCTCTGGAAATGAGCCCTTTTATAGTATTTATCAAGGAAGCATCTGTGGAAATCAGCCCTTTTGGAACTAGCGTTTATCAAGGAAACATCTGGAAATGAGCCCTATTGGAACTAGCGCTTATGAAGAAAACATCTCTGGAAATGAGCCCTTTTGTACTAGTATTTATCCCAGAAGCATCTGTGGAATGAGCCCTTTTGGAACTAGCTTTTATTAAGAAAACATCTCTGGAAATGAGCCCTTTTGTACTAGTATTTATCCCAGAAGCATCTGTGGAATGAGCACTTTTGAAACTAGCGATTACTAAGGAAGCATCTGTGGAAATGAGTACTTTTGGAACTAGCGATTATTAAGGAAGCATCTGTGGAAATGAGCCCTTTTGAAACTAGCGTTTATAAAGGAAGCATCTGTGGAAATGAGCCCTTTTGGAACTAGCTTTTACTAAGAAACATCATGGAAATGAGCCCTTTTGGAACTAGCGTTTGTAAAGGAAACATCTGGAAATGAGCCCTTTTGAAACTAGCGTTTATTAAGGAAGCATCCAACGGTTTTACTGATTTTCTTGTTGATACTCACTGGAGCCACTGGAGGAGGTTCTGATGGTGGAGGTCCTACCGAAGGAGGTGGCACTGAGGGAGGAGGGACAGAAAATGGAGCTATAGATGGAGGGTCCTGGTCATAGGGATCCAGCTGTGCATTCAGGGCCAGAGGGTCAGCAGGCATATCCACTACAGCCTCAGTAAATGTGTTGGAGAAAATATCTGTGGTATTGGCTGGCTCCTCAACTGTTGATTTCTCAGGCTCAGGTACGGGAATAGGAGCTGGTGTTCTTGGTTTTTCACTGCGACGAGACCTTGCAGAAACATTTGAAGCTTCAAGTATAGAGGGCTCTTCCATAATAGTACTAATGTCCTCCACTCGTGGTTTTGTTTTATCTGTAAACAGGATATCATTAGTATTATATGTAACATTAACAGCAATGATATGACTACTAACTAAATAATATCTGTAAATGTACTTGATTTTGTAAAATGAAATTTTAGTGCATTAATACATCGCATTGATGAATTTTCACATCCAAAAAAAATCTTATATGAACAACACACAGAAACTGTATCTTCTTCCAACCAGAAATCAACATAAGAATATTTAATTAATGCTCCTACTTTCTTAGCACAGGAAAAAGGCCTATACAAAATCTAAATGTTTGTGTGTAAATGACATAACTGTTAGGGTCTTACTTGGAAAACAGAAACAATCAGGAGCATTTAGTGTCAAGAGTGTAATGTGTGAGTCAATCATTTTTTTAAAGTCAAATTATCAAAACATTGAGATCCTGGGTAGAGGTAAATATTTTAATGGAACCTTGTGTCTCGAGGTGGGGTAAATATTTTAATGGAACCTGGTGTCTCGGGGTGGGGTAAATATTTTAATGGAACCTGGTGTCTCGGGGTGGGGTTAATATTTCAATGGAACCTTGAGTCTCGGGGTGGGGTTAATATTTCAATGGAACCTTGAGTCTCGGGGTGGGGTTAATATTTCAATGGAACCTTGAGTCTCGGGGTGGGGTTAATATATTTTAATGGAAACTTTAGTCTCGGGGTGGGGTTAATATTTCAATGGAACCTTGAGTCTCGGGGTGGGGTAAATATTTTAATGGAAACTTGAGTCTCGGGGTGGGGTTAATATTTCAATGGAACCTTGAGTCTCGGGGTGGGGTAAATATTTCAATGGAAACTTGAGTCTCGGGGTGGGGTTAATATTTCAATGGAACCTTGAGTCTCGGGGTGGGGTTAATATTTCAATGGAAACTTGAGTCTCGGGGTGGGGATTATATTTCAATGGAACCTTGAGTCTCGAGGTCGGGTAAATATTTTAATGGAATAGCTATCGGTTAGAATTTTGACAAAAGTTCATGATTACTCACTTGTGTCAAACATATAAAACTTGATGAAATCTGATGAAACCTATAAATAAGGTAAAAAAAAAAAAAAAAAAAAAACCAACGTTCAAATTTCAATGCATTAAAAAATTTCTTTCTGCTGATCAATTCCACTATGCAGATATGTTCTTACTGTGAACTGTTTTGTCCTCTTCTCTTACAATTTCTGGAGATTCAAGAACAATTTTTTCTTCATCTTCATACTCTTCTTCCTTCACTTGTCTTGTGATCAAATTCCTTCCGAAAAGCTAAAAATGAAACATTGAGTGAATTTAGAATAGATGAATTATAACATGTCAGATTTCAAAAATATGCATAGGTAAGCAAGTAATAAAAAAACGTGATATAAGTATTATTTGAGTGATTTTATCATGATGAAGAAACTTCAATTTCTATTGAAATATCAAAAATAAAACAAAAAGAGATGTGCTGATAGTTTATGCTTTAAAACAAAGGTCATTTAAAATAAGAAATAAATGAGGACTTTGCAGACAATCATGAGGTAAAGACATTTAAATTTTACACCAGTGTCTACTGGTGGTTTTGTTATTTAAAAAAATCTTACCCCCATCCCCCAAAAAACAAACAAATAAGCCTACTTAATTCTCAAAAATGTTTCAAGTATAATGAACAAGGACTGATAACCATTAACCATTTTAACAACAGTGAAAATAAGTCCAACACTATTTCATTTTTACCTTGGAAGCAGCTCTGGAAGAAATAGTGCGACCAGGAAGAGAAAACAATTTTTCCACTCCACCAGTCTCTTTCCAATGCATTAGTTTTTTGGTTGGAGGGGCTAAATCAAGCGTTGATATCACATCAGAAGTGTCAGATAATTGCAGCTTCATTGTTTCACTAGGAATGCCCTTCTGTTCATCAACAATGAGTTTTCTCTTTCTCTTTCCCTTCTTTTCAGAAACACCTAAAAAATATATTTCACCATTTCTTCATATCTATTCCAGTATGTGATACTTTGTTAGTTTTGTGTGTGATCAGCAAGGATCTTTTTAAGGCAAGGTTTTCTTGTAGTTGTTAGCTACCTCAATGAATAACATATGGGAGGTCTGCTGTATGCCATCGTGAGCTATTTGGGTGAAGTGTCTTGTCTAGACCTAACCATACAAGCACTAGATAGGTCCATTTCTCTAACTTCCTAGGAAACACAAACCTCCATGAAAAAATGGCATCAAAATCATGCACCTTGGACCTTCAGCTAAGGTTATAGGCTGAAGCTCTTACCAGCAGAAGTATTGTGGCCCCTGTGGGTATATTGACTAGGACTACCTTACACTGAGTATATGTAACATTCAGGCTACATTTGTTGCTTTTTAGCATGTAACAGTTCTTCATCTATAGGATGACATTATCCCTCATATCGTTCTTACCAGGAATTAAAATCTTGAGATGGTATTCACTAAAATTCCAAGAAATCTTACATGTTAGAGGAAGACACGTTTTTAAAGTGGCAGAAATTTGTTTCAAGTTATACCTTGCACAATGGTGGCATCAAGAGGTGGCAGGGCAAAGGCTTCTTCCTCATTATTGATGAGGGTAGTTTGTTCTGTAGCTACCACTGTGGTTTGCTGTGGTGGGACTGGTTCTGCTTCAGGCTGTATACTTTCTGATCCCACTGGTTCTACAATCATAGACATTAAAAGTTATAATAACAGAGGTTAATACAAGAAACACTCAACATTACTGATTAATAATTCATATTGCAGGGTTCAAGTTATGTGAATCAGCTAGAAGTAGCTATTTTCCGAAACATTTTCCTTTAGGAGTGAAATAATAGGTTTCTGTAAAAACTCCTCACACTGACTTGAAATTCTGAAACATGCTAAAATTCCTGAAGAAATGAACATGCTATATTTACATCAGGGGTGTTCAATTTTGAAAATTGTCCACTAGCTTAAGGGCTACTGAACCACTTTTTCTCGCTAGCCCTGATAAAAAACTACAAGTCCATCTTTGCAATTAATGGCAAATGCTGCTTTTTTTCTTTCAAGAATAGTTTCGTCATTAGAATCAATTAAATCTGTGTTGTTTAATTAAGCAGTAAACATGTACAAATGATACTATTTGTCTAGTTTCTGTGCAATAAGTTGATAATTGATATTAAAGAAATTAATTACCTGTTTACAACAAGAACACATGAATGGTATTGAACTGGTATACACTACAAAGTCAAGCTAAATACTCAATCATGTCTAAGTTGTTTTTAATAAAAGCAAACTGAAATATACTTTTAACTGTTCAGTTAAATTATATATTTAAGAGCAAATAATATGCTAAACAAATCACTCCTATAAACTAGCTTCTCATTTTATTAAGTTGAAATTGATCAAGTCACCCTTTACTTCTACTTTCTGGATATGTGTAATTTATCCTCCCATCTCAATCTACTGGCGCTAATATCAATGAAATTAACATGAAATTAATTTTTCATAATTGTGTGACAGTATTGAAGTTTTCAATTTGCAATGTTTTTAGTATAAAGCCAACAAAAAGTACTGAGAAATATATATTTCAGAAGACGATGTTGTCAACATTTGTCAAATACACATATCTTCATTTAATTTAGATATTTTCTATTTAGAATACCAACAGTGGATTATTCAAAAGTGAACACATCTTGTGTGATGTCACACCTTACAAAGCAGTAATCACAAATGATCAGGTCTCAATTTCATCAGGGTTTGCTTTAGTTCCATATATCCAACAATCAGAGTGATGTTCACTTACTGTTTTTTCATATTAAAATTCTTATTTAAATCATCCCTCCAATTTTCAAACCTTTTTACATGTCGCTAAATTTGCTTTTACATCTGGGATGCTCCTATCCTCAAATTCTTAAAACTAGTGTTGGATACACCTATTTACATTTGAGAATGTAAGATTTTACTCCCCTTACCAATTATGTCTACCGCTATCAGAAATGTGTATATAAACAGGTTAGCTTTCCAATGCAGGTTTAGATCAGAAACCATAGACTAGTCAGTGTCAAGGAACAGCTAGCCCACACCTGAAAATCACTTGCAAGGACTGGACACTCTTGCATTGGTAACATACCAAATATCCTCCATCACCTAAACATGTAGTGACATCAAATCCTCCCCATTCAATAATGAATGCTTGATCCACGGCTTTGATTCAGAAACTGTATCAGAGCTATATACCTCCTCCTCCCAAATATATTATGATAGGAGCATCAAAATATTCAAGAAGTTTTTCCAAATCATCAATTTTCATCTACTTGTTCAAGCAAAATCATTGAAAAAAAAAATTACCTGGTGCTTTCTCTGGAACAGGACCCTCCACTTCTACTGGTGCTGGCATAGTAACATCTGCCATAGGTGCATCCTCAAATAGCCCTCCAGAGTTCATGAAGTCATCTCCTGTAGAAAAAATTAATAATTTTTTTCTTCCTTTCTTAAAATAAACCACCGTGAAATTTACTTTATTTGATATACTATGAAAACATAATTTCATGGGATTCAATTTTCATGGCCCCTCTCCAAACCAACTTTATTTAACTATCACTATTTAATGGACATTTGATAGTGGGCATACCAATTCTACTTATTTAAATGGGTTGGTGATATCAGAATTTGTGAATTAAAAGTACCTATAAAATCCTCTAATCAAAATGATTTTACAGTTACCATCTGCTGAAGGAAATGAAACACTCGCCAAGGGATGTTTTCTGATTAAGTGTAACATATTGGTCTAAGACAAGAAGTGTTTTTTGACAGATAATTCTTAAATTTGTAAGCTTTATACAGTTGGTTAGACAGTGCTGAAATAGATACCTACATGTAAATGATCAACTTTGTCAACTTTAAATCACCATTACCCTTCATTAATCTCAAGATTATCCAAACTCTTACCAAAGAATTCCTGATCAACACCTCCTCCAAAACCACCATCATCATTATCGTCATCATCATCATCATCTGCATCTGTTAGTTCCAATGTCAACAATCATGAGTATCAACAATCAACAGTTAGGATCAACTGATCAACAGTTAGGATCAACTGATCAACACCCCTCTATAGGGATAGTTCTGCTTCAGGCCTTTAAAGCTCAAATTGACCCATTTCCTTTTACCTTTAAAGAGGTTGGCCATCTTATAATTTTGATAATTGTTTTCAGGTTGGTAATGTCCATAGCAGTTCTTACACAACAAGCAGATAATTTAGCGTTACATTCAGCAGTAAAAAAAAGTTGGTCAATTGCTTGCCCTATCGTACACCTTGTTGGTCATTTCCTTACCCTATCGTACACCACGTTGGTCAGTTCCTTACCCTATCGTACATCATGTTGGTCATTTCCTTACCCTATCGTACACCACATTGGTCAGTTCCTTACCCTATCGTACACCACATTGGTCAGTTCCTTACCCTATCGTACACCATGTTGGTCATTTCCTTACCCTATCGTACACCACATTGGTCAGTTCCTTACCCTATCGTACACCACATTGGTCAGTTCCTAATCCTATCGTACACCACAATGGTCATTACCTTACCCTATCGTACACCAGGTATGTCAAAGCTAGTATGCTTCAAAGTGATCATTTGTCTGAAGAAATGGACAATATAGCCATCAAAATGTCACACTTGAAACTTCTACTGGTTGGATAGTCAGAACTTCTTTTCCACTTTAGTTTTAAACATTGACCAAATTTTGAAAATAACTCTGGATTTTAGCTCCCCAGATTTTCCCATATACAAAAAGAAAAATGTATCCATTTATTTCCTGAAGTGTTTCAATCATCAATGAATACAATCAGCATACTTTGAGCGTTGTATTGCCAAAGTAGGATGATGTATCATATTTTAGGGTTTTATTTGAAATTAAAAAAAAAAATAAAAAAAATAGAGATGTCTTTTATGGAAAAATTACCAAAATTTCATAACAAATCAATCAATTGATCAAAATTGCACCAAACAATGCCTATACAGAGATGATTGATCAAATGTAACAGAATACAGAGTCAGTTTTGGTAGTGATAAAGCAGAACTCAAATCAACACCAGAACAAATCCAGTCAAATTACTGACAACAGTAAACACAGGAGATAATTGCAACGTTTGTTTTCCTTTCACCTAACATTTTCAGAATTGAGACTATATACATTGTGACAGGAAAAACCAAAAAACCTAAGAAAACATTTTTTTGGTCTCCTACAAGTATCAAACATCTCTCCAATCTAACCAAACTAGAATTTAAAGTTATTCTGCTGTTAACTGATTATAGTGCCTTTTTTTCCTGTTACAATACAAACTAATTATTATAAAAAAAAAAAAAAGTAAAATCAAACTCTGTTGCAATTATGTCCTGATTAAAATATAGAATAACTGGATTAAACTGTGGAAACATTCTTACTTAAGAAATTCTAATGCAACAAGATCCCAGAGGGATCATTTGCTCTTTGACAGTTGGATCTTTTCCCTTCTTTTTTGGTTTTTGCTCTTAATGATATGAAATTTGAACATTCTTTTGCAAAAATAACAATGGTAATCTTTACCTACCAAATGCAAGATGGCCAACTGACAGCCTTTCAAAAAAAAAAAGTTCCGATCGGTCCAAAAATCAAATAGGCACAAGAGGAGACCAAAGGAAACATATGTATGAAATTTGAGAGAGATCCATTCAATACATAAGAAATAAAGATATTCTTTTAATAAGGCGGAATCCAAGATGGCTGGCTGCCTGTTTGCCATTTTTTTCTCTCAAGCAGTCCCAAAATCAGACATGAAATTTCATAAAGTTCAATGAAGTATTCCTCAAGAAAAAGTTACAAACTTTCATGAGAACGTGATAACAAGTACTTCCTATCCTGTAGGACAAAAAATCAAACATTTTGTTTTTATGAGACCTACCCATGAATCCTCCATCTACAGCACCTCCAAAACCATCGTCTGTCACAGGGGCTTCAAGGTCCACATCCATGTTAATGGGTTTCTCTGTTGCATTTTCATTCAAAGTTTTTTCTTTTTCTTCCATTGGTTGGTGATTGGAGATGTCTGGTTGTTTGTATAGGGAGTCTTCCAAATTAGTGGCATCTCGAAGGATTTCTCGTTCATCAAATCCACCTACATCTACGTCACCTATCAAGAGAAATAGTCTATGCAATTCCAATTAAACAATTCTCCATTGCTTCAATTACATGAAACCTTTTAGAAGACCAAGACATATCAAACTGACATATTAATATTTACCATATGCCTCAAGTTAACAAGAAATGAGCTTTTCACATCAAGATAAAAATAAAAGGTGTTATTTTTCAATTAATGAAGACTAATAGCACTAGTGTTAATGCTTGAATCCAAAGCAGAAGTCTGAACGCCTGATGTAACTGCTTGAAACTGTAAGCCTTTGGAATTGTCCAGCTATTATGTCCATCACTTCTCACATCCATAACTCCAGGCATTTCCATTTGCAGGGTTTCACAACTGCAGGCTATTATATATTTTTTCGTTACTTGCAAGTCGATTTTATCAGCAAATGATCAAATTTCAGTCAATGACATGAGAAAGCTTTTCCTCTCTTAGAGAAAGTCCCATTTTATACTTCCTCTGAAAAACTTATCTGTGAAAGAAAGGGTTATTAAATGAACACATGCACAAGATGAATGTTGAGACAAAAAAAACTATAAACAATGGACAGCACAAACTCAAAGCAAGCAAACAGCAGTTCAAATGTTTAAGGAATGAAGAATTAAACCTATACATAAATACATGGCCCTTTCTGCACAATTGTGGTGATCGTGTTGTCAAGTAATTACAAACTTGAGTTTTAGCATTCTCTTCCTTTCAACTATTGTTAAAAAGTTCCCAAAACACAGCAGAATTATGAAATTTATCACATGCAACAAGTAAGAGAAGTGTCAATATGACATATTTTCTGATATTCCAAAAGATGTTAAAAGGTTTACAATACAATATAGTGTTACATTAACTGTACACCTAGGTATTCACTTTACCAAAAAAAAAAAACCCAAAAAAACCAACAGAAGATTTGTCATTTGACAAAACAATAACTGATTGTAGTGCAGAGTGAGCAATACAAGGAATTGGGATAAGCACCAGCTGAATCCAATTGGAGTCATCAGCCAAACTGTAAAATATTGCATTATAGCAGAAAAAAAATAATAATATTGATTCATTCCACAGTAAACAGGACACAAAGTCAGCCTTTGCACACCAATATAAGAGCTCGCCCAAATGTTTACAATCTGTTTAAGCAATAGTTTGCAGGCTACACATGGCACAGTTGTAAAACAGAACCTGCCGACAAAAAATATTTAAAAAGTTTTGAGTGAGCCCAAATATGTAAGAAGCCATCAAAAGGAGGGGTCAAATCAATTGTATTGACTCTGAATCATTATAATGCTGACTCAAATATTGTTATCAATCAGATTTGGCTGCAGTAGACTGTGGAAGAATATCCTGAGTCATAAATGATTTTTATTTTCTTTTAGTGTATGCCTGGACTCCAATTGGAATCACACAGGTCTGATAGCCTGGGTCATGTCTAAGCAGCTTATAAACAAACATAGATACAGTTGTGTCAGGGTTTCTCTTCAGGGGAAATCATACTTAGTACCTAGAGTATCTTCAGTCAGTTCATCAGAGTAAATCAAAATTACACTAACTATCCTAAACTCTATCAAGATCATTGATGTTAAAAATCAAACATGATTTTAAATATTTGAACCTACAAGTACCAAAAACTTAAACATATGTAAAAAATAATAACATTTACAATTGTACACTTGAATTTCTTTTGAAAGTCAAAAATAAAATAAAAATCACCTATTAAATGAAATTTTATCCAGTGCAAAACTGAATTTATATGATTATTATTTTACTACCTAAATGAAGTCTCAAATAACATTTGTGATAAAAAAATTGCCGAAAGATTTTGAATAGCTACCATGATACAACTGTACTTCAGTTCAATTTAACTTTAACATGACTTAAAGATGTGTACTAATTGACCTCCTCCTGTCGAGACTTCTTACCCTGTGAAGAGGTTGATATCCTGAGACGTTTGTGTTGAGACTGTGAAGACTTGGACAAGCCTGGCGAATTTTCCACATTGGATTCACTTTCACAGGCACAGTCGACGTCATAATCCGACTCACCATCGGAGAAATCACTGTGGCCTGGATCGCTATCCATACCAATGCCAGAATCCAGTTTCACTATTCTGGGTTTAGGAACTAAGGTAGTACTTTCCATATGTTTTTTCTTGTTGAGGTAATCCAATGAGCAAGAGCACTTATTTTTACTAGGACTAGAGATAATATCACAGGTACATGTTGAGTCTTGACTAAATGAAGTGGAATGAGTTGTTGAAACACATTTAGAAGGCTGTTTATGAGTTTGTTTTGGCACTTTTGTTAAGAAAAAATCTATGTCAAATAATTCATCCCATGTCAAGTCACAGTTATCACAGCCTTTGCTTCCAAAAATTATCAAACAAATCTCATCCTCATCCATTTCCCCACCAAAACCTTCCATAACACCTATAGATAAAATGCACAAGATCAAATCTACCCTATTTTCTTCAATATTTTCTATAAAACATGATATTTATCATAAAAATTGTAACACAATGAGCAAGTATTCCCCTAGTCACAAGCTGCAAATACATAAGATGTTTCTGAAAAATGTTACCTTGTGAAAAAGAAATGAATTTTCATCATTTCAATAAAAAAAGAGAGAAGAAAACATATAAAATAATGATTTTGTCAAATCTAAACAATGTAAGTAGGAATATTGTTTTGACAATATAGATATCTTACTTTTTGAATTCCTTTTTAAATATCAAGCAATAATTAAGTTTAGTAAAGCCACAGATCTGTCTAAAATACCCACATACGATGTACCTAAATACAATAGCTAGCAGACAAAAATATTCTATTGCAGCTCATGAAACAACATTTTCGAGTATTGTATTCCTATGATGCTGAAAAGGTCACTTCAATAAACAATAAAATATGTATTAACACACAAATAATCACTGAAAATATCTTCTGCAATTTGTACTTTTGCAGGTGTCTTCAATCTTGTCAGTGAAGGTCTGATAGAACAGCAGCCTTTTGATGAAGACCTTGTCTGCAGGATTTCTCAAAATTGAGAAAAAATCACACACAAAGGCTTTTAGCTACAAAAAAGATTAAGTCAGTAGTGTGACACAGCAAAACATATAACATGCAAATATAAACTTACCGAAACCATCATCTCCTACAAATGTTATGTTGGCAAGATCCTCTCTCATAGTGATTTCTTCTGGTCGACTCTGGTTTACAGAGAATTGGGCTTGAACGTCTAAATCACTGAAAATGACATACATATACATATTAAGACAGTGTTCTCATGAAGATTTAAAGCAGCTGCTTAGTTTTGAAAGCTAGCTAAACGTTAACTTTTTGGTATCATTCTACAAATTTCATTAAAAATAATAATAAAAAAATCAGAATTGATGAACAAGAGGTTACTTCTGCAAGCAACCTGCCAGCTTCTAATAAGAACACTGGATGATAACACAAAGTACTTTGAGGAAGTAAAGTTTAATATCTTTTTCAGCTTCTAAGACATGACATATTAGTGGATGGAAAAATGCTGACAATTTCATAAATATGGATAAGATGGCTAATTTTGTATATTAAAATCAAATATGTAATTGGTTTCTAACATTAATTATTCATACAAGACAACAACTTAAATTGATCACTTGAGTAGGTAGTGAGACCTAAAATATCAAGTCCTATTTTTGTCAATTTTTAAGAATTGCAGGGAATGTCATGATGAAATTTACAGGATCAACATATATTTCCCAGCTGCTTTCATCACATTACTTTTACGTAATATACCATATAACACAATGATATTTATAAATTTCCAAATTACTTCAAATCTGCTAGTGTTGTGTCGAAGTCATGGAAATTTTCTTGTAGGGTGATGGCTGTAATTGCTGCTTCTCTGTTTTCTTCTGGAAGGTCCACGACTCCTGGCCGAAACGCCATTTTAATCTTCACAAAAGCTTCATTACAGTCCGCTAACAAGTATTTTGCCTTCCGAGAATAAATTCTCACAACACCAAGCAATAAATGTCCAGATGTTCTCAAGGCTAATTTCACCTGAAAATTTGAAAGATCATTTATAGATCAATTTTCAAAACTTAAGCAACAAATCTGTTCTTTCACGTTTAAAATCTTAAGTTAATTCTTTCAAATAACAGAGAGTTATTAACAATATTAATACCATATATCTGCAATTTTTGTTTACTTGTTAGTATTAAACATCTCACAAAAGCATTTCCATTTTTACATACAGTCAATCCTTTGTCCCTGATGATCAAGTCACAATGAAAATGGAGTAGATTCATATCTTGATACTGATATAACTGATCATTTGAATAAAAACAAAGGCAACAAACTGAATGATGGAGAGAAGTGATCTACCTTGTAGTTTGAACAATAACTGAAGTATGACCAAGGAAAATAAGTAATGAATTCAGAACAGAAAATGCATCTGTGTCATTGGTCTTACCTTTGGCTGCATGATGGCTTCAACACTGCTGTCTATATTAGTTTCAAACACATGAGCTTTTGTCAGTTTTTTGTCCCAATGGGCTGCCAGCCATATACGGGCCAATGGCCCTTTTTTACTCAACACAAAGTGTGCATAAAACATTTTGTTGTTTCTGTATTAACTTCAAATTAACTTCAACATCTGAAAGAGATGAAAACAAAGTTTAACACAATCAAAATATTGGTTTTAACATCCAATAAGCAGGAAGTAAATTAAACCCAGCTCTAACTATATTTCAAGCTTAAATTTGCATGGTTTGTACATTACCAGTTATATGAATATGCAATGAACCTGTATATATAATTACATACCTTTTTTTATTTGAAAATTTCTGTGAAATAATTTTTTTTAATCTACTGGTATAAAGCCAGAGGAATAGTGACGGGAGATCAGTTACGAGTCTGACAAGATTTCTGATGTAGTGAATCCATTATATAAATGCCTGATTGTATCTAGGGGGTGGTTACTAGCTGGTTACTAGCTGGCTAGAGAACTTCTCTTTAGCTTGATCTGTTGAGCATTGGATGAGTAAGCCAGAGGTCCTGGGTTCAAAATCCTAGCAGAGACATTGAAATAAATAATGACCCCAGTTACATATGATCTAATATCAGGGCTCTCGATCTGCCATATTTGGGGCTGATATTCGGCCCCATTCCCAATGCAAAATAGTATCTTTTTTTCCCAATTTAGACCCCAAGTTCTCCCAATTCTAAGGAAAACACCATTATTTTTCCCAAATCTAAGGGCCCTGGGCCCCAGTCCCAAAATGGGGTGTGAGAGCCCTGAATATGAAAAATTACAGTTGAACAATGCATTAGATGAGGTTAAAATCCATAATCAATTATATTTGCTGGGTTTTCCATAAGAGCTGGTCGCCAGCCAATTTGACCGGCTACTTTGATCATTTGGCCGCCTACACCAATCCAGTTCCGTACACGACTACACCTACACGGCAGACGGGCCTCCTACTTTCACTACACAGCCTACTACTAACAAAATTATGGAAAACCCTGATTTGCTATCAACCCATCACTACAATTGATTTATATTATGTAAAGTCTGAGAGACTTGAGTTCAGTAAAAACATGTCAAGTGCTGTAATAAGTGAACAAACATTTGAAAAAAATTAACACTTGTTTCCTGATTCGTTTTTACATTGTCAATAAGTCTGTATCTTATTTCTATATAACTATGAAATATGTAACTGATATTATATGGAATTGTTCTTATTTCTATATAACTATGAAATATGTAACTGATATTATATTTTTTAATTTTGGCTCTATTTACAGGAGGATCTTTAATTAATCTCTAATTGGCCTTCAAAGTATATAATGCTACCCTTAAAAATTTTCAAGGGGAGGTTTCCCAAAAAAAAAAACAAAAAGGAAAAAAAAACCAAGAACATAAACTGTGTACATACATTCTATTAAAGAAACAACACTTGCAAAAGGCATCTTTACAAGAGTTTATTGAAATGAAATCATTAGATCTCACAATACAAGAATAACTTATTGAGAAAGAAAATTAAGGAATCAAATCTTCAGAGACTCCCTCCTAAATATTGAGGATCAGCAAGTATGAACATACCTAATCTTTTTTTAATTATCTAACTTAATCAGACATATCTGTGTGAGCTTCATATTTGACGACACTGACCGACATTAAACACAAAACCACATTAGCTAGTTGAATATGACAACTTTAAATATCATATCCAACCCATACAAGTCTGTATAAGATGCTCCAAATGCAAATAATGTGTATATGAATGGAACAACGACATATCAAACAGGTTGACTAGGCTACAACGATTTCCACTGAAGAGTGAACCTTTATATAAAGATATGTAGAGATCGTATTTTGACGGCGACATTAAAAAAAGTAGCATGCTCATGTCAGTCAAGAGATGAACAATCAAACTATCGATATAACAGGCATTACATCCATTGGTTAGGCCTTTTTCAAATTGAATAATAAAGCTTTTTATCCTCATTTGCAGACATGCTGTTTAAGTTTTTTTTCAAATAGCATCATATAATGTCGTATCATTATTCTAATCACATTTCTGAAGACTAACACATCACCTGATGAAACAAAACATCAATCTGAGAAAATCATCAGCAAATAGCGTTGTTGCCATCTTCTCTCAAAAAGTAGGTCAAGCTCCCTCCGACAAAATGCATGGACATACGGAAGCGATATTGGAGTTCATGTACCACTTATTTTACACCTACACATTCTAAAACAATCATTTCAAGTGTGTCAAAACGACAATGACAATCATCGTTCAAACAATTAAGTAGCAAATGGAAAATAATACCACTACGACAATATATTGATTTTAAACGCTTGTGGATTTCGATACAGGAACTTTTGCTTACCGCGTCGCCTTATCAATAAGGCTTTCACAACCATGCTAGCTTACCAATAATTTATAACAGCATACTATAAACAAATATGAAATACGTCAATCAGACATCAGGATCAGGAGGGTGGTCGCAGGAACATAGCGTATTATCCCACATAATATTATCGTCGTTGATACCGTCTGTGCGTCTATCCAACAAAAATGGCGTCTCTTTTGTTTTCCCGCCCAAACATGCAGTTCGAAATGTCGACCAAATTGCGATGAAATCCAAAGGCACAAAAAATAGTGCCTTGATGTATCATAAATTTCTTGATGATATAGCGAACAATTATGCATATAATTACAAAGCACGCATTCTACTACTCATTTTACAAATTGTGTTTTTACAAATTTGAATTGTTCGCAAAATTTAATGAAATAAAAAATTCTTTCTCGTTTCCCTTAACCGCAGCGTAGGAACATCACAGTGTGTGTACACAACAAGTGCCCTCATATCGCATAAATGTCAAACGTAGAGAATACCTTTGCATTGACTTTTCACACACTGAAAACAATGAATATCTAAATTTATGTATATGATATAAATTTTGTTATTTTCTTAAGAAACGCTGCTTTCTTGTGAGAGAAATATAATAAAATGTTTGGAAAGGAAGCGACCTTGGGGATGTTGAATTCCACATCTATTTGTGACGTCAGAGTCATGTGAGCAAAAATCCATCATGGCTCCCAATGCCTGACGTGTGGCTACGGACAGGAAGTTGGGAGGTTAATATTTGAGGCAACGCTTCCACTATCATTGGTTTCTGATGTGTGCAAAATGGGGGACTCACTCGAGTCCACCAATGTGGACCCAGAAATTCCGTTACTTGGTAAGATGCAGACACAAACAAATATTTTGTCAAATCGTTTTGAAAAATGTGATTTCTCTCTTGAGAGGGTGTTTCCTCAAAGGCTGAGTCATTGGATACGTAAATAGATGTGACTTGTTTTGACACACGAGACTCAAGTTTAGCATTTCAAAATATTCATGCCCGAAAACGGCATGCATTGAGAAATACACAAAAGAAATCGTGTTGTATGTTGATTTTACTCGTGAAATGTTCTTGAGCTTTCTTAATTTTGTAGATATTCCAATGTCGTAATATCACATTGTCAATAGATTGCACAATGTCCCTTTTTCTACGTTGCCGTTTTCTATCCAATCGTCATTTACTTTATACATCACACTGCATTTCACAATGAAAAGTGAACGGGGCTAATTCTCCAGAATGGCTAGCAATACTACAAACATTCAGTGTTTACCTGGTCTCTAGCTGTTCATTTGGCAGTCAACCAAAAACCTGCTGATGTAACATATTTAGGATCCAGATATTCAAGAAGTTTCTTTATAACACAAACAGGCGGCAAGATTTCAGTGAATTCTCTTTCACTGGCTGTAGCTGTTTCATTTTGTTCTGACATATATATATTTATCATTATGATAGATATTTGAGTACATTGCCGATAATGCACATGTTTACGGATGATAATAGTATATTGTACATAAGGATGTGTGTGTTCGAGGTAGTGTCTAATATACTGAAAAAAATACACTGTTGATTTGTTTTAAAATAAAAAATAAAAATAGTATTAGCAGTTGAATTTGAATCAATTTCTTAGAAAAAACATCCGAAGAGATGGATAAGGATCTTTAGCTATATCCAATAATGACAACAAATATTTATCAAAATTAGAAAAAATATTACTTCAGAAATTTACGAAAAAAATAACGGAAAGAAATAATTTTGGCAGCATAATATCCAAAAGGAAAACAATAGATTTAACATAGGATTGTAAAAACATTCTTGTCATAAAAGAGTTGAGCTTAGTGACCCAGATATAAATATGCTGAATCTTAACAGTATACAGTCATTTCATGTCTTCGTATTTGACTGTCAAACCTTGGTCACCATGGAATCCAGACATTGATGCTGCATCTTCTATGTTATATGTATTTTTCTCAAAGTGATGGCACCAATATAAGCTATTTTCTTAGGAAAACATTTTGTCAGTTTGGCCTAAACATGGAGGGGAAATAGGATTAACACTTGACTGACATTAAAGGCATGAAATGACTGTTATGTTACTTGAATTATCCAAAATAATCGGATAAATAGGTCAGATATATAGGTCATTGAGAAACGAATAAACTCGTTTGGACGTATGAAAATATGTAGAGAATATAACAGTCCACTGTTTACATTGGCAACCATGATCAGAGAGATTCTTCATCATAATCATTTGAATGTTTCAGCACATTTGGGTGTTCTGTGCTAGTCAACAGTTTTGACTGCTGAGCAGCTTGTTATGATTACTTAGCAATTTTCTCAGGAAATAGACAATACTTGATTTAAACTTACAGAAATTCAGGTAACTTTGAACACTTTTAATCAATTTTGAATTAGACGTATACCTGTAAACAATAACTACATTTTCTTCCATCATCTGCTTCTGATGGGGCACTGATTTAATGTAAAATCATTAATTAATTTTCTTTAATTTCATCAGTAATCTTAATGAAAAAAATCCTGTGTTCATCAACTACTAAATTTAGTAGATTTATTGAGCTACATTCATCCATGAAAACAAATGTCAATGGAATTTTTTATTTTTTGAAACACCACCAAGAAAATCTTATTTTACAGTAATGTTAAAATCTCGAGATACCTTGTAGAATTAAAGGTGTCTTGCTTCAACTTGGTGTAGACATTAAATCATTCCATTAATTCTACTTGGTTATTGTTCATCCTACATGACACAGATTTCTTTATATGTATGAAATAAATGTAAGCATGCATCATATACTTTGGTAATTTGTCTGATGAAGGTGACTGTGTAGTCATTGAAATGTCACATTCAAATCTTCTACTGGTTGTGGTTTAAGAACTTTAAGGTGACCGTGTAGTCATTGAAACGTCACACTCTAATTTTCTACTGGTTGTGGTATAAGAACTGTGAGGTAACCGTGTAGTCATGGAAACGTCACACCCTAATCTTCTACTGGTTTTTGTATAAGAACTTTAAGGTGACCGTGTAGTCATTGAAACATCACACTCTAATCTTCTACTGGTTGTGGTATAAGAACATCTATTCTGTTGACATAACCAACCTGAAGAAATTGTCCCGAAGTGATATTTTAACAAAGTTGATAGAACATCTGAATGATAGGGGCTAATCATCATCTAACAGACAGATCTATCTTGAAATATATTAGTTTAAGATCAAGAATCAATTTAGGGTGATTATACTATCAGTATTGAGTAGTTTCCTTTAGTAACTAAAATTTCGCTTTTACAGAATGTTCCCCTTGAGTCTTACAATATATTCCCCGATTTTATAAAATTTACTATTTTTCTCTTTGAATTTACATTATTGAAACAGTAATTTACATTTTGATCTTTCAGTTTTATTGTTTTTGAGTAGAATTTAATTGATTTTGTATATTTTCTGTTTAAAAGCAGTCAAACACAAAGTGCTAAAAAATCCTTTTTATCCTATACAGTCTTCCTCCTGTGGCCCTTTGGAACCCACGCTTCCCCCCCAACCCCCCCCAACCCACCCCAAGTCATAAAAAGAGTACTTACCCCTATATTCTAGATTGATCTTTGGATATATATATGTATATTGCCCCTCCACAACCCCCCTTGACCTGATCTAAATGACATTAAGGGTGTTGTGATTTCAGGGTCATCGACAGGTTCCCTAGACTCAAGTGGAAGGAAGGTTAGACCACCAAACAAGAAACGGTATGATGAAGAGCTTGAAGCTCTCCAAAGCACCATCAAGGAAAAGGAAGCTGAGCTTGTATCCCTTAATATCTGTATTTATAAAAAAATTGAATTTTTCTCTTTTGAAATATTTATTTTGTTTATATTGCAAGAATTATGAAGCAGTTTATCAGCATATATTGGGTACCATTATCTGTTGTTGGCACTGTTGGAATCACACCAGGGGTCTTACTGTGGGAGAAAATTGTTTGGCAGGTGATCCATGAACCCATGTGACTGGGGAATCCAAACCTGGTAGCTTAGGCGAGAAGCATGTGTGTTACTATTGCACCACATGACTGTTGGCAACCAACTTATTATCAGTAAATGAAGTTGAAAATAATTTGTTGATATTTATCTATAAATTACATGATAAACCATTTGATCTATATAAAAAAAAATTAAACCTGGAAAAGAGAGAATCTTTGTTAGTCGTTTCTTTGCAATAAGTATGAAAGGAAGCAATGTGACCTTAACTACTATACAGAGGTCAATTACACAGTACCTGAGTGATGACACACACAAGAATGGCCTTCGTACCATGAGATCTGAGAAAAGTAAACTTATAGATAGACTCAAACAGATTGAACAGGAGTTGAAAACCCTCAACTCAGACATCTTGAAAAAGGTATCATTGAAAAAGCTCTGTTTGGTAGCTTTTACTGCATGAAAGTATTCCTTCCTCTAACATTGTAATCACCCGTGTCTAGGATTTTTGTATCATCAGGAAGATGGTAAGATTTTTTTACCAGCAACAATGATTTCAATTCATTACATTGTGTTGTAAATGCTATCTTTGAGACCCACCTCTTGTTGATGTAACATTGTGTTAAAATTTGATTTTTTTGTGACCTTTTTCTGCCATATTTATTTTGCAACCTTTCCATAGATTTTGGAATCGTATTTCTAAATTCTTTTTCAGAAAGCTGAATTAGACCGTTTACAATCTTCTCTTCACTACAAGAGTGAAGACCGGATAGACCATTCCATAACGTAAGTTATGTACTTTGCTTGCTGGTTTGTTCTTTCACTGTTTTCTTAAACATTTTGTATGCTGCATAATTATCTCCCTTTACCATACTCTAAATTGATAAAATTAGTATGCTGCAAAATTATCTCCCTTTACTATAAACTACATTTTTAACATTTTGTATGCAACATAATGATCTCCCCACTACTACAACCTAAATTTATATAACATTTCACATGTTGTGTAATTATCTCCCCTTTACAATGCTGTACACATCCTACAATAATCCCAAAGCTTAGAGATGAACTTTCACAGGCTACTGAACTTTGCAATTTATTTAACTGAAAAGCAATACATCGATAGAAATGGGTAGAAAATTATTGTCTGTTTCCATATTTGAGTAGTTACCCATCACACTGCTGAATCATCACCTGTTTCCATATTTGGGTAGTGACCTATTACACTGCTGATTCATCATCTGTTTCCATATTTGGGTGTTGACCTATTACACTGCTGAATCATCATCTGTTTCCATATTTGGGTAGTGACCCATCACACTGCTGAATCATTGTTTCCATATTTGGGTATTGTCCTGTCACAGTGCTGAATTCAGAATTCAGTAAGGAGATCCCTGAAAACTTTTGATGACTTTAAAAAAGTGGCTGATTAAGACATTAAGCTATCTTAGATACCATGTTTCGTACCCTTGTCTGTGTTCATCTGTTGTTTAACACCAGTAAATGTAACTATTATAGCTAATTGGTTATAAAATCATTTTGCAGAAGGCTTGACTCTTTGCTGAAGAATCAGAACTTTAAACTGTCTGAAGAAAAGAAGATTGTCAGTGAAATTAATAGCTTGAAACGTTCAAAGAAAGTCCTGCGGTAAGTCAATTTCTCATGCGAGGTTTAATTGATTTTTCTGGACAAAGTTGGCATCTGTAGAATCTCGATCATATTAAAAATATCTGTTAAAAAGAAGCCAAATATTTGGCCTCTGCCTCTTGTTTATGTCACTGTATGAAAACAATAAATAAATTTTGGACAAGTGCTAGGCGACAAATTCATTCAGGATTGACACAGGGATCCAGCCCAGAGACTAACAGTCTCCAACAATTCTTTCTATCCGAATAAATTGATTGTATCAATTATCTATACTGATATCTAATTTCAAAATAAGTGTGTGTACATGTATTATTGTTTGAATGTAATCTGATAAATTTGCTATTTGAATTTTTCATTACAGAGATTTCTTGACACTGAAGAAAGAGAACGACGACATGCGAAGTAGACAGAAACGCCTGCGAGAAGAACGAGATGTAAGTTCAAAATACATTTATTAGCCCACCATCATCAGATGGTGGGGTATTCAAATCGCCCTGCGTCCATGGTCTGTCGTCCGTCCGTCCGTCCGTAAACAATTCTTGTTACCACTATTTCTGGGAAAGTACTGGATGGATCTTTCTCAAATTTCATATGCAGTTTCCCCTTGGTCCCTAGTTGTGCATTGTACCTTTTTGGACTGATCTGAAATCAAAATGGCTGACAGGCAGCCATCTTAGAGTTTGAAAGTAAAATTTTGTTACCGCTATTTCTGGGAAAGTACTGGATGGATCTTTCTAAATTTTCATATGCAGGTTCCCCTTGGTCCCTAGTTGTGCATTGTACCTTTTTGGACTGATCTGAAATCAAGATGGCTAACAGGCAGCCATCTTGGAGTTTGAAAGTAAAATTTTGTTACCGCTATTTCTGGGATAGTACTGGATGGATCTTTCTCAAATTTCATATGCAGGTTCCCCTTGGTCCCTAGTTGTGCATTGTACCTTTTTTGGACTGATTCAAATTCAAGATGGCCGACAGGCAGCCATCTTGGAGTTTGAAAGTAAAATTTTGTTACCGCTATTTCTAGAAAAGTACTGGATGGATCTTTCTCAAATTTCATATGCAGGTTCCCCTTTGTCCCTAGTTGTGCATTGTCCATTTTTGGACTGATTCAAATTCAAGATGGCTGACAGATGGCCATCTTGGATTTTGGAAGTAAAAGTTTGTTATCGCTATTTCTTGGAAAGTACTGGATGGATCCTTCTCAAATTTTATATGCAGTTTCCCCTTTGTCCCTAGTTGTGCATTGTACCTTTTTGGACTGATCTGAAATCAAGATGGCTGACAGGCAGCCATCTTGGATTTTGAGAGTAAAATCTTATTATCGCTATTTCTGAGGAAGTACTGGATGGATACTTCTGATATTTCATAGGTATTGGTTTCCCTTGGTCCCTAGTTGTGCATTGTACTTTTTTTGGACTGATTTGAAATTAAGTTGGCCCACAGGCAGCCATCTTGGATGTCGACAGTAATACAGCACAAGCATATTTTCTTTGATATTCTATCATATTGATTCAAGACCATGTCCATTATCCACCTGTAACTGACTGCTATCTAATAATACTTTGGGAGCTTTTTTAAATGATATTTGCTAATAGGTGCTTAATAAAAATATCTTGTGCCATCATTGAGTACATTCAATGAAGACCAGTTCATGAACATTTACAAAACCTGTAACACAAAAAAAAATCAACAAATCTTCAAGAACTGAAAACAGATCCTCAAATGGTGGGCGCCAAGATCCCTCTGGGATCTCTTGTCCATACTGTAATTATTTCTTGGGTTTTTTTTTTTCAATTTGAGAGAATTTCTTTTATTCTGATTTGATAAGTAACACACTGTATAGTGAGTAGATGAAGCAATTTGAGTCATTTTCCTGTTGACACTTTTATTTCTTTGTCAACAGAACTCACAGAAATTTGTTAACCAGCTTCGCCGGAAAGAAGACGAACATAAAGAAACGGTTCAGAAGAAGAAATTTCGGAAGGACACCCTAAAGAAAGGTACAACTACAGTTTTAAGCTCAAGGTCGGCATCACTAAAAATAGATTTAGGTGATCAGATAGAGGACAATAACTTTGCTGACCTGTCCAGTGATCTAGAGCTAATCAAGCACTGTCAGTATTAAGCAAATTGATGTTTATTTATTTATTTATTATTTTTTTTCCAGAGCTTGACAATTTGTACGACATGAAGCGAAGGATGGTTCAGGATTTTAAACAACAGGAGAAGGATTATGTTGAAGTCAAAGGAGAGAGTCGACGACAGAAACGAAAAGAAAAGAAAAAGGAAGAGCCATGTTCTCAAATGGAGGCATTCCAGAAGTCTCTGTAAGTTTGGTCTGTTGAGTAGTTGACATAGTAACACTATAAATCAGGCCCAATGAGGACATTTTCCTAACCTACACAAGTGATTGGGTTTTATAAGAGAAAGCATGAGAAACATGGTGATTTATCTGTCAATCATGCATTCTCTGATTGACGTTCTGTTTGGATGGGCTAATTAATTACCTATAGACAAACTGTTTGGTTGACTAATTACCTATATACACACTGTTTGGATGACTAATTACCTATAGACACACTGTTTGGATGACTAATTACCTATAGACACACTGTTTGGTTGACTAATTACCTATAGACACACTGTTTGGATGACTAATTACCTATAGACACACTGTTTGGATGACTAATTACCTATAGACACACTGTTTGGATGACTAATTACCTATAGACACACTGTTTGGATGACTAATTACCTATAGACAAACTGTTTGGGTGACTAATTACCTATAGACAAACTGTTTGGGTGACTAATTACCTATAGACACACTGTTTGGATGGCTAATTACCAAGTATAGGTTTATTGTTTGATGAACCATGTTACATGTGTTTACTGTGTGTTACAGGGAGGAGTACACCATACAACGAGAGCCCTACACAGATGAGATCAACTTGTGTAACACTCTTATATACTACCTGCAGAAATACATCCAGACCTCCGATGACCAGCCACAGGATGATCCACCTGTAGGCAAGGGTCTCAGTGAGTAAAATTTATACCAGGACACAGTATCCATACTGGAGGGAAGGGAAGGGGGTCTCAGTGATTAAAATCTATACCAGGACACAGTATCCATACTGGAGGGGAGGGGAGGGGGTCTCAGTGATTAAAATCTATACCAGGACACAGTATCCATACTGGAGGGGAGGGGAGGGGAGGGGGGTCTCAGTGATTAAAATCTATACCAGGACACAGTATCCATACTGGAGGGGAGGGGAGGGGGTCTCAGTGATTAAAATCTATACCAGGACACAGTATCCATACTGGAGGGGAGGGAAGGGGGTCTCAGTGATTAAAATCTATACCAGGACACAGTATCCATACCGGAGGGGAGGGGAGGGGGTCTCAGTGATTAAAATCTATACCAGGACACTGTATCCATACTGGAGGGGAGGGGAGGGGGTCTCAGTGATTAAAATCTATACCAGGACACAGTATCCATACTGGAGGGGAGGGGAGGGTCTCAGTGATTAAAATCTATACCAGGACACAGTATCCATACTGGAGGGGAGGGGAGGGTCTCAGTGATTAAAATCTGTACCAGGACACAGTATCCATACTGGAGGGGAGGGGAGGGGGAGGGGAGGGGAGGGTCTCAGTGATTAAAATCTATACCAGGACACAGTATCCATACAGTGATTAAAATCTGTACCAGGACACAGTATCCATACTGGAGAGGAGGGGAGGGTCTCAGTGATTAAGATCTATACCAGGACACAGTATCCATACTGGAGGGGAGGGGAGGGTCTCAGTGATTAAAATCTATACCAGGACACAGTATCCATACTGGAGGGGAGGGGAGGGGGGTCTCAGTGATTAAAATCTATACCAGGACACAGTATCCATACTGGAGGGGAGGGGAGGGGGGTCTCAGTGATTAAAATTTTTACCAGGACACAGTATCCATATTGGAGGGGAGGGGAGGGGAGGGTCTCAGTGATTAAAATCTATACCAGGACACAGTATCCATACTGGAGGGGAGGAGAGGGGGGTCTCAGAGATAAAAATCTATACCAGGACACAGTATCCATACTGGAGGGGAGGGGAGGGGAGAGGGGTCTCAGTGATTAAAATCTATACCAGGACACAGTATCCATACTGGAGGGGAGGGGAGGGGGGTCTCAGTGATTAAAATTTTTACCAGGACACAGTATCCATACTGGAGGGGAGGGGAGGGGGTCTCAGTGATTAAAATCTATACCAGGACACAGTATCCATACTGGAGGGGAAGGGAAGAGGGTCTCAGTGATTAAAATCTATACCAGGACACAGTATCCATACTGGAGGGGAGGAGAGGGGGGTCTCAGTGATTAAAATCTATACCAGGACACAGTATCCATACTGGAGGGGAGGAGAGGGGGGTCTCAGTGATTAAAATTTATACCAGGACACAGTATCCATACTGGAGGGGAGGGGGTCTCAGTGATTAAAATCTATACCAGGACACAATATCCATACTGTAGGGGAGGGGAGGGGGGTCTCAGTGATTAAAATCTATACCAGGACACAGTATCCATACTGGAGGGGAAGGGAGGGTGGTCTCAGTGATTAAAATCTATACCAGGACACAGTATCCATACTGGAGGGAAGAGGGTCTCCGTGATTAAAATCTATACCAGGACACAGTATCCATACCGGAGGGGAAGGGAGGGTGGTCTCAGTGATTAAAATCTATACCAGGACACAGTATCCATACTGGAGGGGAGGAGAGGGGGGTCTCAGTGATTAAAATCTATACCAGGACACAATATCCATACTGAAGGGGAGGGGAGGGGAGGGGGTCTCAGTGATTAAAATCTATACCAGGACACAGTATCCATACTGGAGGGGAGGGGAGGGGGTCTCAGTGATTAAAATCTATACCAGGACACAGTATCCATACTGGAGGGGAGGGGAGGGGAGGGGGTCTCAGTGATTAAGATCTATACCAGGACACAATATCCATACTGGAGGGGAGGAGAGGGGGGTCTCAGTGATTAAGATCTATACCAGGACACAGTATCCATACTGAATAGGGGAGGGAGGGGCAGTGTGGGTAAGGGAAGGACAGGTTTTATGGATTCAAATCTATTCTAGGACACAGTGTCCATACTGGATTGGGGATTAGTGTATGGGTCTTTGTGAGTAAAATATACACCAAAACACAGTAGCTATGCTGGCCGGGAGAGGGGGTAGGGTGGGTCAGAGGAGGGGGGAATTAGTGAGTAAAGCCGATACAAGGACAGTGTCTATTATACAGGTGTGGGGGTGGGGGGAGGGGTTAAGATTATAAAATCTATACCAGGACACAGTATCCATATGGGAGATAGTCTGAGACATTGAATAAGCATTTGTGTCAATTCCTTTAATGAACATAGAGGAGACACAATGTCCCTCTTGGTGTGTAAGAAATGAAATACATTGGTGACACAAAGCCTCTCTGTGGGAGTGGGGGAGGTGGAATGAATTTCTTTTCAAAGCTTGAGCTGCAGTGTTTTTGAAAGTGCATTATTTGACAGGATGTGTGGGGTATCATTTAGGTTATTGTGAGAGCAATTTGGTTATAAAATCTGAAGAAATACATTTATTTCTTTGATAAAACAATGGGTTTTACCAGTTTATTTTGCTGCTTGTAGATTTGTCTTCGTCCAATTGTTCCGCTGAACTAGCTGCTGAACTGGAGGAGGGAATGTATGTCCTCAAACGTAAGACAGAGGATGATTCAGAATATCCTGGGACAGGTCGTCGCTCCGGTAAGCGACGACCCAGCAAAAAAGGCAAACGTCTCTCCTCTGTTGTAAGTTGTTTCTATATACAAATATTAACATTGTTTTCAAAGAGTTTCTCTCTTTCCTTTTTTTTTTTTAATTTTTATATCGTTATCAAAATTTGTTGTTGTCTGCTGACACTTTGATACTTTGGTGATAAGGTTGTTAAATTTGACATAGTTCAGTGTTTGTAGTAACATCAAACCAAACGTTCGGCAATGCATTGATAATTTTTTCCAAATCAAAAAACATAGGCATCATGAATTCTCCACAATAATTGCTAGAAATAAAACACTATATTTATGTCCCCCAAACGAAGTGGGGGGACATATCATGTTTGCTCCGTTTCTTCTTATCATTATTATCATTTATATTATTCTTATTTCTTCCACTTCCTTCCGCCAGCGAGGTTTCTGACACATTTCTCAAAAAATATTGCATGTCAAAACTTTACACACATATTCATACATGCGAGGTGGAGTGCAGGCCACTTGAATTTTTCCAATCAGTCATCTGAGTGGCCAGCTGTGGTCAAAATTTGGCCAAATTTTAGATATTGTTCGATTTCCGTGAAAATTGGTATAAATGTATTAGATGGCACTAGGAGCAAAATGGCATCGTCCATTTTTCATGCGGCCATCAATCGGTCATCTGAGCGGTCAGCTGTGGTCAAATTTTGGCCAAATTTTAGATATTGTCCGATTTTTGTGAAAATTGGTATATATGTATTAGGTGGCACTATAGGAGCAAAATGGCGTAGTTCATGTTTAGCATAACTGCAGGTCTGATTATTGTGATTATTTACTGCTGAATGGTCGTTTGGGGGACATTTGTAATGGTCCCCATTACAATTAGTACTTGTTTATACTATATTTATTGACTATTCAAGCCTTTGGTTACATTATATAGACAGTCTATACCTATATATATATTTCTGCACAGTGTGTTGGAAATGCTTATAATTGATAGGTGATATTAAAAATTAGTTGAAGTATCATAAATCTAGGATGTTACAAAGTTACACATTATTTATAGTTTTCTCAAGGAAAGCAGGTAAACTCATGATAGTTGTAAATGCTAGATAGCGGGATCATTCTAACAGATTCTTATTGGTCAGTCAGTACATTTAATTACTGAATGTACAAAGTATATGACCTAATAAGGGCGCAGGGCATGGGTAATTGAAGGCAAGAGCACCCTTAATAAGACTTAAAATTTGGAAGTTTCATGAAACAGACTATAGGTGATAAGTATGTAGCAGAAAGATTCCAGTTGAACTGATAGTAAGTAGAAATTTGAAATGGACTATAGGTGATAAGTTTTTAGCAGACAGATTCCAGTTGAACTGAGAGTAAGTAGAAATTTGAAATGGACTATAGGTGATAAGTTTTTAGCAGACAGATTCCAGTTGAACTGAGAGTAAGTAGAAATTTGAAATGGACTATAGGTGATAAGTTTTTAGCAGACAGATTCCAGTTGAACTGAGAGTAAGTAGAAATTTGAAATTATTGCACTAGCCCTGGACATTGAAATCGGCCTGCTTTCAACTTCCAAAGTGTAATCACAGTGATCCCCAGCATAGGCCTATTTAAATATTCTGAATAAAATGGTAGATGTTGAAACATTTTTATCATTTCTGAATGAAACTGGACATTCAGCCAAGGAATTTTCCTGAAAAAAAGTCACAGGTGCCCTTATTGAGATATGTGCCCTAAAAAGGTGATATACAGTATATTATCATCAAGCATATTTGGAACAAATGATAACATGTAGTTTATTGCACAATGTCTCTTGAAAACATACAAGTTTAATGCACAAAATCATGGGACACACAGGTTCACTAGTCAGCATCTGTTTTACAGATAAACATTTATACCATTTAATAAGGTCCAGACAACCACTTTGGAAAGGTTAGAAATGCTGAGTTTGCCAAAGAGGAACCACAAAACTGGTCTTTAAAACAGAATTTTTGATGGTTATTTAGAGTCTAGATAAAACTATGTATTTCTTCAATGATATTACTAATACAGTGAACATACAATACCTTATGGGTGGAAAAACATACTTGAAACTAATTTATAAGGACCGGCATGGGACCATGTCTTGACAAAAGAATAAACTGCCATAAGATTTGAATTCTATATATATGTGTTTAGTGGTCTTAATTTTTCCATACCTCATTTTAAATGGTACACAAACATTCTGTCTGTTAAATGTTTCCTCATTATGGTAAATGTTTGTAGTTTACCTAACTGAACATCATGTTAAGATTTGTTAAGTTGGAAACATAATTGAAAAAGTTACTTTTCTTTAGTAAAGAAAAAATTGCAGTTTTGATATGAAGATTTTCTGAACCTGTAAAATTGAATTTGGATTTGTAAAAAATTTTGATAACATACCTGTCTAAAGAAGATTTTCCAGTTTGACACAGTGGGAGATTATTTCTGTGGTGTGTTTTGATTGTCAGGTTTTCCTATTTTAATGTGTGTTCACAGTATTTGATCTCAATATTGGATAAGACAGGGGAATATTGCTGATTGTAAGCTTATTTTAAAATGTTTTGAAATAATAACTCATTTTATCAATCATGGTTGGTTGGGTACAGGTTTTCCATCTCTGTTGCTCTTCCTGTCGTTAGGCATTGTCTCACTGACAAATGTCTGTGTTCTGGCAATGTAATCATCTTAAAAATTATATATAGCCCAGAAATCTGGTGATTTTTTATATGATCTCCCAATATGCTTATGATATGAAAAAAATACCAAGAAAATACCAACATGTCAACATAGTTATATTCCAAACACAGATTCCATAAAAGAACAAGAAAATACCAACATGTCAACATAGTTATATTCCAAACTCAAATTCTATAAAACTAAAGAAAAATAGAAACAAAAGAAAGACTTACATTGAGACTCCTGAAAAAGTACAAGGAGAATAAGACCAGGTGTTCAGGAAGAGTAAGCATATTCTGCTTCATCAACAACACCTGCTATGTAAACTTTGGTCAATCCAATTATGTCCCATTCTCAATGGAGAACAAGGTATACAGGAGGGAACCAACAGACAAACTAATGAGTATCAAACACATCCAACTTCATATCACACAATGGAACCAACAGACAAACTACCGAGTACCAAACACATCCAACTTCATATCACACATCGGAACCAACAGACAAACTAATGAGTATCAAACACATCCAACTTCATATCACACAACGGAACCAACAGACAAACTAATGAGTATCAAACACATCCAACTTCATATCACACAACGGAACCAACAGACAAACTACCGAGTATCAAACACATCCAACTTCATATCACACAACGGAACCAACAGACAAACTAATGAGTATCAAACACATCCAACTTCATATCACACAACGGAACCAACAGACAAACTAATGAGTATCAAACACATCCAACTTCATATCACACAACGGAACCAACAGACAAACTAATGAGTATCAAACACATCCAACTTCATATCACACAACGGAACCAACAGACAAACTAATGAGTATCAAACACATCCAACTTCATATCACACAACGGAACCAACAGACAAACTAATGAGTATCAAACACATCCAACTTCATATCGCACAAAGAAATAAAATATTTCTCAATGAGGTTGCTATGAGGACCATAAAATTTCCCTATAATATAATCAGTTAATGACTTCTTGCATGAAAATTGTGATGATGGGGAATTTATTTGTACATGCATCTGTTAATACTGCAGATTGAGAACAGGCTGGAATGTTCTATCAAACTTTACTGTAGACCAATATCACTTGAAATAAAATGCCATGATGAAATCAAATACCATATGAACTGGACTTATATCTTAATTTTTGTCTCTTGTTTCAGACTAAGCCTGTGACACATACACCACAGATATTTTCCCAGTTTGCCTCCCTAAATCTGAATGCACCTTCAAATCATTCCGAAATACCAGCGTCCTTAGAGCAGCTACAAGCTCGCAAGGTAACTTCTAGAAATTGCTGAATTTTTTATTATAAGATATTGAAAGGACATGAACATATTTATTAAGTGTGTAGAAAGGAAGGGGGATAATCCAGATCTCATACTAAAAGGAATTTCAAATTTTTCCTAGACATGACTTGTCAACATTCTGACAAATATCTTGAGGCACAATTATCATAATGTTGTTTATTTACTACACTATTGTTGTTTATTTACTACACTATTGTTGTTTATTTACTACACTATTGTTGTTTATTTACTACACTATTGTTGAATATTGAATTGTTTTAATTTGATTTGAAAGACTTGGACAAACTCAACCATTATTTTTAAGGAATTCTACAAAAATGGTTGCCAGCTAAACCAGAGTATCGCAACCCCAGCCATTGAGGAGCACCACACCAGTGATGCGGGGATCTCCACTAGTGATGCAGGGATTTCGCTTACAGAGAGTGGTATGTGCGAGATGTCTCGTCAGGCTAGTAACACTGAAAGTACAGAGAATTCAACAGAGCTGCCGTTTACTGTTCTGGATGAACTTATGAAGCTGTCGAGTGAGGAAGCTGCATCAGAGACATTGTCTGAAGTTTCCGAGGATACTCTAGGTCGTAGTAATTCCAATTCGGACTCCACTGAGCATGCTCAGTCTGAGGGAGACTTATCAGATAGTATTCCCACATCTGTGCAGGATAAAGAAAGTGACAGCAATGATATATGTGGTATGAAGTCAGAGAGTGTAGCTGGGGTAAAATGTGAGGGTAACTTAACTACTGAATCATTGCTCAAGGTACCACACAATGATACAGCACGCCAATGTGATAATCAAATAGTCCTCACTACTCAGATGTTGGAGCAGGCCAAAGTCAACTCTAATATGCATAAACTGAGTATATGTGATGTCCCTGTGGACCAGGCATCAAAGGTAAGGGAAGTGGTGGGTGATGATTGTCAGGAGACTGACTATGAATTTGATATGCCACTTGAAACCTCACCATGTGTGTCTTGATGTTGGTAGCTGATTAGCCATCATGACTATGTGTTGTGTATGATGCATTCACGGATTTATGAATGTCCTTGACTTTTACACTGAAGGGTTAGAAACCTGGATCGGCATGGTTATACTATAGGATTAAAAAGGGATGAATTTGTATGTTAGGTCTACTTTATATTCATGCTTTGTTATTTTCGGTATTTAAGTACTAAATACCGAACTTTTCAAAATTACCTTGTTTCATTCTGGGTTAGAAATTACTTTGTGTTTTGTTCAGCCAAACTGTGTAAAATTCAAAGACATTTTTAGTCTTTTATTGTTCACTGTATCGGTATATATATATTCAAGAAATGATAAGTGTAGATTAGCTATATTTTGTGAGGTTTTAATTTAAATTGCAAATTTTACTAGTATGATTGGGAAAACAATTTCATTTAGGATATATATATTTTTGAGTATCGTACAGATTTGCTGGTTACTTTTACCGGTCAACAGTTTATATGGAGTAATTATTGTTTTAATCGTGTCCGAGTTTTCTGGACATTATGTTGTTCATTCCTTGTCATTTTCATTATGATATGTTGAAAATTAGGCCAGAAAAACAATCCAATAAAGATACAATCCAGATAACTGATATTTGTGTTCTTTCTTGATTATTACTTGACTAACTTGGTTATCAGATATTTAACTGATATTTGTGTTCTTTCTTGATTATTACTTGACTAACTTGGTTATCAGATATTTAACTGATATTTGTGTTCTTTCTTGATTATTACTTGACTGACTTGGTTATCAGATATTTAACTGATATTTGTGTTCTTTCTTGATTATTACTTGACTAACTTGGTTATCAGATATTTAACTGATATTTGTGTTCTTTCTTGATTATTACTTGACTAACTTGGATATCAGATATTTAACTGATATTTGTGTTCTTTCTTGATTATTACTTGACTAACTTGGTTATCAGATATTTAACTGATATTTGTGTTCTTTCTTGATTATTACTTGACTAACTTGGTTATCAGATATTTAACTGATATTTGTGTTCTTTCTTGATTATTACTTGACTAACTTGGTTATCAGATATTTAACTGATATTTGTGTTCTTTCTTGATTATTACTTGACTAACTTGGTTATCAGATATTTAACTGATATTTGTGTTCTTTCTTGATTATTACTTGACTAACTTGGTTATCAGATATTTAACTGATATTTGTGTTCTTTCTTGATTATTGCTTGACTAACTTGGTTATCAGATACAATCCAGATAACTGATATTTGTGTTCTTTCTTGATTATTACTTGACTAACTTGGTTATCAGATATATTGGTGGTATAGTTTGTTTTTTAGGTACAGTAATGTAACTTAAGCCAATTATCAAAGCCTTTTGAACTAGTTGTCTGATTGACAGAAATATTTCTACATATTATCATTGGCATTTGCGGCAATCTTCTCCCATCTTTCAAAATATTGATATGCATGCATACCCTTGCTCTCTTGCTACGAGATACATATTAGCAGTGGTAACACACTCACCTTTCACCGAGAGATTCGGGGTTTGATTCTCAGTGTGGATGAGAACAGGTATGTCACTTGCCTGTCCACGTGGGTTTTCCTTGAGTACTCTTAGTAAGACCACTTACCTCGGGGTCAACAACAGTGATCAAATATAAACTTGTTTAAAAATTGTTGTAAAATAAATAAAGTTTATATTTATGCTATATTGAACTAAAAACTTGACAAACTAGGAGTTCATGAATATATTCAGATTGAGGTTTGTGTCAATCGCATAGTAGCAATATTTCTCTGGTTTGAAACTAAAGATAAGGAGGATTTTATAGAACATTTGAAAATTGTTTTTACTGATGTATGTAGTGTACGAGATCTACACGGTCACCTTTATCAGACAAATGACCAGTGTGGGGCGTACTAACACTGACGTACGTAGTGTACGTAGTGTACGAGATCTACACGGTCACCTTCATCAGACAAATGACCAGTGTGGGGTGTACTAACACTGACTTACGTGGTGTACAAGATCTACACAGTCGCCTCCATCAGACAAATGACCAGTGTGGAGCGTACTAACACTGACGTAGGTAGTGTACGAGATCTACACAGTCGCCTCCATCAGACAAATGACCCGAAAAAAAGAGAAATCATTCCTTCCCCTGGATTAACACAGGTAACATACAGTAATGTTACCCCCTCTCTGATGACTAGGTCCCCAGGACTTATCACAGGTAACATATAGTAATCCCTGGATATCTAACAGGTAACATACATATCTAATGTTACCCCCTATCTATCTAGGTCCCTACCGTATATCTAAAATGTCAACACCGTATATCAAAATGTCGAACTACCGTATATCTAAAATGTCGAACCTGAACTACCGTATATCTAAAATGTCGAACTACCGTATATCTAAAATGAAACCCCTACCGTATATCTAAAATGTCGAACTACCGTATATCTAAAATGAAACCCGAACTACCGTATATCTAAAATGTCGAACTACCGTATATCTAAAATGAAACCTGAACTACCGTATATCTAAAATGTCGAACTACCGTATATCTAAAATGAAACCTGAACTAACGTATATCTAAAATATCGAACTACCGTATATCTAAAATGTCGAACTACCGTATATCTAAAATGAAACCTGAACTACCGTATATCTAAAATGTCGAACTACCGTATATCTAAAATGAACTACCGTATATCCCGAACTACCGTATATCTAAAATGTCCCTACCGTATATCTAAAATGTCGAACTACCGTATATCTAAAATGAAACCCGAACTACCGTATATCTAAAATGTCGAACTACCGTATATCTAAAATGTCGAACTACCGTATATCTAAAATGTCGAACTACCGTATATCTAAAATGTCGAACTACCGTATATCTAAAATGAAACCTGAACTACCGTATATCTAAAATGTCGAACTACCGTATATCTAAAATGTCGAACTACCGTATATCTAAAATGTCGAACTACCGTATATCTAAAATGAAACCCGAACTACCGTATATCTAAAATGTCGAACTACCGTATATCTAAAATGTCGAACTACCGTATATCTAAAATGTCCGAACTACCGTATATCTAAAATGTCCCGAACTACCGTATATCTAAAATGTCCCGAACTACCGTATATCTAAAATGTCCAACTACCGTATATCTAAAATGTCGAACTACCGTATATCTAAAATGTCGAACTACCGTATATCTAAAATGCCGAACTACCGTATATCTAAAATGTCGAACTACCGATTATCAAAAATGAAACCCGAACAACCGTATATCTAAAATATCTAACTACCGTATATCTAAAATGTCGAACTACCGTATATCTAAAATGTCGAACTACCGTATATCTAAAATGTCGAACTACCGTATATCTAAAATGTCGAACTACCGTATATCTAAAATGTCGAACTACCGTATATCTAAAATGTCGAACTACCGTTTATCTAAAATGTCGAACTACCGTATATCTAAAATGAAACCCGAACCACCGTATATCTAAAATATCGAACTACCGTATATCTAAAATGAAACCTGAACCACCGTATATCTAAAATGTCGAACTACCGTATATCTAAAATGTCGAACTACCGTATATCTAAAATGAAACCCGAACTACCGTATATCTAAAATGTCGAACTACCGTATATCTAAAATGTCGAACCCGTATATCTAAAATGTCGAACTACCGTATATCTAAAATGTCGAACTACCGTATATCTAAAATGCCGAACTACCGTATATCTAAAATGTCGAACTACCGTATATCTAAAATGAAACCCGAACTACCGTATATCTAAAATGTCGAACTACCGTATATCTAAAATGAAACCCGAACTACCGTATATCTAAAATGTCGAACTACCGTATATCTAAAATGTCGAACTACCGTATATCTAAAATGTCGAACTACCGTATATCTAAAATGAACTACCGTATATCTAAAATGAACTACCGTATATCTAAAATGTCGAACTACCGTATATCTAAAATGCCGAACTACCGTATATCTAAAATGTCGAACTACCGTATATCTGAATGTCGAACTACCGTATATCTAAAATGAAACCCGAACTACCGTATATCTAAAATGTCGAACTACCGTATATCTAAAATGTCGAACTACCGTATATCTAAAATGAAACCCGAACTACCGTATATCTAAAATGTCGAACTACCGTATATCTAAAATGAAACCCGAACTACCGTATATCTAAAATGTCGAACTACCGTTTATCTAAAATAAAACCCGAACTACCGTATATCTAAAATGTCGAACTACCGTATATCTAAAATGCCGAACTACCGTATATCTAAAATGTCGAACTACCGTTTATCTAAAATGAAACCCGAACTACCGTTTATCTTAAATGAAACCCGAACTACTGTAAACCTAAAATGTCGAACTACCGTATATCTAAAACAAACCCGAACTACCGTATATCTAAAATGTCGAACTACCGTATATCTAAAATGTCGAACTACCGTATATCTAAAATGAAACCCGATATCTACCGATATCTAAAATGTCGTATATCTAAAATGTCGAACTACCGTATATCTAAAATGAAAACAGAACTACCGTATATATAAAATGTCGAACTACCGTATATCTAAAATGAAACCTCGAACTACCGTATATCTAAAATGTCGAACTCTAAAATGTCGAACTACCGTATATCTAAAAAACCGAACTACCGTATATCTAAAATGTCCCGAACTACCGTATATCTAAAATGTCGAACTAAAATGAATCCAATGTCGAACTACCGTATATCTAAAATGTCCACCCACTGTATATCTAAACTGTCTAAAATGCCGAACTACCGTATATCTGAAATGAAACCCGAACTACTGTATATCTAAAATGTCGAACTACCGTATATCTAAAATGAAAAATGAAACCCGAACTACCGTATATCTAAAATGCCGAACTACTGTATATCTAAATTGAAACCCGAACTACCGTATATCTAAAATGTCGAACTACCGTATATCTAAAATGCCGAACTACCGTATATCTGTATATCTAAAATGTCGAACTACCGTATATCTAAAATGAAACCTGAACTACCGTATATCTAAAATGTCGAACTACCGTATATCTAAAATGTCGAACTACCGTATATCTAAAATGTCGAACTACCGTATATCTAAAATAAATCCGAACTACCGTATATCTAAAATGAAACCTGAACTACTGTATATCTAAAATGTCGAACTACCGTATATCTAAAATGTCGAACTACCGTATATCTAAAATGTCGAACCGTATATCTAAAATGTCGAACTACCGTATATCTAAAATGAAACCTGAACTACCGTATATCTAAAATGAAACCCGAACTACCGTATATCTAAAATGTCGAACTACCGTATATCTAAAATGTCGAACTACCGTATATCTAAAATGTCGAACTACCGTATATCTAAAATGCCGAACTACCGTATATCTAAAATGTCGAACTACCGTATATCTGAAATGAAACCCGAACTACCGTATATCTAAAATGTCGAACTACCGTTTATCTTAAATGTCGAACTACCGTATATCTAAAATAAACCCGAACTACCTTATATCTAAAATGAAATCTGAACTACCGTATATCTAAAATGTCGAACTACCGTATATCTCGAACTACTACCGTTTATCTAAAATGTCGAACTACCGTATATCTAAAATGTCGAACTACCGTATATCTAAAATGTCGGACTACCGTATATCTAAAATGAAACCTGAACCACCGTATATCTAAAATGTCGAACTACCGTATATCTAAAATGAAACCTGAACCACCGTATATCTAAAATGTCGAACTACCGTATATCTAAAATGAAACCAGAACTACCGTATATCTAAAATGTCGAACTACCGTATATCTAAAATGACCGAACTATATCTAAAATGTCGAACTACCGTATATCTAAAATGTCGAACTACCGTATATCTAAAATGACCTGAACCACCGTTTATCTTAAATGTCGAACTACCGTATATCTAAAATAAACCCGAACTACCTTATATCTAAAATGAAACCTGAACTACCGTATATCTAAAATGTCGAACTACCGTATATCTAAAATGTCGAACTACCGTATATCTAAAATGTCGAACTACCGTATATCTAAAATGTCGAACTACCGTATATCTAAAATGTCCAACCACTGTATATCTAAAATGTCGAACTACCGTATATCTAAAATGTCGAACTACCGTATATCTAAAATGAAACCCGAACTACCGTATATCTAAAATGTCGAACTACCGTATATCTAAAATGTCGAACTACCGTATATCTAAAATGTCGAACTACCGTATATCTAAAATGTGAACTACCTAAAATGTCGAACTACCGTATATCTAAAATGAACTACCGTATATCTAAAATGTCGAACTACCGTATATCTAAAATGTCCTGAACTACCGTATATCTAAAATGTCGAACTACCGTATATCTAAAATGTCGAACTACCGTATATCTAAAATCTGTATATCTAAAATGTCGAACTACCGTATATCTAAAATGTCGAACTACCGTATATCTAAAATGAAACCTGAACTACCGTATATCTAAAATGTCGAACTACCGTATATCTAAAATGAAACCCGAACTACCGTATATCTAAAATGTCGAACTACCGTATATCTAAAATGAAACCCGAACTACTGTATATCTAAAATGTCGAACTACCGTATATCTAAAATGAAACCCGAACTACCGTATATCTAAAATGTCGAACTACCGTATATCTAAAATGAAACCCGAACTACCGTATATCTAAAATGTCGAACTACCGTATATCTAAAATGAAACCCGAACTACCGTATATCTAAAATGTCGAACTACCGTATATCTAAAATGTCGAACTACCGTATATCTAAAATGAAACCAGAACTACCGTATATCTAAAATGTCGAACTACCGTATATCTAAAATGTCGAACTACCGTATATCTAAAATAAACCCGAACTACCGTATATCTAAAATGTCGAACTACCGTATATCTAACCCGTATATCTAAAATGTCGAACTACCGTATATCTAAAATAAACCCGAACTACCGTATATCTAAAATGAAACCAGAACTACTGTAAATCTAAAATGTCGAACTACCGTATATCTAAAACAAACCCGAACTACTGTAAATCTAAAATGTCGAACTACCGTATATCTAAAACAAACCCGAACTACCGTATATCTAAAATGTCGAACTACCGTATATCTAAAATGTCGAACTACCGTATATCTAAAATGTCGAACTACCGTATATCTAAAACAAACCCGAACTACCGTATATCTAACATATATAATATAGTTAGACTGTCGTACTCCTATATAATAAGTAAGGATATCTGTAACAAGCTAACGTATCCTTGTCAATTATAACCACTCGCTTCGTCGTGTTGTCAAACATTTGTTCGGACGGGGGTGTCCGACCCCTGGGGATCATTCCGTCTTCAAGGGAATTCTCGCCTGCTGATTAATAAAACCTGGGCACAACGAATTGGACTTGAAACAAGCATCATATCAAGCCGTCAGACATTCTTATATAACGTGCAAGAGAAAAAGAAAATCATACACGTGGCGGGGACAAATAAAACATAACAAAATAACGAAACATGAATACAGGTCTCTAAAACATTTTATTTCTTAATTTTTCACGATCAGTTTTTTTTCCATTGGGTTTTTACTTTATTTTATTCCATCTTTGTTCTTTCGGGGCTTTAAAGTTTCTAACACTGTAAATAAGGAATATGTAGGGAAAATCGGCGTAAGAAATAGTTAATAAAATTTTGTCAACGTGATTCGGTCAAATTCCGAACACAGACTTAATTCTACAAATCTGGCTATCTACGTACTAAAACCAGAAGCATATAACTCCCAGTACTAAATACCCAGCCAGTACATCAAATTATAGTGAATGTCTGGCAGGGGTCTATCGTATATGGAACAGTGTAGATGGTTCTAGAAGTAGAATGTTCTGGCCCCTACTGGGAATGATGCTGGGTTCGCTTGCATCGTATTTCATGACCATATATGGTAATACGGTATGTGGCCTTTATTTAGGAAAAGAATCACACAAAGGTTGCTAGCTAAACACTATATGATCACTAAGAGTCAGGAAAGACCAGACAAATGACTCAGTAGATCAGGAATATTTACAATAAGTAACAAATTCGTGTATTTCACGTGCTTTTCGGTAGTCGAACTCTTTTGTCAGGAGGTTCGTTCGTACCAACTTCCGGTTTAGCGGCTGCCTGCGGAGAAAAACAAGGAAAAGGTAAGGAGTGTTTTTAGTGCTCCTATCCCTATGTAACATTGTATGGTCTATTTTTTGTGACAGAGAAATATAAAGACATCCATTTCCACGTTTACCGAGGAATATGTTGTTTTTACTAGCGATCGTAAACGGCGAAACACCGCTCAGGAGAGAGCTGTCAAAACGATAAACTTACTTTGACGAAAGCGCTTGTAACATGAGAAGGTACAGCGTGATACTCATTTTGAAATTGTTAATTTTGTAACATTATTCTTATATATATATGCACACATATATGTAATTTCTTTCCAACATCAGCGTAGTTTTATATTTTAATGAACTGACACGATTTTATACCTAGGCCCAAAAGCATACCCGCTATCGTCTCATGAGCCGTAATTTTTTTCCAGTTAATGATTTCAATGTTTGTATATCTCTAGTTACACAAATGTTTAAACATAAACTTAATTCCCAACCGACCTACCCTGATCATTTCTGGCATCTTAGCGAAAACATATGTATTATTATTTTATTTTAAATCTGAAAAAAACAAATGAATATTTATGAAAAATGGGAATTTGAATGAAGTCTTCCAGATGCTGTCATAACACAGTTCATATTAATTGAGAAGATTTGAGTATTGTATTGTAAATGTAATTTTTAATAGAGGAAGTGATTGATTAGTAATAATGGTTCTAGTTTGATCCTAGCACTGAAGCGTTAACCATATTCCAGGAAGTTATATTGTACTTGTAGTTGGATATGACAGACAAAGGTGGTCTTTTTCTTTGAGCATGCTGTGAAGCCTTATTCGTTAAGTCATTACTGAAGTTTCATATTTATAATCGTATGAAACCAAATTAAAACAACATCAAACCTGTTTACTTTGACAGATGTCAGACCCACTTGTTTTGAAGGAGGAAGGAAATAAGTTCTTTAAGGATGGAGACCTTGTTGCTGCTCTCTCATGCTATATGAATGCTTTGGATATCTCAGACCTGAAAGATGCGGATAAAGCAGCTATTTACAAGAACATGGCTGCTTGTCATTTAAAACAGGAGAAATATACCGAAGCAATAGAGGATGCTACTGCAGGTAAGAAGAGAATTGTGATCCTGATTGAACCATACAAGGGTACAAGTGAAAACATTTTTATCTAGCCAAAGACTGATACATACTGGCATATATGTTTCATCACAAATAAAACCATGATTGAATTATGAAAGGTGCCAATGACCTTATGTACAGTTCATGTACCAGTCATAATTCGATCGTAAGTTTTTATTTGTGATGAAACATATATGCCAGTATTTTTAACATTCCTTGCAAAACTTTGCAATATTTTCTACAAATAGTTTGAAGAAAATATTGCAAGGTTTTTTACTGACAATATAACATTAAGAATTTTATATAAATTAAATACTCATTCAAACTATCAATAGAATTCAACATTTAATGCTGAAATGAAGTTGAGATTCTGTAGTTGAAAAGAGTTGAAAAGAAACCCTGTTTTTGTTTAGTTGTTTCTAGCATGGACCAATCAAAACAACATATTTCTATTGAAAATAAGAAATAGGACAGAAAATATCTAAGCAGCTTATATATACATAATAGCTCTCATTACAATCAAGATGCCAATAACATCAGGTAAATATTGATAAAGTATTTTTTACTAAGCTTTAAAATAAGGGTAAAGAGAACAAACAGGCGTTCTCCTCCATGTATTTATTTATTTATAGCCGGCAGACACACATGGCAGAAAACCCTTCCAAGACCTGTACAAGGTCTGGTAAAATGTATCAAAGTCTAGTTATTAATCAAATACCTGAAATAAACACTATTAGCACCTGAAATAAAATATAGAATCTATTTACAGTAATATCCAATCATCCTCCACAATTTGTCCCATCATAAAATTGTCAAAACGTTGAGGTACTCGTCTGGTCCTGGTGGATCTCCGTATTGGTGCAGTTTCCATCATAGCGGTGGTATCAGACGAAGAAGGGGAGGTAACCACCCCAACACCAGTACCTAGATTACAACTTCTATGGATACCACCTGAACTTTGTTGGTTACTATCATGACAGGACTCCTCTCACCGTGTACTTCGAGTAACAGGCCTTAACAAATAGATAGAGTCTGAATCACTATCCCCTTCAGAACTGTAATCAACGTGACCCTGGGGGGTTCTGACCTCTGACTTTTAGCCGGCTGACCTTGACCTTGACTTGACATCTGAAACCCAAGTCTCAGTCACAATACCCTAAATACATACTTATCATAGCAATGTGACACCCTAGTGAACAAATATAATACACAATTGTGCGATTATTCAGTTCAAAAACAAACTTGCAAAAGTTCGGACAATTTTCATCGTCGATAGGTACCGTGGTTAATCACACACTTCCTGGTCAAAGTCGTCAAGATGTTTGAGTCTAGTGCGCACTAAAGACAGGATCGTTACTCCAAAGCATGCGGTCAGATACGTGTAAACATTGAAATAAACTACACATTTTTTTGTTTTTTTTTTGCTAGGTCTCAATGACAATGAATTTTCCTTTTCTGTAGTAAACACATTCCTGTGGCCAGTGGGAAAGAATAAGTCGTTAGTAGCGCTACAATAAGGGTTTTTTTTCCACCAGGACTGGGCTATTGACTGAATCAGGTCATACTAATTCCTTGTCTTAGCCACTCCGTGCCACTGGGCTCACCGGGTACACTTGTAAACCACCGGTCTCGTTGTGTTCGCGAAATGTCACAAAGCAAAGAAAACCAAGCAGTCGTTCTTTTCCTTGTATTTATTTATTTATAACCGGCGGACGCACATGGAAGAAAACCCTAAAAAAACAAACAAACGGCTGTATAAGAATACCTATTAGATGCATATTCTGTATGACAATAACTGGAAATATTTGGACCGATATGGAATAATTAAACAATTATGATTCCAAATTCATAATTATTAATTAAATGTATGATACAATTAAACATTAGTTTAATTACCTTCCAAGACCTGTACAAGGTCTGGTAAAATGTATCAAAAGTCCAGTTGTCTTGTCAAACTGGAACCAAGCAGACTCCCAAGGATACGGCCATATCCTGGTCTACGGCCGACTGTGATAAATGCGCGGTTGTAAAACAGTTTTATTCCATTAACTTTCACACTCGCATGCTTTCCCCACAACTTACACCCTAATTAACATATAACTAAATAACAACACCAAATATGGACATGACAGGATGTACATGGGACGTGCACACAGGACCAACGTGGCACATGCACAACACGTGAATACACTAAAATGGAAACAGGTGTTTTCCTGTTCCACTACAGATAATGAATATATATGTACCTGTCACAATATAATCAACACTTCAGTGTAAAAATGTACACAATGAAAATCCAATAATTCTAAAAAAAAGTCATCAAATTGTGTCTGTGTATCTCATATTAACAAGAGGTGTTTATTATATGTAGCAATTACTAAATGACTTTCATTGGACCTTACTGTTTGTAAACAAAACAGAACCAATCTTCTTACTGGATGTTGACATTTTGATTGGACAACACATCACAATTGAAACTTTAATTTTAATAATTTCTCGACAAATTGGTCAAATGGGCAAGTGTTATTCTCACTTGGATGAGTGAGAGATACAGGTCCTTTAGACCCATTGTTAAATGTTTTAATATGAATTAGAAATCAATGGCAACAAGCCAATGGTACTTTTTTCTTTCTCCTTTATTGGTATGTCAACCAGTTTTGTTAGAACTTTTGGGCTTCATTAGACAATAACACAAATTTAAACCTAAAAGTATTGGAATTCTGTTGAAAAATCAAAGATAAAGAAGTCATGTAAAAGTTAGAACTACTTGACACTATTGTATGTCACTATTCACAAAGAAAGGGTGCACAGAATTTCACTTCTTTAGGTAGAAAATTTATTATTTGTTATTATCCTGATGAAGCCCAAAAATTTGTGTGAAACCAATAGACCTACCAGTGAACAAGAAGAAACAACATACCCCTGGTTTGATGCGATTGATTTCTAATTTGTAGTTTGTCCCTTTATTTAAATCACCCAGCATACCGAGAGGCATTCAAGCGAGACATATAAGGAACTGACCAAACTCATCTTAGAATACTAGCGTCGACTCCATTCTATGATTTATGCTTTAAGATGAGTATGAAATGTCTTTGTAACTGAATTATTCCGTTTCCCCGTAATATTTTATACAGTTCATATAATTCATTTATTTGAAATATAGATATATGCACATTTTTGTAGAAAAACTCGAGAAAATAATTTAAATCCATTGTTGAAAAGGAGGATCATGACATAGATATGACCTTTTTTACAGCCCTTAATGTCCATGAAAATGACCCTAAAGCTCTCTATCGAAGATGCATGGCATATGAAAAACTGGGCAAAGTTGAGGAAGCATACAAGGATGCTGGAGCACTGATCAAGGTAGATCCCAAGAATACGGCCATCCAACCGATTATACGTCGACTAACACCGTTAATTCAGGAAAAGGTAAATGTTGAGTTGGTTTATGTTGTTCACCATGATAGAAAGAAATACTTTTGTGCAATGTGCATGTATATGCTTTTGGTATTCATAGAAAGAACATAGTTTTTATGTCCATGCCATTTGATTGGGGGCGGGCGGGGGTGGGCAGGGTGGGCAGGGCATAATATAGTATTCACTCATGTTTATTTTCCCTTTTGCATTCCGTCATGTCCCAACATCCCATTTCCCTTTACATATTCAGTTACATGTCAAAAGATAGGGGACTGGTTAGGAGGGGATAATATCTTTACATGAGCTCCAATACATTGTTTTTTGTTGCAGATAGAACAGAGCAAATTTCACCTACTGGCATTTACATTTAGCCTCTGCCTTTTTATTGTTAACCTTTTTTTTACTTGTGAGTTTCAGTTTTGTTAATGTTGCAGTTTTGAATGACAAACATGCTTGTATAAATTCTGGATGCAGAAAAAAATTGTTCTCAATATTTGTTTATTCCATGGATATAAAGGTCACAATTTTTTCTTTGTGGTAAATATTCCCCACATTATAATTACATTATAGGACATGATATTAACTTTTTGTTGATGTTGTCAAAATCTTAATTTCTCTCTAGAAAAAAGAAATACTAGCATAAAAGCAGGTCTCATGCCAACAAAGACAAATAGTGTTCAGCTGTGATTTATTCATGTGATCACTAGCTGCCAACATCTACATCTATTTTGTATTATTGTGCAGGAAGATGAAATATTGCCGAATCATAGTAGATTTATTCAGTTTTACAACACAAGTGAAAAGTTGTCCCACTGTTTTTGTGTAAATATCATGAATATTGATGTAATATGGATTTTTTTAACATATTCAATAATCTGATACCTCACAAGCTTTTAGGTGAGTGACATAGCAATTTATTTAATGATTTTAATTAAAAACCCATATTACATTGGCACAAGTCTAAGATTCTATTTATCTTTTGATTTATCATATAACCTGTGTTTCTGAAAAATCAACAAAAGCTCTGGCATCAGTTTCTCTACCAGACAGGCTAATAAGATAAATGTGTTTTGTGATATTAATGATACAGTGGTTTTTACAGATAAAACAGCAGAACAGTACCTCCGCTAAAGTTTCACAGATGTTCAACCTAGCTTTTGACTCTGGCAGTGACGATGAGAAGAAGCTTCAGGTATTTATTTGTTGTTTCTAATTGTCCATAGGTGTGTCCGTGAAGTCAGACTGATCACAGATATAATATAACCAACTGATGGTTACCTTACCTTGGAATTTGACAAGTTAAAATTATTATTACTGTTGAAGGTACAGGAAAGATATTTCTCAAACTTTTGTGTTGTTTAAGAAAACAGCTGACAGGAGACCATATTGGATTTTAACAATAGAAAATTGTTATTAATATTGCAATAAAAGATCTGATATTTCATATGTGAGATTCCCTTGATATCAAATGATTAAGAGGAAAGGGAAAGGAAGTGAGAATTGAAAAGATCAATCTTATATAAGACTGATAAAGATAATTCAATGTGTGGTGTCAAGATCTCACTAGAATCACTTCTATTTATAGAACCAATAAAGATCATGTGATGTTGGGTGTCAAGATCTCACTAGAATCACTTCTATATATAGAACCAATAAAGATCATGTGATGTTGGGTGTCAAGATCTCACTAGAATCACTTCTATATATAGAACTAATAAAGATCATGTGATGTTGGGTGACAAGATCTCACTAGAATCACTTCTATATATAGAACCAATAAAGATCATGTGATGTTGGGTGTCAAGATCATACTAGAATCACTTCTATATATAGAACCAATAAAGATCATGTGATGTTGGGTGTCAAGATACCTCTGGAATATCTCGATGATATTTTCTTGTTGGCTATCACAGGTGGTACATGTACTTATGTAAAGTTCAAGTTAAGATCCACTTAATTCACCACAATTATTAGTACTGTATTGTTACGTTTAATGATTGTTTCAGAAATTTACAGCAATGAAATAACTACATATTACAGACTTCAATTTTTATTTCACATCAGAGACATTTGACAAAATTTACCTGAAATATAGAAGGTATTATTTTTCTATTGCATTTAAGTGTTTTTTAGACATGACATACTGTTAAATTGGTAAATATCATGGGGCTTTAATCGGGTGATATTGGCAATCAATAGATGGTGCTACTGTAAATTAGATATACAGAAACAAATCAGTGTTCCTCCTTGCCTTTTGAACCTGGGTGTACAGTACACCCCTAACAATATATTTGAAAACTGGGGAAACATGTCTTGAATTGCACCAATATAGGTGTTTTGTACCTTTGTTTGGGAATAATGGGAAACGCTGAAAAATATCACCAAACATTTGTTATATGTTTGTATTCATTGATACATGTTTATACATACAAACATGCGATAGTTATTTTCCTGTGAGAAAGGTCAAGGACATTATATCAATACACATTAAAAATCAAGGACATAATATATCAATACACATTGAAGGTCAAGGACATAATATATCAATACACATTGAAGGTCATGGACATTATATATCAATACACATTGAAGGTCGAGGACATTATATATTAATACACATTGAAGGTCAAGGACATAATATATCAATACACATTGAAGGTCATGGACATTATATATCAATACACATTGAAGGTCAAGGACATAATATATCAATACACATTGAAGGTCAAGGACATATTATATCAATACACATTGAAGGTCGTGGACATTATATATTAATACACATTGAAGGTCGAGGACATTATATATTAATACACATTGAAGGTCGAGGACATTATATATTAATACACATTGAAGGTCGAGGACATTATATATTAATACACATTGAAGGTCGAGAACATTATATATTAATACACATTGAAGGTCGAGAACATTATATATTAATACACATTGAAGTGCAAGGGCAAATTAGATTATATAATACATTATAACTAGGCATAGCAAAATACGAAATAATATATATATGAAACAGCAAATATGAAATACACATATGAAGCAAATATGCAAGAGGCAAATATGTAATTATATAATACATTATAACTAGGCATAGCAAAATACGAAATATCCATATATCAATATGAGAACAGCAAATATGTAATACCAATGTATCTATATGAGAACAGCAAATATGTAATACCAGTGCATCTATATGAGAACAGCAAATATGTAATACCAGTGTATCTATATGAGAACAGCAAATACGTAATACCAGTGCATCTATATGAGAACAGCAAATATGTAATACCAATGTATCTATATGAGAACAGCAAATATGTAATACCAGTGCATCTATATGAGAACAGCAAATATGTAATACCAGTGTATCTATATGAGAACAGCAAATACGTAATACCAATGTATCTATATGAGAACAGCAAATATGTAATACCAGTGCATCTATATGAGAACAGCAAATATGTAATACCAGTGTATCTATATGAGAACAGCAAATACGTAATACCAATGTATCTATATGAGAACAGCAAATACGTAATACCAATGTGTCTATATGAGAACAGCAAATACGTAATACTAATGTATCTATATGAGAACAAAATATCATCAATGGGTTTGATTTTCAAAATCTGAAACTTTTACAGAAAAAGATATACAAAAGTTAAATTCTATCAAAACATATTTTGATGGAATAATATACATGTACAAATCTAACACATTTTGTTTAAAAATTAAAGGAAAAATGTCCCCACAAACTGCTGTCCCATCATACAATGAAAATAGATAATGTCCCCACAAACTGCTGTCCCATCATACAATGAAAATAGATAATGTCCCCACAAACTGCTGTCCCATCATACAATGAAAATAGATAATGTCCCCACAAACTGCTGTCCCATCATTCTGTAGGACTATACTGCTGAACACTTAATTTCAGAGATAAATGTAGCTCAATAAATCTACTAAAACTACATATACTAACTTGAACAGTTTGTGCACAATGAATTCATGGAATTATTTTACCAACAAAAAAGGTAAAAATAGCCCTCCACAAAAATTAATGTTTTTACAGTAAATAATATAATTTAAAATCTTTTGTCTACAGGCGGCCCGATTTCTTAGTGACAAATTAAACTAGTTACAGGATTGGTTACCAGTATTTAAATACTAGCTATCATTAGACCTGTGTAATTTTGATTTGTTTCAGGCTCTGAACAACCTTGTTGTGTTAGCACGGGAAGATGCTGGTGCTAACTATATCTGTGAGCAGTCTGGCGTACAGAGACTGAAAGCTTTGTTAGAGGGACGAAATCTGACGCTGATTCAGGCAGCTATTCGTGTTCTTTCCTGCGTGTGCAGTAATTCAGTACCTAGGGTATGTACATTCACTATCTTATTTCCTTTTATTCTTTAATCCTCTTTAAAAGTCTATAATGTTATCTGTGTATTTGCCAGATTACACAGTCTTCTTATGTCAACTTATCCTTCACTTTTTAAAATCTTCTGGGATCAGCTATGATAGAAATTAAGAATGTCTCCATGTAAAAGCTATTGTGCTTTCTCTACCCTTCCAGGATATAGTAAACATTTGTTTAAGAAAGTGGATAGGTGCAGTAAGAGGATGGGATGAGGAATTAGTTAGTCCTCCTGTTAGCAATTTTCATTTTTAACCCACAATAAAATTCCTCAGTGTACATAGGCCATTTTCAGTCCTTACAAATCTTGGTTGAAAATGTTAGATCATGGCATGAAGGTTTTCGAGAGTGTTCGGTAAAGAATTGAAAATTGCAAAAATGAGGTATTTATCTTCTTAAGTTAATGATTGAGTAGAATAGATTGAAACGAAATACAGCAGCTTTAGTTGGATACATTGGATGGATTGTCGAAGTAAAGTTTTGATGTTTGGTTGTCGAAAAGTGTAAATAATGGGGTTGGTAAGTGAATGCATGAATCCGAGAAGTATTACAAAGTCTTTAACAATAACAGGTACAGTACAGGAGGAGAAAAATGCTTGTATGATTATGATGGCAAAAAATGGCCCCCAAGATAATACAAAAGAGGTTAATATGAGACAGAGAGTAATTGTCATTTTATGGTTGTGCTTCACCTTTTGTAACTTGGGCTCGGATTGTTCTGGACATTCTGTTACAAGCTTATTAGATAGATCATACTTTAGTTTGAGATGTTTTTTGGTCGCGTGTAAAATGTTTGCATACAGTATAAACATGCTCAAAAATGGTATCAGGACTCCAATGATTAAGGCTACTTGTAAGAAGTGTTCATTGAAAGCTTGATAGTAGGTACACGTTTTGGCTGTTAAATTTGTTTTCATGCCAATAAAAAAAGATATTGTTGTAAACAAAACGCAAATCAGCCATTCAGTACTGATGATAACTTTTGTGGTTTTTTCATGGGACACAAGAAATTTATGGAAAAGTGTATGGCAGATGGCTAAATACCTTTCAACAGTCAAGGTCATAAGATTTACTATAGAAGCAGATGTTAAAAAGAGTGAATTAATCAGAACCATTTTACAGATGTAAGGATTTTGTAGTAAATCATGTTCTAAAAGCCATAGAATAAAAAATGGTGTAATTGTTAAGCCTATAAGCATGTCGGCCGTAGCTAAGGACGCTATGAGATAATACGTAGTTTTGTGTAGCTGTCGTGAAGTAAAAACCATTACAATAGTCAGTAAATTACTTATTGTGATAAGTAAACTTAACAATGTAAGAAAAACTGTCAAAATTATAACAAATTTAATATCATCTTCTGGTTCAACTTTATCACTGGAGTTGATGGGGAAGAGATTCATGTATATCCTTGTGATGTTCTTAACCGGGGTCATCTTAGAAATATTATCATCACAGACACGCTAATATATTTTAATTGTTTCTGGATCAAATTAAATTTTTTAAAAAGAGCTTTTTCTGTATTGATGTGTAGATAAATTTTTTTACAACTAAAGTTCCACTTTATAGATCAACAAAGTTGTTTAAACTTCTGTCTGAAATTGGTTTTTGATCAATGTTGCTTTGAATATGCAAAGAGCAATTAAGATAAAGATAATTCACAAATTGACCTACATCATTCAGTCATTGTTCTAACTGAAATAGTAAATATTTCTGAAGTCCTCTGGGTCATAATCCTTTTGTAATATAAGGCAATCCAAATGATAAATTTCTACAATAAGTTTAGACAATACAGAACCTCTAGATTGTAATTTCTACAATAAGTTTAGACAACACAGAACCTCTAGATTGTAATTTCTACAATAAGTTTAGACAATACAGAACCTCTAGATTGTAATTTCTACAATAAGTTTAGACAACAGAGAACCTCTAGATTGTAATTTCTACAATAAGTTTAGACAATACAGAACCTCTAGATTGTAATTTCTACAATAAGTTTAGACAACACAGAACCTCTAGATTGTAATTTCTACAATAAGTTTAGACAACACAGAACCTCTAGATTGTAATTTCTACAATAAGTTTAGACAACACAGAACCTCTAGATTGTAATTTCTACAATAAGTTTAGACAATACAGAACCTCTAGATTGTAATTTCTACAATAAGTTTAGACAACACAGAACCTCTAGATTGTAATTTCTACAATAAGTTTAGACAACACAGAACCTCTAGATTGTAATTTCTACAATAAGTTTAGACAATACAGAACCTCTAGATTGTAATTTCTACAATAAGTTTAGACAACACAGAACCTCTAGATTGTAATTTCTACAATAAGTTTAGACAATACAGAACCTCTAGATTGTAATTTCTACAATAAGTTTAGACAACACAGAACCTCTAGATTGTAATTTCTACAATAAGTTTAGACAATACAGAACCTCTAGATTGTAATTTCTACAATAAGTTTAGACAATACAGAACCTCTAGATTGTAATTTCTACAATAAGTTTAGACAACACAGAACCTCTAGATTGTAATTTCTACAATAAGTTTAGACAACACAGAACCTCTAGATTGTAATTTCTACAATAAGTTTAGACAACACAGAACCTCTAGATTGTAATTTCTACAATAAGTTTAGACAATACAGAACCTCTAGATTGTAATTTCTACAATAAGTTTAGACAATACAGAACCTCTAGATTGTAATTTCTACAATAAGTTTAGACAACACAGAACCTCTAGATTGTAATTTAGATCATTTTGTAGTAAGTTAAGGAGATCTGTCACCTGTAGAATTCCTTTGGTAAGTTAGAGAGTTCCAAACCTCTAGATCATTTTGTAGTAAGTTAAGGAGATCTGTCACCTGTAGAATTCCTTTTGTAAGTTAGAGAGTTCCAAATCCTCTGATAATTCCTGCAATAAGCTAGGGGTGTCCTTGAAGTGAAATGTCAAATATCGTCATGATATTTGTTGTCTGCAGTTTGTTGTCTTTAAAAAATACACACAGATTATTATTACTAGAAGGTGATTCAAATGTCTTTAGTTTGAAAAGATTTCCCCACTGTTATGATGCCTGCAAATAAATGAGACAAATAAATATTTATCAGTCTTAGCAATCAGTAAGACAAATTCCAAAATGTCAATTGCTGGCTTAACATGAACCAGTAGAAATTTTGGACTTTTTTTTCTTTTGAAATCAAGGATTTCTTTTTGTCAACTATAAGATCAAGATGTGAAACTTATTTAAAAGTGTAATTGATCTTCAGAAGAAATGCATATTTTTCACTTGGATGTCCAAAATGTCTTATTATTGACTGACCAATCATGAAGGATGTGGAATTGAAATAGACATTCCATTGATATGTCAATTCTTTTCTCACATCTTATCTCCAAGATTTTTTACTGTCAAATTATAATCTGAAACATATTGTACACAGGGTTTGTAATCCTTGTACGCTATGTCTGACAGAACTAAAACAGGAGCCTGGATTGTCACTGTAATCCACACAAGTTGATAAATCCTTGTACGCTATGTCTGACAGAATTAAAACAGGAGCCTGGATTGTCACTGTAATCCACACAAGTTGATAAATCCTTGTACGCTATGTCTGACAGAATTAAAACAGGAGCCTGGATTGTCACTGTAATCCACACAAGTTGATAAATCCTTGTACGCTATGTCTGACAGAATTAAAACAGGAGCCTGGATTGTCACTGTAATCCACACAAGTTGATAAATCCTTGTACGCTATGTCTGACAGAATTAAAACAGGAGCCTGGATTGTCACTGTAATCCACACAAGTTGATAAATCCTTGTACGCTATGTCTGACAGAACTAAAACAGGAGCCTGGATTGTCACTGTAATCCACACAAGTTGATAAATCCTAGATTACAATGATTTATGTATCAAGAACATTTGTGTGATATTGTACAATCAAAACCAGCTTTCCTTCCACGTGGACAGAGGCACATGGATCAACACGTGAATTTTGACGTCTACTGTTGTCGAATTTCCAATAACTAAGGCAGTTGATGTAGCTTTGTGTGTTTATTGTCTTTGTTTGACGGCTTGCTTTAATCAACAGACACCAACAAAGTTAGACGGGGAAAATGTACACTTGAATCACAATTTTAAATACCAAACTTGGTAGTGATTTTTCGATTCTTCATTCATTTGGATTATTTCCTTGGGGTAATGTCCCATTATTTCCTTGGTGGTAATGTCCCATTATTTCCTTGGGGGTAATGTCCCATTATTTCCTTGGGGGTAATGTCTCATTATTTCCTTGGGGGTAATGTCCCATTATTCCCTTGGGGGTAATGTCCCATTATTTCCTTGGTGGTAATGTCCCATTATTTCCTTGGTGGTAATGTCCCATTATTCCCTTGGGGTAATGTCCCATTATTCCCTTGGGGGTAATGTCCCATTATTTCCTTGGGGGTAATGTCCCATTATTTCCTTGGTGGTAATGTCCCATTATTCCCTTGGGGTAATGTCCCATTATTCCCTTGGGGGTAATGTCCCATTATTTCCTTGGTGGTAATGTCCCATTATTTCCTTGGTGGTAATGTCCCATTATTCCCTTGGGGTAATGTCCCATTATTCCCTTGGGGTAATGTCCCATTATTTCCTTGGTGGTAATGTCCCATTATTCCCTTGGTGGTAATGTCCCATTATTTCCTTGGTGGTAATGTCCCATTATTTCCTTGGTGGTAATGTCCCATTATATCTTTGGGGGTAATGTCCCATTATTTCCTTGGGGGTAATGTCCCATTATTCCCTTTGGGGTAATGTCCCATTATTCCCTTGGTGGTAATGTCCCATTATATCTTTGGGGGTAATGTCCCATTATTTCCTTGGTGGTAATGTCCCATTGTATCTTTGGGGGTAATGTCCCATTATTCCCTTGGTGGTAATGTCCCATTATTCCCTTGGGGGTAATGTCCCATTATTCCCTTGGTGGTAATGTCCCATTATATCTTTGGGGGTAATGTCCCATTATTTCCTTGGTGGTAATGTCCCATTATATCTTTGGGGGTAATGTCCCATTATTTCCTTGGAGGTAATGTCCCATTATTTCCTTGGAGCAAAGCCCCATTATTTCCTTGGTGGTAATGTCCCATTATTTCCTTGGAGCAAAGCCCCATTATATCTTTGGGGGTAATGTCCCATTATTTCCTTGGACAAACATTATTTTTGCTTCCTTTCTTCTATAATTTTGTTCTTATTCCTTTCGATTTTCACTATAGTTAAGGTTTCTAACAATTTGCACAAGATATGATAAAAGCTTCTCAAAATCACTTCATGTTTAACTAAGCAGAGAACCCATTGTTTTGTTTTTTAAAAGACTGTTCTCACAAAAGTAATGAATTCATGATCCTAGCTTCTTTACACAATAATTAACACAGATGCTATATTGAAATCTTACAAATATTTCACAAACTCTCCACACTCTGAACATTGTAGCCACGATAGACAGGTTTCTGAGAGTTTGACTCTTTAATCTGTTACACAATGAATTTCTTTGGTTTAGCCTTTTCTGCAATGTTAAGTAACAAGCTGGTGAGGTCAGAGGTCAAGGCATGTAATCAATCAGTCACACCAACTTGGATATTGATCTACAGTAGGATTAGTATATACCTAAGGGAGACAATGTAGGTTGTTAAACTTTTAATGAGTGACTGTAGACAGAACTATGGCTGCAGCGATCAGAGGTGTCAAGTCCAGATGTTAGGAGACGGATGGTACTCTAACACTTACATAAACCAGATCGGATATTGATTACAGTTTAAGTATACATGTACCTGCAAACATTTGAGAATTTCCATGGAAGAGATTTTTAAAGGGCTGAGAAAACATGGCTAACCATTTAACCTTAGTCCAGTATCAAAGCCTATCATCAAAACTACCATCTGCATCATGGAAAACAGCTTCATAGTAAGATTTATTTCAAAGTTGAAAAATCAGAGGTCATACTATGGTGGGTGGCAATATTCTAACAGAGATCATACTATGGTGGGTGGTAATATTCTTACAGAAATCATACTTTGGTGGGTGGCAATATTCTAACAGAAATCATACTTTGGTGGGTGGCAAATATTCTTACAGAGATCATACTTTGGTTGGTGGCAATATTCTAACAGAGATCATACTTTGGTTGGTGGCAATATTCTAACAGAGATCATACTTTGGTTGGTGGCAATATTCTAACAGAGATCATACTTTGGTTGGTGGCAATATTCTAACAGAGATCATACTTTGGTTGGTGGCAATATTCTAACAGAAATCATACTTTGGTTGGTGGCAATATTCTAACAGAAATCATACTTTGGTTGGTGGCATTATTCTTACAGAGATCATACTTTGGTTGGTGGCAATATTCTTACAGAGATCATACTTTGGTTGGTGGCAATATTCTAACAGAAATCATACTTTGGTGGGTGGCAATATTCTAACAGAAATCATACTTTGGTGGGTGGCAATATTCTAACAGAAATCATACTTTGGTGGGTGGCAATATTCTAACAGAAATCATACTTTGGTTGGTGGCAATATTCTAACAGAGATCATACTTTGGTGGGTGGCAATATTCTTACAGAGATCATACTTTGGTGGGTGGTAATATTCTTACAGAGATCATACTTTGGTGGGTGGTAATATTCTTACAGAGATCATACTTTGGTTGGTGGCAATATTCTAACAGAAATCATACTTTGGTGGGTGGTAATATTCTAACAGAAATCATACTTTGGTTGGTGGCAATATTCTAACAGAGATAATACTTTGGTGGGTGGTAATATTCTTACAGAGATCATACTTTGGTTGGTGGCAATATTCTTTACAGAGATCATACTTTGGTGGGTGGCAATATTCTAACAGAGATCATACTTTGGTGGGTGGCAATATTCTAACAGAGATCATACTTTGGTGGGTGGCAATATTCTAACAGAGATCATACTTTGGTGGGTGGCAATATTCTAACAGAGATCATACTTTGGTTGGTGGCAATATTCTAACAGAGATCATACTTTGGTTGGTGGCAATATTCTTTACAGAGATCATACTTTGGTGGGTGGCAATATTCTAACAGAGATCATACTTTGGTGGGTGGCAATATTACCTCGTTAAAATCATGAGATCATACTTTGTAGTTATATATTATGTATTCTTTATTCACTGTTAATCATCACTTTGGTTGTGTATTTAATATCACGTTATACTTTGGTGGGTGGAATATTTAGAAATGAAATCCTCATAGCTATACAATAATATCTGAAATTTGGGTAGAAATCAGCAGATAATGACCTCCTAAGAAGATCCACAAAGTGGAATGGCCTACATATAAAATCATGAAAAAAATTTACTAATACTGTGTAGTTATATATTATGTAGTTGTCCACTGATTCACTGTTAATCTATCAGTTTGCTTCAATGTGTATTTAATATCACGTTATCTTTCCTGACTGTGAATATTTAGAAATGAAATCCTCTGGGAATTTACCCAGCTATACAATAATATCTGAAATTTGGGCTAGATGTGTAATGAATGATGGTAAGATGTGGATTGATCAGGCTCTACATATAAACAAACTTTAAAAAAATTTCATCTGATTCAAGCTACAATATACCATTATTTTGATAAAAATTATCTAATTGTTGGTGAAATGAAACTAGATTTAAGGATGATTTTAGATGTGTATTGAATGATTGTAGATGTGTATTGAATGATTGTAGATGTGTATTGAATGATTGTAGATGTGAATGATGGTAGATGTGTATTTGATGATGGTAGATGTGAATGATCGTAGATGTGAATGATGGTAGATGTGAATGATGGTGGATATGAATGATTGTAGATGTGAATGATGGTAGATGTGTATTTGATGATGGTAGATGTGAATGATCGTAGATGTGAATGATGGTAGATGTGAATGATGGTGGATGTGAATGATTGTAGATGTGTATTGAATGATGGTAGATGTGAATGATCGTAGATGTGAATGATCGTAGATGTGAATGATGGTAGATGTGAATGATTGTAGATGTAGAGTAGTAAGCTTATGAATGCCTCAATGCCTTGTTACTGTTGGTGTGATTTGAAGCTAGACCTGCGGGTAATGTCATCACTTTGATGAGGTTATTATTTAGGTTTACTGTGTAATGTCATCACTTTGATGAGGTTATTACTTAGGTTTACTGTGTAATGTCATCACTTTGATGAGGTTATTATTTAGGTTTACTGTGTAATGTCATCACTTTGATGAGGTTATTATTTAGGTTTACTGTGTAATGTCATCACTTTGATGAGGTTATTATTTAGGTTTACTGTGTAATGTCGTCACTTTGATGAGGTTATTATTTAGGTTTACTGTGTAATGTCATCACTTTGATGAGGTTATTATTTAGGTTTACTGTGTAATGTCATCACTTTGATGAGGTTATTATTTAGGTTTACTGTGTAATGTTGTCACTTTGATGAGGTTATTATTTAGGTTTAATGTGTAATGTCGTCACTTTGATGAGGTTATTATTTAGGTTTACTGTGTAATGTCGTCACTTTGATGAGGTTATTATTTAGGTTTACTTTTCCATCGATTTGATTTGTTTGCTTTTTTTAACACAGAATCATAAAGTTTCATTAATATTTCAGTCATGGTTAGTATCAAAAGAAATTGGTGTGAAGAGGCTGGGATTGTTGATGTGGGAGTCTAATGAAGCATTAGTGACATCAACAGGAAAGCTGATAGAGACCATGTTAGTTAAAATCACAGGCCTGGATATTCATCGTAAAGCAGAGGAGGATTATCAAGCTACAAGGAAGCGTGGTGAACCTTGTCGCCGACCCAGGCTGGAGTTAGGTACAGTGACATTGTAATAAATTAAAAAGAATTATAGCACTAATGAATGATGTTCACTCTTGGCAAACCACAAAATTTATTTTTTATGAAGATATCTGATTTCATAGAATTTTATAATATGAATATAAACCCATTAAATATTAAATTAAAATAAATTAATATGATCATTAAAGAATCAGTAAATTTTAAGAAATGACCATTACTTACTTTCAAAGTAAAACTTGTTACAACGTTGTAATTTGATTGTCTGAATAACTCAGGAGCCAATGTCCTAATACTGAGTCAGTGATGTACAGGTATTATATAAACTACTATACAGGTACTTGAGTCAGTGGTGTACAGGTATTATATAAACTACTACACACGTGCTTGAGTCAGTGGTGTACAGGTATTATATAAACTACTACACAGGTGCTTGAGTCAGTGATGTAAACTACTACACAGGTGCTTGAGTCAGTGATGTAAACTTCTACACAGGTGCTTGAGTCAGTGATGTAAACTACTACACAGGTGCTTGAGTCAGTGATGTAAACTGCTACACAGGTATTTTATAAACCTCTACACAGATGATCGATACGGGCCCTTTTGGCCTTTTGTTTTAATGATTGTACAGTGATGATGTTTCCCTAATGTAGATGACGACCAGCGTGAATATTTGAAGGAGACGTTCCACATGCTGATAAAAATGCTTCAAAACTACAAGGTCTCGGGGGAAGGAAGAGATGCTGCCATGGAACTCCTCATCAAAAACATGCTCCGTAAAAATGGGCTCCAGTGGACGAGGGATTTTTTGGAGACTGACGGTACAAATGTTCAGCTATCTACAGGCTTTTTATTTTGTTAAGGTTTTGGAGGGGATAACTTGCTGGTTATTCAGCAAAGTTCTATTGTAGTGATCACTGGATACTGTAAATCGTTACACATGTGGTACTCTTCTTTATAAAATATTGTTTTTTTAATCTTATTCAACTTTCAGACTCAAAAATAGCGAACACATTCAGTCTACAGGCCTTAAAGAATCGTCCTGGAGCTGTCAATTGTTTATTAACGTTTCCCTATTTCAGACGTATTCTTCTCAATTTTATTCAATTGTGATTCTATCAAAGACATACTCCAACAATTCTTTTTCGTAGAGGTATTTTTGATACGAGTGAAATTCAAGTATAGTGCGTGATATGATGACATTGCACGGAAGTAATTTCATTCATAATTTCATATTGCTAGATGTGTGAGGGAGACTATCATTATCCATGTATAATGATAATGATTACTACACATGATATCTATTCATATAAAGGAGGTGGACTTTTTACAGGAAATTAATCATGCAATTACCTCAGGAAGGAGGTGGGATGGAGGGGGGGGGGGGTGTCACATGATATCTATTCATATAAGGAAGGTGGGCTTCTTACTGGAAATTTATCATGCAATTACCTCAAATAGGAGTTGGGGGGGGGAGGGGTGGGGGGTGGGGGGGGGGGTCACATGATATCTATTCATATAAGGGAGATGGGCTTGTTACTGGAAAAATATGCAATGAAGCCAGGGAGATGCGGAGGGGAGTCCAGATAGATACCAACTCATATAAGGGAGGTGGGCTGACGACAATGTGACAATGACAATAATGTCTTAAAATATGCCCAGAGGACCAACACAAAAGTGAATTTAATGAAGAGCAGAATACATGGCTGGGCTTATAACCAGGCAGGGACTTAATGCTGGATAGATTTAGTCTATAACCAGGCAGGGACTTAATGCTGGATAGATTTAGTGTATAACCAGGCAGGGACTTAATGCTGGATAGATTTAGTGTATTAATGTTAATTAGAGATAATGCAATAGATATAGATTGATATTCCACAGGTGTTGAGGGATTACTGGCAGTTGCTGGGGCAATCAAACAGCACGAGACACTGCCTGTGACTGAGAACTCAAAGATGCATGCAGCAGTGGCTCTGTCCAACATATATGATGACCTGTACAGTGATAAGGAGGCGGACAAGTTTAAAGCAAAATGCAGTGAATATTTCAAGTAAGATTTATGTATTGTGTGTATTTGAAGTAAATTGTGTCCAGATAGAATGATCTCCCTTTTATACAAAGTAGTGTGCTAGATAATCTCCCTTAACTGTTGATCTGCCTCAAGTCCAAGTTGCCCTGATTATAAATTATAGATTGACCTTATTTGTGTGTACATGTTTACATACTGAAATACAATAGATAAGATCACAATGCCTTTTGAAATATGTTAAAACAACACGTAGATTAAATCATTAGTAATAATGAAACAAAGGTGATTATCTGTAAATATACAAATAATTAAACAATACTCTGCAGTTTTGTTGTTAAAATTCTACAAAGTACATTTCATGTTCTCTTTTTTCGATGAGGTTTTCTTAATAAAGTTCATAAAAAGGAAAGATTGAAGATGCTTTCTTCTTGTAAACATCCAGTCACCTCAATATATGTAAGCACAAACATGAGCGTTCATAATATTTTGTTCTATATCTAGATTCAGAGTGAGACTTTTTTTTCATATACATGTATATACATACATGAAGTTAGATTTAAGATCATTATATAAATTGTGAATTGGTAAGTGTTTCAGGTACAAATATATATTTATATATTTTTTTGTTTATTTTTCAGAGATTTATTTGGTGACGAAATATTTGAATCCAAAATTGAAGCCCTAAAAGCCATTTCCACCTTACTGCAGGTAAATCACACTGTTAACTTTACTACAGGTAAATCACACTGTTAACTTTACTACAGGTAAATCACACTGTTAACTTTACTACAGGTAAATCACACTGTTAACTTTACTACAGGTAAATCACACTGTTAACTTTACTACAGGTAAATCACACTGTTAACTTTACTACAGGTAAATCACACTGTTAACTTTACTACAGGTAAATCACACTGTTAACTTTACTACAGGTAAATCACACTGTTAACTTTACTGCAGGTAAATCACACTGTTAACTTTACTGCAGGTAAATCACACTGTTAACTTTACTGCAGGTAAATCACACTGTTAACTTTACTGCAGGTAAATCACACTGTTAACTTTACTACAGGTAAATCACACTGTTAACTTTACTACAGGTAAATCACACTGTTAACTTTACTACAGGTAAATCACACTGTTAACTTTACTACAGGTAAATCACACTGTTAACTTTACTGCAGGTAAATCACACTGTTAACTTTACTGCAGGTAAATCACACTGTTAACTTTACTACAGGTAAATCACACTGTTAACTTTACTACAGGTAAATCACACTGTTAACTTTACTACAGGTAAATCACACTGTTAACTTTACTACAGGTAAATCACACTGTTAACTTTACTGCAGGTAAATCACACTGTTAACTTTACTACAGGTAAATCACACTGTTAACTTTACTACAGGTAAATCACACTGTTAACTTTACTGCAGGTAAATCACACTGTGTTTACTTTACTACAGGTAAATCACACTGTTAACTTTACTACAGGTAAATCACAGTGTTAACTTTACTACAGGTAAATCACACTGTTAACTTTACTACAGGTAAATCACACTGTTAACTTTACTACAGGTAAATCACACTGTTAACTTTACTCCAGGTAAATCAGGTAAATCACACTGTTAACTTTACTGCAGGTAAATCACACTGTTAACTTTACTACAGGTAAATCACACTGTTAACTTTACTACAGGTAAATCACACTGTTAACTTTACTGGTAAATCACAGGTAAATCACACTGTTAACTTTACTACAGGTAAATCACACTGTTAACTTTACTACAGGTAAATCACACTGTTAACTTTACTACAGGTAAATCACACTGTTAACTTTACTTTACACAGGTAAATCACACTGTTAACTTTACTGCAGGTAAATCACACTGTTAACTTTACTGCAGGTAAATCACACTGTTAACTTTACTACAGGTAAATCACACTGTTAACTTTACTACAGGTAAATCACACTGTTAACTTTACTACAGGTAAATTACACTGTTAACTTTACTACAGGTAAATCACACTGTTAACTTTACTACAGGTAAATCACACTGTTAACTTTACTACAGGTAAATAACACTGTTAAGTTTACTACAGGTAAATCACACTGTTAAGTTTACTACAGGTAAATCACACTGTTAACTTTACTACAGGTAAATCACACTGTTAACTTTACTGCAGGTAAATCACACTGTTAAGTTTACTACAGGTAAATCACACTGTTAAGTTTACTACAGGTTAATCACAGTGTTAACTTTACTACAGGTAAATTACACTGTTAACTTTACTGCAGGTAAATCACACTGTTAACTTTACTGCAGGTAAATCACACTGTTAACTTTACTGTAGGTAAATCACACTGTTAACTTTACTACAGGTAAATCACACTGTTAACTTTACTGCAGGTAAATCACACTGTTAACTTTACTACAGGTAAATCACACTGTTAACTTTACTACAGGTAAATTACACTGTTAACTTTACTACAGGTAAATCACACTGTTAACTTTACTACAGGTTACTGCAGGTAAATCACACTGTTAACTTTACTACAGGTAAATCACACTGTTAACTTTACTACAGGTAAATCACACTGTTAACTTTACTACAGGTAAATCACACTGTTAACTTTACTACAGGTAAATCACACTGTTAACTTTACTACAGGTAAATCACACTGTTAACTTTACTGCAGGTAAATTACAGTGTTAACTTTACTACAGGTAAATTACACTGTTAACTTTACTACAGGTAAATCACACTGTTAACTTTACTACAGGTAAATCACACTGTTAACTTTACTACAGGTAAATAACACTGTTAACTTTACTACAGGTAAATAACACTGTTAACTTTACTACAGGAAAATAACACCGTTTTAACTTTACTACAGGTAAATCACTCTGTTAACTTTACTACAGGTAAATTACACTGTGTTAACTTTACTACAGGTAAATCACACTGTGCTAACTTTACTACAGTTAAATCACACTGTTAACGTTACTACAGGTAAATCACACTGTTAATGTTACTACAGGTAAATCACACTGTAATAACTTTACTACAGGTAAATTACACTGTGTTAACTTTACTACAGGTAAATCACACTGTGTTTACTTTACTACAGATAAATCACACTGTTTACTTTACTACAGGTAAATCACACTGTTTACTTTACTACAGGTAAATTACACTGTGTTTACTTTACTACAGATAAATCACACTGTTTACTTTACTACAGGTAAATCACACTGTTTACTTTACTACAGGTAAATTACACTGTGTTTACTTTACTACAGATAAATCACACTGTTTACTTTACTACAGGTAAATCACACTGTTTACTTTACTACAGGTAAATCACACTTTGTAGTCAATCTATTGATGCAGGATGGAAGATATATTATTTAGTTGAGTATATACAAATGTGCATATTCAAATTGTTATCATTTTGATAATATACATTAATGCCTTTGTTTCATTGTGAATAATTTTAAAGAGTGTTAAGGTATATAATGTAATGCTTATCATACCTTATATGGGCATACAGAATACCACTGAGATATACAGAGTTTTTATGTTTAAGTGAAGAATAACATATATGGAGGCCCCTTGATTAAGATATATTTTCTTTAACAGGGTCCTTACGAGGTTGGCAGTATGATCCTTGGGTTTGAAGGAGTCACTAAAATCATGTTTGCCATGGCTGACAGCGAAAATGTTCTCCACCAGGTAGATTTAATTGCAGAATCAATCTCAAAAGTATACTATAAATTTACACCCCTAAATTAAAATTTCATTGACTGTGGTACTTTACTATTGACATTAATCAAAAACTCCTTAAAAATAAGACCAGAAAACATGGTCGCATATGTATATAATTGATTATTGAATTATTGAAATGTTTTCACTTGGCATTCATAAGCATATGTATTTACTGTTGAGACAAAGATCTATAAATACTTGTATTTACTGTTGAGACAAAGATCTATAAATACATGTATTTACTGTTGAGACAAAGATCTATAAATACTTGTATTTACTGTTGAGACAAAGATCTATAAATACATGTATTTACTGTTGAGACAAAGATCTATAAATACATGTATTTACTGTTGAGACAACGATCTATAAATACATGTATTTACTGTTGAGACAAAGATCTATAAATACTTGTATTTACTGTTGAGACAAAGATCTATAAATACATGTATTTACTGTTGAGACAAAGATCTTTATAAATACATGTATTTACTGTTGAGACAAAGGTCTATAAATACATGTATTTAATGTTGAGACAACGATCTTTATAAATATATGTATTTACTGTTGAGACAACGATCTTTGTAAATACTTGTATTTACTGTTGAGACAACGATCTTTATAAATACTTGTATTTACTGTTGAGACAAAGATCTCTAAATACATGTATTTACTGTTGAGACAACGATCTATAAATACATGTATTTACTGTTGAGACAAAGATCTATAAATACTTGTATTTACTGTTGAGACAAAGATCTATAAATACATGTATTTATTGTTGAGACAAAGATGTATTAATACTTGTATTTCATGTTGAGACAAAGAAAGATCTTTATAAATACTTCTTTTCTGTGTCTTTGTAAAAATGAAAATTTCATTATCAATAGCAAATTGCTGTGGAGGCCATTGTACACTCGGCACAGAAACAGAAGCGTTGTAATAGTCTTCTGGCTGGTGCTGTTCCAATTTTGAAGAAATTATACCAGACTGCAGAAGACTCCATCAAAGTTCGAGCTCTTGTGGTAAGGGAATAATAGTGGTAGAAAATCTCATCAGCTTCTAAACAAAATACCATAACAAGATATGCAACAAATACCAGTGCTAATGTAGAATCAAATGTCTTTGATCCGTAAAGATTCCTAAAGTGGAACTCTTTCGTGTAATTATGACCAAGCTGCAGTGGTACATTTCACCCTAAAGTGGAACTCTTTCGTGTAATTATAACCAAGCTGTATTGGTACATTTCACCCGGAAATGGAACTCTTCTGTGTAATTATAACTAAGCTGTAGTGGTACATTTTACCCTAAAGTGGAACTCTTCTGTGTAATTATAACTAAGCTGTAGTGGTACATTTCACCCTAAAGTGGAACTCTTCTGTGTAATTATAACTAAGCTGTAGTGGTACATTTCACCCTAAAGTGGAACTCTTCTGTGTAATTATAACCAAGCTGTAGTGGTACATTTCACCCTAAAGTGGAACTCTTCTGTGTGATTATAACTAAGCTGTAGTGGTACATTTTACCCTAAAGTGGAACTCTTCTGTGTAATTATAACCAAGCTGTAGTGGTACATTTCACCCTAAAGTGGAACTCTTCTGTGTGATTATAACTAAGCTGTAGTGGTACATTTTACCCTAAAGTGGAACTCTTCTGTGTAATTATAACTAAGCTGTAGTGGTACATTTTACCCTAAAGTGGAACTCTTCTGTGTAATTATAACTTAGCTGTAGTGGTACATTTCACCCTGAAATGGAACTCTTCTGTGTAATTATAACCAAGCTGTAGTGGTACATTTCACCCTAAAGTGGAACTCTTCTGTGTAATTATAACCAAGCTGTAGTGGTACATTTCACCCGGAAATGGAACTCTTCTGTGTAATTATAACTAAGCTGTAGTGGTACATTTTATCCTAAAGTGGAACTCTTCTGTGTAATTATAACCAAGCTGTAGTGGTACATTTCACCCCGAAATGGAACTCTTCTGTGTAATTATAACCAAGCTGTAGTGGTACATTTCACCCCGAAATGGAACTCTTCTGTGTTATTATAACTAAGCTGTATTGGTACATTTCACCCTAAAGTGGAACTCTTCTGTGTAATTATAACCAAGCTGTAGTGGTACATTTCACCCTGAAATGGAACTCTTCTGTGTAATTATAACTACTGTAACATTTCATAAAGTGGAAGCTGTTGGTACATTTCACCCTAAAGTGGAACTCTTCTGTGTAATTATAACTAAGCTGTAGTGGTACATTTCACCCTAAAGTGGAACTCTTCTGTGTTATTATAACTAAGCTGTAGTGGTACATTTTACCCTAAAGTGAAACTCTTCTGTGTAATTATAACCAAGCTGTAGTGGTACATTTCACCCCGAAATGGAACTCTTCTGTGTAATTATAACTAAGCTGTAGTGGTACATTTCACCCTAAAGTGGAACTCTTCTGTGTAATTATAACTAAGCTGTAGTGGTACATTTCACCCTAAAGTGGAACTCTTCTGTGTTATTATAACTAAGCTGTAGTGGTACATTTTACCCTAAAGTGAAACTCTTCTGTGTAATTATAACCAAGCTGTAGTGGTACATTTCACCCTAAAGTGGAACTCTTCTGTGTAATTATAACTAAGCTGTAGTGGTACATTTCACCCTAAAGTGGAACTCTTCTGTGTAATTATAACTAAGCTGTAGTGGTACATTTTACCCTAAAGTGAAACTCTTCTGTGTTATTATAACTAAGCTGTAGTGGTACATTTTACCCTAAAGTGAAACTCTTCTGTGTTATTATAACTTAGCTGTAGTGGTACATTTCACCCCGAAATGGAACTCTTCTGTGTAATTATAACTAAGCTGTATTGGTACATTTCACCCTAAAGTGGAACTCTTCTGTGTTATTATAACTAAGCTGTAGTGGTACATTTTACCCTAAAGTGAAACTCTTCTGTGTAATTATAACTAAGCTGTAGTGGTACATTTCACCCTAAAGTGGAACTCTTCTGTGTTATTATAACTAAGCTGTAGTGGTACATTTCACCCTAAAGTGGAACTCTTCTGTGTAATTATAACTTAGCTGTAGTGGTACATTTCACCCTAAAGTGGAACTCTTCTGTGTAATTATAACTAAGCTGTAGTGGTACATTTCACCCTGAAATGGAACTCTTCTGTGTTATTATAACTAAGCTGTAGTGGTACATTTCACCCTAAAGTGGAACTCTTCTGTGTTATTATAACTAAGCTGTAGTGGTACATTTTACCCTAAAGTGGAACTCTTCTGTGTTATTATAACTAAGCTGTAGTGGTACATTTCACCCTAAAGTGGAACTCTTCTGTGTTATTATAACTAAGCTGTAGTGGTACATTTCACCCTAAAGTGGAACTCTTCTGTGTAATTATAACCAAGCTGTAGTGGTACATTTTACCCTAAAGTGGAACTCTTCTGTGTAATTATAACCAAGCTGTAGTGGTACATTTTACCCTAAAGTGGAACTCTTCTGTGTAATTATAACCAAGCTGTAGTGGTACATTTTATCCTAAAGTGGAAATCTTCTGTGTAATTATAACCAAGCTGTAGTGGTACATTTTACCCTAAAGTGGAACTCTTCTGTGTAATTATAACTAAGCTGTATTGGTACATTTCACCCTAAAGTGGAACTCTTCTGTGTTATTATAACTTAGCTGTATTGGTACATTTCACCCTAAAGTGGAACTCTTCTGTGTAATTATAACCAAGCTGTAGTGGTACATTTCACCCTGAAATGGAACTCTTCTGTGTAATTATAACTAAGCTGTAGTGGTACATTTCACCCTAAAGTGGAACTCTTCTGTGTAATTATAACTAAGCTGTAGTGGTACATTTCACCCTAAAGTGGAACTCTTCTGTGTAATTATAACCAAGCTGTAGTGGTACATTTCACCCCGAAATGGAACTCTTCTGTGTAATTATAACTTAGCTGTAGTGGTACATTTCACCCCGAAATGGAACTCTTCTGTGTAATTATAACTAAGCTGTAGTGGTACATTTCACCCCGAAATGGTACTCTTCTGTGTAATTATAACTAAGCTGAAGTTTCCATTTAAGTGAGCTTCTCACCATCTAAATTGTCAAATTTGTAACTAGTTTCATTGATATTGTTTGAAATGGAATCAAATTTAAGAACGTTTCAACCAAAAATTGTGAAATCTTTGAGCCACAAAAATTACCAGCAATACATTATGTTCACAGAATATCAAAGCAATCATGTAGAAAAAATGACCTTGTTAGTCCTGGATCTTTCTCAGTCTTCTTTATAAACAATTCTATCAATTTTCTTTTGTATAAAGGGTCTGTGTAAGCTGGGGACATCCGGAGGCTCAGATGCCAGTAATAAGCCCATGGCTGAAGGGTCGACTCTGGCCATGGCAAAGTCATGCCGTCGGTAAGTTGTTACATTAAGCTTTTGACTAGCCTTTTGTGGCAGGTGAAAGGTAATATTTTATTGGCATTTTCTGCTCATTCCGTCTGATGATCAGTTGTTAATATTGCTCATCCTCCATGTTGGTTTCCTTATGAGTGCAGAAAAGGTTTTTTGGTATTTTTTTTTATTTTGGAATCATTTCTGATCATATACATACATATATAATGAAACAAAGGACAATAACATGCACTGCATTCTCATTATGATTCACACATACAGATACACGCTCTCTCACACACACCTGGATATCACTCACACATACAGATACACGCTGTCTCACACACACCTGGATATCACTCACACATACAGATACACGCTCTCTCACACACACCTGGATATCACTCACACATACAGATACACGCTCTCTCACAAACACCTGGATATCACTCACACATACAGATACACGCTCTCTCACACACACCTGAATATCACTCACACATACAGATACACGCTCTCTCACACACACCTGGATATCACCCACACATACAGATACACGCTCTCACACACATACAGATACACGCTCTCTCACACACACCTGCATACCATACTTGAACACTTATTGATATCCTTATTGAAGTCTACTTCTATTTAGTTTGTTTACACTTATATTACTCACACAGACACATTTGCATAAAGAAAAATTTAAGTAAAAAAAGGAAGGTGAAAGGAAAAGATGTGAAGTTCATGTCATTTCTATATTTGCTAGTTTTGCCACCAAAGTTTGATATTATAAATTCTTTTATATATATAAAAGCACAAGGTGACACAGAGCTTGATATGTGGAAAATATCTTTAAAGAGAGATGTGTAAAAAACCATTTTTATTAGATACATATTTGGCAAAACTGTCAGTCTTTAGTGTTTACTATTAAACATCAAGTCAAAAGAAGTTTCTCCACTTACTCCAGGTTTTGTGTGAAAACAGCTCCATATCACTGAGTCTAGAAGTATTGACTGGATTTGGATGCTGTTTTGTCAGAGTCAGTCTTGTGTCTAAGCCAGCCTTGTGACTTAATGTCTTATAGATCGAGAGCATGTTTCCACTAAGGAGAAGACAATGCATAGTTCTGTTTAGATGGACATCACAATAGCGTACATATATTATGCTGAAGAATATACTGTGGTTTTATTTGTTTAATCATTTTTTTCCTTCAGAAGCAGTAGTTTGTACAGTATTAAGCTGTGAATGTAAATATTGATATTGTAGGTTTCTTAATAACCCCAGTAAGGACGTCGATTTGCGACGATGGGCGACAGAAGGTCTTGCCTTTCTCACTCTGGATGCTGATGTTAAGGAAGATCTTGTCAACGACATCAGCGCCTTAAAGTCTCTAATAGATGTCACAGCTGTAAGGAATAGAAGAAATTTTACAGTTGTCATAGTGATTTCATTGATAAATATTGTAGTTTTTTGCATGTTAGTTTGCCTGTTGGTTTCGTTGTTGTATACCGCGACCTCATCTGAGAACGTGACATCACTTACTTGGATTGACCAATGTTGACATGGCAGGTATTGTTCTTATCACCCTTGTACTTATTCAGGAGTCTCTGGGTAAATCTTTCCTTTTGTTCATATTTTGCCCTAGTTTTACTGAATTTGAGTTTGGAATATAATTCTGTTGACATGTTGGTATTTTCTTGTTGTTTTTTTTACGCAGTAAATTTTGCTGAAGTTCAATTTGTCCAACAACTCTAATTCAGTGGAAAAGTGGAATATTTCATTTGGTTCCATTTTTAGCGGTCTTCTTTTCTCTGTGGTGTAAACATGGTTGTATGGAACCTTGTACAGCTGAATATAATGGCTGTTTTGAACATATGTTGCAGTCCCTAAGTTCTTCAGAATGCTATGAAATTATCCTTGTTAAAAGGGCTAATGTGTCCTTAGTAAATATTCTCACTCCAGTAGGATAACAGCCATCACAGCACCGTGGTGACTCCTTTGTTTTACACCTACCATAATATCACATGGTAATCATGTGACTGCCCATTGTCTTTTAGTGTTTAACAACATCCATGGCTTCACAGGATTGTCCTATGAATTAATGATCTTTCTTCTGAATTTGCTTTTGTATCAGAAATATCCAATTGACAAATGTTATTGATAAATGACACACTGTAGCAATGATGTACCAGCAAATAATTTTATATCAATATTCTCATTTAATTTTAATCATATCTGTGGTAAAGGAACTTTGCCCTGTAGTCTTGGCTAAAACATTGTCACTTAAATACTGTTTCCAGTTTATCTGCAGGTAATTCTACTGCATTTTGAAATTGTGATGTTAATTTCTTATTTAAGAAAGCAGAGAAGAATATTCTATACCCAGCTTCAACGGTTTTCGTGAATATCACAAACAGCTACGATCAGAAGGAGATGGTGCCTGAAATGATTGAGCTTGCAAAATATGCAAAACAGCATGTACCTGAGGAGCATGAAAAGGTCAGTAAGAGATCATCAAATTTTATACAGCTATAATTGATATATCTACTTTGTAATGAAGTTTGATGTTGTCTTTTCTCTATTTTACATTTTTTTTGTTGGTTAGGGGGCTAGGGTTTGTGTGTGTGTTGGGGGGGGGGGGGGGGGGGGGGGGGGGGGGGGCTAGGGTTTGTGTGTATGGGAGGGGAGGGGGCTAGGGTTTGTGTGTGGAGGGGCTAGGGTTTGTGTGTGTGTTGGGGGGGGGGGGGGGGGGGGCTAGAGTTTGTGTGTATGGGAGGGGAGGGGGCTAGGGTTTGTGGGGGGAGGATGTTGAGGTTCAGAGTTTCACTTAGGTTACTGGGTTCAATTCCCTGGATGAATATGGGTCACCTGCCTGATTACCGTATTTTACTGCAAATAAGCCCCCCCCACCCAGTTCAAATCCCCCTGTTCACGAGATGTACATGTGTCTGCCATCTTGGATTTTTCGTCATAATGAATGATAACTTGTCCTATCTGTCATCAAAAATAACCCAGAGGCGAAAATAGGATCAATAATTTTATTAACAATATAACAAAATATATTTTACTGAGATCAACGTATTCCAACGCTGAAACGCTGTTTCCAGCGGCGTAACCATCCATTGGAGGCTATGAAGTTGTCAATGTGGAGTTGGCTGGCGAGTTCTCTCCCCCTTGACTGCAGCCGATAATTGGCGACGGCTCAACCCTTGGCGCATTCCTGGATGAACCAGTCAAATACGGCGTTGTCAAGCTTGGACCTGGGCGCTAGGTTGGTGGGAAGCTTATTCTTCTTGGAGTCTGTTCCTTTTCCATGGCCAATAAGTTTCTCAGAGTCTCCGTCCCACTGTCTGACGAGTTTCCTGTCGACGGAGAAATCTCTTGCTGTCTGATGGAGATTTCGACCATTGTCCTGGAACCAGTAACGATGTCCAACTTCTCCCTAATTGTGTAACGTTTACGTGTAGCAGGCATGATTATTTGTGTCATGGATGGATTTTTACTCTCTATTTAACGACACTGATATGGCTTGGGACTCAACGTGTCAAAGTCTTCTCAAAACGTCAAAGTGACACTGTGTTGTTTTAGCATGTTTTGAGCGCGGCCCTCTCGCTCAGTCGCTGTGATTGTTACCAAATTATCACCAGTTGAAATAAAAAATAAGTGGTCACCTGTAAACACTACAAAAACAAGCCCCTAATAATTACACCTGGCGATTAAATGTAAGTACTGCTTTATCGTCGCACGTGTTTTTTTTTTTTTAAAAAGAAGGGAGGGGGGGGGCTTATTTGCCGGAGGGGCCTTATTTGCGGTGAAATACGTTACCTAGATTTTCTTGTGTACTCCTCTCAGAGTAAGACCCCTCACAAATTCCATGTGGGCCTTCGCGAGTGGAGAATTTCATATAACCTGTTTTTTGTTGTAAAGCTAATTAAGTTTATATTTTATTGATCTGTTGAGACCATCCTTATGCTTCACTCTTAGCAACCAGGTCTTGATTTCAATGACGTCTTTTACAGGACAAACCAGACTTTGTAAAGAAGCGTGTGATGGCTTTGGCAAATTATGGTGTAGTGACAGCTCTGGTAGCCCTTAGTAATGCAGATAGTAAAAATACGAGAGAACAACTTTCCAGGTAACTATGGGTGTCTCTCCTTGTTTCTGGTTTGGTCTGCTGGTCATATTATTATGTTTAGGCATGTCAGTATATCTCTGTATTCTTGGCATAAGTTGAATTATTCCATGTGACTTTTTTAGGGTGTTCTTGGCACTGACAACTGAGGAAGAACTGAGGGGATTAGTTGTTGCACAGGGTGGAGCCAAGGTAAGTCATACCTCATGGTCATAAGTTAGAATTAGTTGAAATCTGTAGGGTCATAAATGTACCTCAGGGTCAAAAGTAAGAATTTACTTAAGTCCCGAGGGTCTCACCTCAAGATCAAAGGTTAGAATTTAATGAAGTCCCGAGGGTCACACCTCAAGGTCAAAGGTTAGAATTTACTGAAGTCCAAAAGATCATACCTCAAGGTCAAAGGTTAGAATTTACTGAAGTCCCGAGGGTCACACCTCAACATCAAAGGTTAGAATTTACTGAAGTCCCAAAGATCATACCTCAAGGTCAAAGGTTAGAATTTACTGAAGTCCCAAAGATCATACCTCAAGGTCAAAGGTTAGAATTTACTGAAGTCCCAAAGATCATACCTCAAGGTCAAAGGTTAGAATTTACTGAAGTCCCAAAGATCCTACCTCAAGGTCAAAGGTTAGAATTTACTGAAGTCCCAAAGATCATACCTCAAGGTCAAAGGTTAGAATTTACTGAAGTCCCAAAGATCCTACCTCAAGGTCAAAGGTTAGAATTTACTGAAGTCCCAAAGATCATACCTCAAGGTCAAAGGTTAGAATTTACTGAAGTCCCAAAGATCATACCTCAAGGTCTAAATTTAGAATATAAGTCCTATCAAGACCAATGGTTAAAACTTAAAACTTAAAGGGTCACCCCTCAAGGTCAAAGGTTAGAACTTATGATAATTATATGGGTCTTACATCAAAGTCAAATGAAGAGTTAAATAAAACTCAAAGGGTCACCTCTCAAGGTCAAAGGATGGAACTAAAGATAATTATATGGGTCTTACATCAAAGTCAAAGATAGAATTAAGTAATATTTAAAGGATTACCCCTCAAGGTCCATGACTGTATTTAGAATTGTTAATGTTACTACAGCTAAGTTTTGTTTGTTCAGGCTTTGTTAGGTCTGGCCATGGAGAACAATACTGACAAGGGCCAGCCCCTGGCAGCTCAAGCTCTCGCCAAAATCACCATAACAATGAATCCAGAAACTACCTTCCCTGGCCAAAGGGTAAGCTCATTGAAAACTTTTTATTTTTTTTCAGCAAGGCAATTAATTTCCAGGGTATGTATACATATGTGACTTACGGTAATTCACCTTTAGGTAGTTTGCTGGAATATTTTTGTGGTGCTTCCCGTAGCTCAGGAGTGAAAATTTGACTTTAATAAAAGTAAGAATTGCATGAATATATATCTCAAAAGAAGTAAATATTTCTGTGTTTAATTCTGAATCAGTAAATGACAGATTTATCATCACAGTATGTTTTGGTAAAATATCATCATTTTGTTTCACAGATGTATGAAGTTGTAAGGCCCATGTTGAACCTCCTTCACATTGACAACACGGCTTTACAGAACTTTGAGGGTCTGATGGCTCTCACTAACTTATCCTCAATCAGTGACTCCCTAAGGTCAGTATTAAAATTCACTCCCTTGGAAGCAAGATAGAGATTTTCAACAAAAGAGAAAATGATTAAACTTCACACAAAGCTTGCCAAAGTAATTGAAACTTAATAATCTTTCCCTGAGGGTTGAGATCCTGCAATCTCAATGACAGGGGGAAAAATGTTTATTGTTATTTTACCTCACAACGTATTTATGAAAACTAATTTGGTACCATTTTGAAGTAAATGAAATATTTGTTGTTCAACTGAAACATTTTTAAATTTGAAAATAAGACTTGATTATTGTGAAATATTGACTGAAAATTTTTGGGGACCGATCCAAGGTATCACAGAAACGAAATCAGAACAATGAGTCAGTCAGAGTTACCAATACAAGGGAGATAACTGAACTCTGTGGTTGATTTCATGATTCCAGAAAGCGTATAGTTGCAGAGAAAGGTGTTTCTACAATTGAAAACTACATGACAGATGATCATGAAATGTTGTCACGAGCAGCAACTGAATGCATGTGTAACATGGTCATGAATGAAGATGTAAGTGAACAATTTTGCATTCACTTTTTTACTTTTAGATTGAAGAGATTTAATATAAAATATCTATTTGAATTCCTTTTTAGAAATTAAAGTCTTTTTGTTAGTCACCAATAGGCAACAGGTGGGGAATATAGTTTTGTGTTGTGTTCAAGAACAGGTGGGGACTATAGTTTTGTGTTGTGTTCAGGAAAAGGTGGGGACTATAATTTTGTGTTGTGTTCAGGAACAGGTGGGGAAAATAGATTTGTGTTGTGTTCAAGAACAGGAGGGGACTAAAGTTTTGTGTTGTGTCTGGAAACAGGTGGGACTATAGTTTTGTGTTGTGTCTGGGAACAGGTAGGGACTATAGTTGTGTGTTGTGTTCAAGAACAGGAGGGGACTAAAGTTTTGTGTTGTGTCTGGAAACAGGTGATGACTATAGTTTTATGTTGTGTCTGGAAACAGGTGGGGACTATAGTTTTGTGTTGTTTAGGAACAGATGGGGGCTATAGTTTTATGTTGTGTCTGGAAACAGGTGGGGCTATAGTTTTATGTTGTTTAGGAACAGATGGGGGCTATAGTTTTATGTTGTGTTTGGAAACAGGTGGGGACTATAGTTTTGTGTTGTATCTGGAAACAGGTGGGGACTATAGTTTTGTGTTGTTTAGGAACAGATGGGGGCTATAGTTTTATGTTGTGTCTGGAAACAGGTGGGGCTATAGTTTTATGTTGTTTAGGAACAGATGGGGGCTATAGTTTTATGTTGTGTTTGGAAACAGGTGGGGACTATAGTTTTGTGTTGTATCTGGAAACAGGTGGGGACTATAGTTTTGTGTTGTGTCTGGAAACAGGTGATGACTATAGTTTTATGTTGTGTCTGGAAACAGGTGGGGTTATAGTTTTGTGTTGTTTAGGAACAGATGGGGACTATAGTTTTATGTTGTGTTTGGAAACAGGAGGGGACTATAGTTTTGTGTTGTGTCTGGAAACAGGTGATGACTATAGTTTTATGTTGTCTGGAAACAAGTGGGGCTACAGTTTTGTGTTGTTTAGGAACAGGTGGGGGCTATAGTTTTGTGTTGTATCTGGAAACAGGTGGGGACTATAGTTTTATGTTGTGTTTGGAAACAGGTGGGGACTATAGTTTTGTGTTGTGTCTGGAAACAGGTGGGGACTATAGTTTTGTGTTGTGTCTGGAAACAGGTGGGGACTATAGTTTTATGTTGTGTCTGGAAACAGGTTGGGACTATAGTTTTATGTTGTGTCTGGAAACAGGTTGGGACTATAGTTTTGTGTTGTATCTGGAAACAGGTGGGGACTATAGTTTTGTGTTGTATCTGGAAACAGGTGGGGACTATAGTTTTGTGTTGTATCTGGAAACAGGTGGGGACTATAGTTTTATGTTGTGTCTGGAAACAGGTTCGGACTATAGTTTTGTGTTGTGTCAGGGAACAGGTTGGGACTATAGTTTTGTGTTGTGTCTGGAAACAGGTTGGGACTATAGTTTTGTGTTGTGTCTTGAAACAAGTTGGGACTATAGTTTTGTGTTGTGTCTTGAAACAAGTTGGGACTATATTTTTGTGTTGTGTCTGGAAACAGGTGGGGACTATAGTTTTGTGTTGTGTCTGGAAACAGGTGGGGCTATAGTTTTGTGTTGTGTCTGGAAACAGGTGGGGACTATAGTTTTATGTTGTGTCTGGAAACAGGTGGGGACTATAGTTTTGTGTTGTGTTTAGGAACAGGTGGGGACTATAGTTTTGTGTTGTATCTGGGAACAGATGGGGTCTATAGTTTTGTGTTGTGTTTAGGAACAGGTGGGGACTATAGTTTTATGTTGTGTCTGGAAACAGGTGGGGACTATAGTTTTATGTTGTGTTTAGGAACAGGTGGGGACTATAGTTTTATGTTGTGTTTGGAAACAGGTTGGGACTATAGTTTTGTGTTGTGTCTGGGAACAAGAGAGGACTATAGTTTTATGTTGTGTCTGGAAACAGGTTGGGACTATAATTTTATGTTGTGTCTGGAAACAGGTGGGGACTATAGTTTTGTGTTGTGTTTAGGAACAGGTGGGGACTATAGTTTTGTGTTGTTTAGGAACAGGTTGGGCTATAGTTTTGTGTTGTATCTGGAAACAGGTTGGGCTATAGTTTTGTGTTGTTTAGGAACAGGTGGGGACTATAGTTTTGTGTTGTATCTGGAAACAGGAGGGGACTATAGTTTTGTGTTGTATCTGGGAACAGATGGGGTCTATAGTTTTGTGTTGTGTTTAGGAACAGGTGGGGACTATAGTTTTATGTTGTGTTTGGAAACAGGTTGGGACTATAGTTTTGTGTTGTGTCTGGGAACAAGAGAGGACTATAGTTTTGTGTTGTATCTGGAAACAGGAGGGGACTATAGTTTTATGTTGTGTCTGGAAACAGGTGGGGACTATAGTTTTGTGTTGTGTTTGGAAACAGGTTGGGACTATAGTTTTGTGTTGTGTCTGGGAACAAGAGAGGACTATAGTTTTGTGTTGTATCTGGAAACAGGTGGGGACTATAGTTTTATGTTGTGTCTGGAAACAGGTGGGGACTATAGTTTTGTGTTGTTTAGGAACAGGTTGGGCTATAGTTTTGTGTTGTGTCTGGAAACAGGTGGGGGCTATAGTTTTGTGTTGTATCTGGAAACAGGAGGGGACTATAGTTTTGTGTTGTATCTGGGAACAGGTGGGGTCTATAGTTTTGTGTTGTGTTTAGGAACAGGTGGGGACTATAGTTTTATGTTGTGTCTGGAAACAGGTTGGGACTATAGTTTTGTGTTGTATCTGGAAACAGGTTGGGACTATAGTTTTGTGTTGTGTTCAGGAACAGGTGGGGAAAATAGATTTGTGTTGTGTTCAAGAACAGGAGGGGACTAAAGTTTTGTGTTGTGTCTGGAAACAGGTTGGGACTATAGTTTTGTGTTGTGTCTGGAAACAGGTAGGGACTATAGTTGTGTGTTGTGTTCAAGAACAGGAGGGGACTAAAGTTTTGTGTTGTGTCTGGAAACAGGTTGGCACTATAGTTTTGTGTTGTGTCTGGGAACAGGTAGGGACTATAGTTGTGTGTTGTGTTCAAGAACAGGAGGGGACTAAAGTGTTGTGTTGTGTCTGGAAACAGGAGGGGACTAAAGTTTTGTGTTGTGTCTGGAAACAGGTGATGACTATAGTTTTATGTTGTGTCTGGAAACAGGTGGGGCTATAGTTTTGTGTTGTTTAGGAACAGATGGGGGCTATAGTTTTATGTTGTGTTTGGAAACAGGAGGGGACTATAGTTTTGTGTTGTATCTGGAAACAGGTGGGGACTATAGTTTTGTGTTGTGTCTGGAAACAGGTGATGACTATAGTTTTATGTTGTGTCTGGAAACAGGTGGGGTTATAGTTTTGTGTTGTTTAGGAACAGATGGGGACTATAGTTTTATGTTGTGTTTGGAAACAGATGGGGACTGTAGTTTTGTGTTGTATCTGGAAACAGGTGGGGACTATAGTTTTGTGTTGTGTCTGGAAACAGGTGGGGACTATAGTTTTGTGTTGTGTCTGGAAACAGGTGATGACTATAGTTTTATGTTGTGTCTGGAAACAGGTGGGGACTATAGTTTTATGTTGTGTCTGGAAACAGGTGGGGACTATAGTTTTATGTTGTGTCTGGAAACAGGTTGGGACTATAGTTTTGTGTTGTATCTGGAAACAGGTGGGGACTATAGTTTTGTGTTGTATCTGGAAACAGGTGGGGACTATAGTTTTATGTTGTGTTTGGAAACAGGTGGGGACTATAGTTTTGTGTTGTATCTGGAAACAGGTGGGGACTATAGTTTTATGTTGTGTCTGGAAACAGGTTGGGACTATAGTTTTGTGTTGTGTCTGGGAACAGGTTGGGACTATAGTTTTGTGTTGTGTCTGGAGACAGGTTGGGACTATAGTTTTGTGTTGTGTCTGGAAACAGGTGGGGACTATAGTTTTGTGTTGTGTCTGGAAACAGGTTCGGACTATAGTTTTGTGTTGTGTCAGGGAACAGGTTGGGACTATAGTTTTGTGTTGTATCTGGAAACAGGTTGGGACTACAGTTTTGTGTTGTGTCTTGAAACAAGTTGGGACTATAGTTTTGTGTTGTGTCTTGAAACAAGTTGGGACTATATTTTTGTGTTGTGTCTGGAAACAGGTGGGGACTATAGTTTTGTGTTGTGTCTGGAAACAGGTGGGGCTATAGTTTTGTGTTGTGTCTGGAAACAGGTGGGGACTATAGTTTTATGTTGTGTCTGGAAACAGGTGGGGACTATAGTTTTGTGTTGTATCTGGAAACAGGTTGGGACTATAGTTTTGTGTTGTGTTCAGGAACAGGTGGGGAAGGTGTTGTGTCTATAGTTTTATGTTGTGTCTGGAAACTGGTGGGGACTATAGTTTTGTGTTGTATCTGGAAACAGGTGGGGACTATAGTTTTATGTTGTGTCTGGAAACAGGTGGGGACTATAGTTTTGTGTTGTGTCTGGAAACAGGTGGGGACTATAGTTTTATGTTGTGTCTGGAAACAGGTGGGGACTATAGTTTTGTGTTGTGTCTGGAAACAGGTGGGGACTATAGTTTTATGTTGTGTCTGGAAACAGGTTGGGACTATAGTTTTGTGTTGTATCTGGAAACAGGTTGGGACTATAGTTTTGTGTTATGTTCAGGAACAGAAGGGGACTATAGTTTTATGTTGTGTCTGGAAACTGGTGGGGACTATAGTTTTGTGTTGTATCTGGAAACAGGTGGGGACTATAGTTTTATGTTGTGTCTGGAAACAGGTGGGGACTATAGTTTTGTGTTGTGTCTGGAAACAGGTGGGGACTATAGTTTTGTGTTGTGTCTGGAAACAGGTTGGGACTATAGTTTTGTGTTGTGTCTGGAAACAGGTGGGGACTATAGTTTTATGTTGTGTCTGGAAACAGGTGGGGACTATAGTTTTATGTTGTGTCTGGAAACAGGTGGGGACTATAGTTTTATGTTGTGTCTGGAAACAGGTGGGGACTATAGTTTTATGTTGTGTCTGGAAACAGATGGGGTCTATAGTTTTATGTTGTGTTTGGAAACAGGTGGGGACTATAGTTTTATGTTGTGTTTGGAAACAGGAGGGGACTATAGTTTTGTATTGTGTCTGGAACAGGAGAAGAGTGTTTGGAAACAGGAGGGGACTATAGTTTTATGTTGTGTTTGGAAACAGGAGGGGACTATAGTTTTGTATTGTGTCTGGAACAGGAGAAGACTTTAGTTTTATGTTGTGTTTGGAAACAGGTGATGACTATAGTTTTATGTTGTGTTTGGAAACAGGAGGGGACTATAGTTTTGTATTGTGTCTGGAACAGGAGAAGACTTTAGTTTTATGTTGTGTTTGGAAACAGGAGGGGACTATAGTTTTATGTTGTGTTTGGAAACAGGAGGGGACTATAGTTTTGTATTGTGTCTGGAACAGGAGAAGACTTTAGTTTTATGTTGTGTTTGGAAACAGGAGGAGACTATAGTTTTATGTTGTGTTTGGAAACAGGAGGGGACTATAGTTTTGTATTGTGTCTGGAACAGGAGAAGACTTCAGTTTTGTGTTATGTTCAGGAACAGAAGGGGACTATAGTTTTATGTTGTGTTTGGAAACAGGAGGGGACTATAGTTTTATGTTGTGTTTATCCTTCTTTCAGTTATCTTTTCTGGGCCCTATCTTCTACAAAACTATCGTAGGAACTTTTACTTAGGATTAAGGAGATTGTGTCACATATCAAAAGTAGGTCACTCTGACCTTTGAACTACATCAAAAGTTTTTCCAGAGCCTATCTTCTACACTTCTTATTACTAAAACTTCATACTTTGGACTGGATCCACCTTGGTGAAGTGGTGTTGTGTGTGAAAAGTCGATCAATGTGACATATATTTTGACCTTTGACTTACGCCAAAGAAAACATTTTTCCAGACCCTATTTTCTACACTACTTATCATGAGAACTTCATATTTGGGATATGGGTTATGTGTATGAGACTGTGTCACTTTAACCAACATTTTGACCTAGGAAGTACATCAAAGAAAAATATTTGTCTGTGTTATCTCCTTCACTATATATAGTAAATGGCTGTTGCTAGGGGACTGTAATCTGTTAAATTAATTGTCTTCTGTTTATTCTTGTGTTTATTAGTAAAGTATGGATTTGTTCTACCTGCGCCTTATAATATATTATACTATAAACAAATTATGACTTGTAATATTGTACTGTACAGAAGTAATGACTTGTAATATTGTACTGTACACAAGTAATGAATTGTAATACTATACTCTACACAAGAAATGACTTTGTAATATTGTACTGTACACAAGTAATGAATTGTAATATTGTAATGTACACAAGTAGTGACTTTGTAATATTGTACTGTACACAAGTAATGACTTTGTAATATTGTACTGAACACAAGTAATGACTTAAATTTGATTGTACACAGGTAGTGAAGTTGTACGAGATGGAGAATGATAGAACAAAACTTATGACATTGTTTTGTGCTGAGGAAGACCCACATGTAGTGAAGGCTGCAGCAGGAGCGTTGGCCATACTCACACACAGTCCTGTTGTCTGTAACAAGGTGTTACAGGTAGGTTACATGTCTATAACACACACACAGTCCTGTTGTCTGTATCAAGGTGTTACAGGTAGGTTACATGTCTATAACACACAGTCCTGTTGTCTGTAACAAGGTGTTACAGGTAGGTTACATGTCTATAACACACAGTCCTGTTGTCTGTAACAAGGTGTTACAGGTAGGTTACATGTCTATAACACACAGTCCTGTTGTCTGTAACAAGGTGTTACAGGTAGGTTTGATTTTTCCAATTTTTTGATAAGTCCAAAGTACTTATCAAAAGCTTTTGCAGAAATGTAGAAAGCTAATATTTACAAAGAAATATGAGATATGTGAGGTGAAAAAAAGTTATTTCATATCAGTATTTTTCTTCTCTTTTATGAATTTCTGAACATATTTTGGACACCATTTGCATTTAATACTGTAAATGTATTGGAGCTGTACATGTTGTATTTAAGAGCTGAAATATCTTACCAAAATGATAATTACAATACTTCTGGTGAAAGAATGCTTTCAATGAATTGCTCCGAAAGAAAGGAACATACTCTTTTTGCAAATGGAGAAAAATTGTGTGTTCTTATTATACCCCCCCGCAACGAAGTTAGGGGGGGTATACTGGAATCAGGTTGTCCGTCTGTCCGTCCGTCTGTCTGTAGACACATTTTGTCCGGCTAACTCCTCCTAAACCTGTGAACCGATTTTGATGAAACTTTGCAGGAATATTAAGGATCATGTGTAGATATGCATGCCCCTTTCTTTTTTTGAAAATTTTGGTTGCCATGGTAACTGGTCACTATAAACAAGTTTTCTAATAAATGTCCATAACTCCTCAGTTATTTGACTGATTGTATTCAAACTTAGTAAAAAGATGTAATTCAGAAAGGCCAATAATTTGACATATTAGACGTTTCCCAAACTGTTACCGCGGAAACACAATCCTGGCCTCTGATTGGTCAAAATTTATATATTGTCCAATTTTGACCAAATTTGGTATATAGGGTTATTAGGGGATGCCAAACATTATAAAATAGGTTTCGTTGCCATGACAAACATGAGTGTTTAGTGTAGATCAAGAACATAACGGCAGACATTTTTTTGTCTCTGTGGCCCTTCAGTGGAAAATATTACTTCAATAAAGATGTAAGTATTGCAAGACTCTCTTGATCATGAACAACATGTATTCCACCCCTTCTGATTTCCAGAAATGCAGGCACATGCAGAATATGTCAATTACTCTCAGAATAACACTTTAACTTATCCATTGACTCGTTGCAGTGTGCGGGGGGTATTGGTCAGCCATCTAGGCGACATTTCTAGTTTTAACTCTACTTTTCACAAGAATGTTAAGAATAATGATTGTCATTTAATTTTGATGATTTAAGTCTGCTTTTTACAGGAATGTTAAGACCACTGTTGGATAGCCTTGTGGGAATTAAATTTTTTTTATAGATAAACCATTGATTCTGTAGATAGAACTTGATTACATCCCTTAACAAGCAGGAATGACACTAAAAAGACTTCTGTGGTTGCTGCTGTGGATGTGGCTGCCACACACCTAGTCTTTGTTGTTTTTAACTTACCGTTTAAATTTTGTTACAGGTCAACTCCTGGTACGAAATCCTCCAGGGTCTGGTGGTTGAAGAATCTCCAGAGGTCCAGCATCGAGGTTGTTACATTGTTATGAACCTGATGTGTGCTGATAAGGATATAGCTGCAAAACTTGTTGAAGGACAAATGTTGGAAATATTAATGGCTCTGAGTATTTTAGATGACCCATCACGTGTCCAGGCATGTAAATGTGTGACTACTGCTCTCGAAAAAGCTGTTGAATTTGAACTTATCAAAGCCTTACCTAAGAAGTCATGAAAACCCATAAGATGAAATTATGACTGAATGTGGAAGATGTCATTGCTAATTTCCCTTTAAAAAGGAACAAAGGTCTTTGAAGAGACTATTTTTCACATGATTGATAGGGCATGAAGATGACGGGCAGATTTTTTTCACTTCTGTCTAATCACACTCAATAATTTTTAAAATAACCAAAGCTGTATCCTTTGAATTAGAATAATGATAATAACAACAGTAATATTTTGGAATATTTTCTTCAGGTGAGCAATAGAATAGAAGTCCTTATAACACAACTAGTAGAATATTAGAGTGTGATGTTTCTATGACTACACGGCAACCTTCATCTTATAACACAACCAGAAGATTAGAGTGTGACGTTTTGATGTCTACATGGTCACCTTCATCTTATAACATAACCAGTGGAAGATTAGAGGTTAACTTCACAATCACCTTTATCATTTTGTCTGATGAAGATGATCTTGTAGTCATCAAAATGTCCACTGGTTGTTATAAGAACTCATATTTTAATTACAAAAAAGAAACAAATTAACAAATCTTAAAGACAAAATTCCAGAGGATTACTCGGCTGCAGCCAATTATTAGACCCTTTCTGTTTTAGGTCAGTTGAGACAAAGTCTCATGGTGACCTATTGTAATCATCTTTGTCCAGTGCCATGTGTTGTAAAACATGCATCTGTCAACAACTTAACAGTTTTGACCTTTTCTCAGAAACACCCTGAACTGATTTCAATGAACTTTTGCAGAAACTTTCCCTGGCCTACAATGATTCAAAATAGTGAATTATACAGTCCCCATGCCACAGGGGCCATAAGTGTCAAATTGACTCGGATTTCAAATATCTTCTTTACAACATCAACATATGATAGAAACAAATGTTCTTCATAGATGAAAGTGTCTTAAGGTGCTTTACTGCTTTACCAACAACATGAATTTCATGGCCCCAGGGTCTCACAATCCCCATGGGGAAGGGGGAAAATTCACTATAGTTTATATTGGAAAAATAGGTTTTTGAGCATAACTTCTTTCATTTCCATTGAAATGTTTCAAACTTGGTTTGAATTACGAGTGAAGGATGACGTCTAGACGGAATGCTTATATTGATCCTAACTGACCCCCAGGGACTGATGGGCAGGGCCAAAATGTCAAAAATCTTCTCAAGACCGAGATATGGTAGAATCAAATGCTCTTCATGAATGGAAGCTTCCTAAGGTGCTTTTATTACCGAAATAAGTCTCTCATTTCTTCCTGGGGAGGAAATGTTAGAAACTGTACTGTAATTTTCATAGAAAAATTGCATTTTTGAGAGCATAATGTTTATTTCCCGCTGGAAATAACTTCGTAAGAATCATTAGTATAGGATGACAGTTTTGATAGAATGCGTGTATTGACACTAGCCTATCATCATCAATGATTGTCACAATTTCTGTTCCTTGACACTTGATAACTATCATTTAACCTTTATATTCAATATTGCTTACCTCAGGTGACCATCACGGCTGCTAGGCCTCTTGTTTTATCAGATTCTAGTGTTAGAGCAGTACAGTACATCTTGTATTGGTAATAAACTTAACATGAATACAGAGCTACCGAATCTGACCATCCGATTCCTAGTTCAGGTGAACCTTCCTGTAGGCAGTTCTTGTTCAAATTCTATATTTTCATGACTCAATTTTCGTGGTTTTTTTTTTTTAATTTTCTGTCTAAAATGTTTAATTACTGTATTGTGGATAATTACTGCTTGTTTAAACAGTTGGTAGGATGTAGAATTCAATTCCCAAATTTCGAGTTCGAAGGTCATAAGCTGTATTTTCTTTTAAGAGATATTGATGCGATTTTCACATCACAGTTTCATGATACAACAGACCATGAGATACAATTCTGTATTCTTTGGGTTTGTCATATCTATCTTAATTGATTAACTTCTACATATTTGTCTTAATTTTTGAAGTTAATATCACATGAATGAAAGTTGGTGTACAGTAATAGTGTAATACATCTTTGTGTGGCTATTTAAAGAATTTCATTGTCAAATATAGTGTTACATATTCTGTGAAAGGATAAAATGTTTGTCTGTGGTATTTTTGATATTGTGTGGCTGAATTTCTCAAACTTGTCAAAGATTTTAGATATTTTTATAACATGTAAATATGTACACCCTGAAGTCTTCCATAATATCTGTATCACCATGTAAATCACTCTTTACTAATGTTGAAATTTTGAGATGTTTTGTTAAGAAAAGAAATAATATTGGTGAGTTAATTATCTTGTAGGACTAACATTTTGTGTTGGTCTTTATTGTGGCCATTTGATTGGCTGTGAAATGTTTGGTATTGAACTTCTCCCTCACCCCTCTAAGTAATGAGGGTATATAGCATTCACCGAGTCCATGATAACCTTGTGTACAAAATGTCTCACGAATCCAGGATTTAGTTCCTGTTTACATCATAGTATCAACTCACCAAAGTCTTTACCAATTTAGATTTTGGCAGTCATGGGTCAAGGGTAAATGTCAAAGGTCAACCTTGACTATAGATTTAGATGAGAAGAAAATGCGAATTCCTATTAACTTCGTTTTTATATCATCATGTCCGTGATATAGCAAGTCAAACCTCATTTGAATATCCAAGTTACTGTCAGATTTACATAGATATAGTCCAAACCTCAGTCCGGGAAAGATTATAGAGTAAACCTCAGCCTGGGAAAGATTATAGAGTAAACCTCAGCGAGGGAAAGGTAGACTGAACTCCTCGGCCTGGAAAGGCAGAAAAGACAAAACTGAGGATCCCTGTCTAGACCAATAAAATGTGAGTTTATTGCTAAATGTGGTGTTTTCACCAACATAATAATATTACATAGATACATGTTGTATCAAATGGTTAATAGGTGAAATCATGTTTATTGTAAATAATTTGTACAAAATCACAATTATTTATTGAAAATATTAATTTATAGTAACATTGATTTTATTGAAGTAGAATAAATTATTTCATAAACAATTTTGCAAATGAAGACTTTGAGCAATTAGGAAGATTTAAACTATTACCAGAATTACTTTTTTTTTTTAAGTTTGAAAAGTTCCAATGCCATATTGTTTTAGAAACTCAGATTTTGTTTTTACAATATATTTATGTATTAACTTAATTCTGGAAATTTAGTTTTCCTGTTCAAGTTGTGGATGGTGTATTATATAAAATAAATTCTTTTTTAACCATGGTTCAGATTATTGCAGTAACCAAAATATTTTAGTTAAAACTAATGTCTGTCAGTTTACATGATTAGAGTCACCTCCCCTTGAAGGTTACAGGATTAGAGTCACCTCCCCTTGATGTTTTTTTGTACCTGGAATTGGTCTCGTAGAGGCAGTTGTGAATGGTAACCATGGTTACATGAATCATACTACAAATAAATCATAAAAAAAGATACAAATTGTTTGTATAATTTATTGTAACACATTTTTGTACTCTCATTCATCAAAAAGATCTTTACTTACAACATTCCAGAGGGATCTTAGCACCCACCATTGTTTGATCTTTATTTGTTCTTTAAAAGTTGGATCTTTTCCCTTCTTTTCTCTGCTTTTGCTCTTCATTATATATTGAAGGTAAAAGTCACCCTCTTGAAATAACTGATAATCTTTAACTATGAAGGATGGTTGCCTGTTGGCCATATCCTTTTTATCTACATCAAAGGGGCACAAATAAGGATTAAGAGAACCTACATATGAAATGTGAGAAAGATTCATGTGTATATCTGAAGGAATAATGAAAACCAAATTTTTATTTTAAAAATCCAAGATGGCTGCCTTTCTGGTCTTGTTTTTGTGATCAGTCAGAAAATCAAAATTATTATTATAGTAAAACCAGTGAACAAATCTAACCTACATTTGAAATCTGAGAAAATCCATCTTAATCTTCCTTACAAAATAATGTTAACGATCTTCCATTGTCGAAATGACCATTCGTCATACATTTCCCCCCATGGTCAGTCCCAAAATCAAAAGGGCACAATTAGGGGCCATGGGATCTTCATATCCATCCAGTACTTCTAATGAAAGGAATGGTAATAACAAGACTGACTGACATGCATATCATAAATGTAAGGGTGATTTGAACAGCTCATCATGTATCTGAGGATGATGGGCTAAAATTGAAGTGATTCCTATTCTCATTTTTGGCTGGGTTGCACATAGTGCAAATCCAGGTTATAGTATGGTGAATGCAGGGTAGGTGGGTGGGCGGGGAAAAGGGGTACCAGTTTTGTAGAATCAACTTCTCCTAAAGTTTTTGACGGAGACGCTTGAAACTTTGTAGGATGCTTATATATATGTTGAAGATGTGCACCTCCCATTATGGATTCATTCTGGACAATTTTTCTAGATACTCACCGAATGAAACACCCTTAACTGTCTTATAAATACCATATAACATTGCACTCATCCCGCAACCCAGCCAATGGTGGCTTTGCCCCATTTTTTTCCTTGTCTTCAATCATTCTGCATACTGCCTAATATCAGACAAGGAATAAATAAAACCAAACAAACCTAAATAACAGTAACAACACTGGCTCTATGTCTGAATTGAAAAAATAATTTCTCACACACAGGTCTTGTCTTAATAACGTGACATCAATGTAATTTTTTTCAGTGTCATTTTGTAAAATAATGCACTTCCATTAGTAGCTCCTATAACAGTCTAATCTACTAATCCTGTAGAGGATACATAACTTCATGTATCCAACAAACATCTATTCCTCACCAATAACTTAACAGTTAGTCAATGCCAGTTTTGAGATAAATAAAAATAAAATCAGTTAGACCATTTTCGAGATCAATCCTGAAATGATTTCAGGTCAATACAACCGCTAAGGATTTCTAAAAAAAAAAAAAACAAGCTTAAATTCCAAAATGTGAATTCTGTTTGTTTTTCAAGATCAATACTGAACACATTACCACATATGTGAGAGAATACAAGTCATTATAAAGGATTATTAAACCACTATCAGAGTCATTATAGAGGTTTGTTAAACCACTATCAGTCATTATAAAGGTTTGTTAAACCACTATCAGTCATTATAACGGATTGTTAAACCACTATCAGTCATTATAAAGGTTTGTTAAACCACTATCAGTCATTATAAAGGTTTGTTAAACCACTATCAGTCATTATAAAGGTTTGTTAAACCACTATCAGTCATTATAAAGGTTTGTTAAACCACTATCAGAGTCATTATAGAGGTTTGTTAAACCACTATCAGTCATTATAAAGGTTTGTTAAACCACTATCAGAGTCATTATAACGGATTGTTAAACCACTATCAGAGTCATTATAAAGGTTTGTTAAACCACTATCAGAGTCATTATAAAGGTTTGTTAAACCACTATCAGAGTCATTATAGAGGTTTGTTAAACCACTATCAGTCATTATAAAGGATTGTTAAACCACTATCAGTCATTATAAAGGTTTGTTAAACCACTATCAGAGTCATTATAACGGATTGTTAAACCACTATCAGAGTCATTATAAAGGTTTGTTAAACCACTATCAGAGTCATTATAGAGGTTTGTTAAACCACTATCAGTCATTATAAAGGATTGTTAAACCACTATCAGTCATTATAACGGATTGTTAAACCACTATCAGAGTCATTATAAAGGTTTGTTAAACCACTATCAGAGTCATTATAAAGGTTTGTTAAACCACTATCAGAGTCATTATAGAGGTTTGTTAAACCACTATCAGTCATTATAAAGGATTGTTAAACCACTATCAGTCATTATAACGGATTGTTAAACCACTATCAGAGTCATTATAAAGGTTTGTTAAACCACTATCAGAGTCATTATAGAGGTTTGTTAAACCACTATCAGAGTCATTATAAAGGTTTGTTAAACCACTATCAGAGTCATTATAAAGGATTGTTAAACCACTATCAGAGTCATTATAGAGGTTTGTTAAACCACTATCAGTCATTATAAAGGATTGTTAAACCACTATCAGAGTCATTATAAAGGATTGTTAAACCACTATCAGAGTCATTATAAAGGTTTGTTAAACCACTATCAGAGTCATTATAAAGGTTTGTTAAACCACTATCAGAGTCATTATAAAGGATTGTTAAACCACTATCAGGGTCATTATAAAGGTTTGTTAAACCACTATCAGTCATTATAAAGGTTTGTTAAACCACTATCAGAGTCATTATAGAGGATTGTTAAACCACTATCAGAGTTATAAAGGATTGTTAAACCACTATCAGAGTCATTATAAAGGTTTGTTACACCACTATCAGAGTCATTATAAAGGTTTGTTAAACCACTATAGAGTCATTATAACGGATTATTAAACCACTATCAGAGTCATTATAGAGGTTTGTTAAACCACTATAGAGTCATTATAAAGGATTATTAAACCACTATCAGAGTCATTATAGAGGTTTGTTAAACCACTATCAGAGTCATTATAAAGGATTGTTAAACCACTATCAGTCATTATAAAGGTTTGTTAAACCACTATATATTATAGAGGTTTGCTAAACCACTATCAGTCATTATAAAGGTTTGTTACACCACTATCAGAGTCATTATAGAGGTTTGTTAAACCACTATCAGTCATTATAAAGGTTTGTTAAACCACTATCAGTCATTATAAAGGTTTGTTAAACCACTATCAGAGTCATTATAAAGGTTTTAAACCACTATCAGAGTTTATAAGGTTTGTTAAACCACTATCAGAGTCATTATAAAGGTTTGTTAAACCACTATCAGAGTCATTATAAAGTTAAACCACTATCAGAGTCATTATAAAGGTTTGTTAAACCACTATCAGTCATTATAAAGGTTTGTTAAACCACTATCAGAGTCATTATAAAGGTTTGTTAAACCACTATCAGAGTCATTATAGAGGTTTGTTAAACCACTATCAGTCATTATAAAGGTTTGTTACACCACTATCAGAGTCATTATAGAGGTTTGTTAAACCACTATCAGAGTCATTATAAAGGATTGTTAAACCATGATAGAGTCATTATAAAGGTTTGTTAAACCACTATCAGAGTCATTATAGAGGTTTGCTAAACCACTATCAGTCATTATAAAGGTTTGTTAAACCACTATCAGTCATTATAAAGGTTTGTTAAACCACTATCAGATTATAAAGGTCCACTATCAGAGTCATTATAGAGGTTTGTTAAACCACTATCAGTCATTATAAAGGTTTGTTAAACCACTATCAGTCATTATAAAGGTTTGTTAAACCACTATCAGAGTCATTATAAAGGTTTGTTAAACCACTATCAGAGTCATTATAAAGGTTTGTTAAACCACTATCAGAGTCATTATAAAGGTTTGTTAAACCACTATCAGAGTCATTATAAAGGTTTGTTAAACCACTATCAGTCATTATAAAGGTTTGTTAAACCACTATCAGAGTCATTATAAAGGTTTGTTAAACCACTATCAGAGTCATTATAAAGGATTGTTAAACCACTATCAGAGTCATTATAAAGGATTGTTAAACCACTATCAGAGTCATTATAAAGGTTTGTTAAACCACTATCAGTCATTATAAAGGTTTGTTAAACCACTATCAGAGTCATTATAAAGGTTTGTTAAACCACTATCAGAGTCATTATAAAGGTTTGTTAAACCACTATCAGAGTTTATAAAGGTTTGTTAAACCACTATCAGAGTCATTATAAAGGTTTGTTAAACAACTATCAGAGTCATTATAAAGGTTTGTTAAACCACTATCAGAGTCATTATAAAGGTTTGTTAAACCACTATCATATTATAAAGGTTTGTTAAACCACTATCAGAGTCATTATAAACCACTATCAGGTTTGTTAAACCACTATCAGAGTCATTATAAAGGTTTGTTAAACCACTATCAGAGTCATTATAGAGGTTTGTTAAACCACTATCAGTCATTATAAAGGTTTGTTAAACCACTATCAGAGTCATTATAAAGGTTTGTTAAACCACTATCAGAGTCATTATAAAGGATTGTTAAACCACTATCAGTCATTATAAAGGTTTGTTAAACCACTGTCAGTCATTATAAAGGTTTGTTAAACCACTATCAGAGTCATTATGAAGGTTTGTTAAACCACTATCAGTCATTATAAAGGTTTGTTAAACCACTATCAGTCATTATAAAGGTTTGTTAAACCACTATCAGAGTCATTATAAAGGTTTGTTAAACCACTATCAGTCATTATAAAGGTTTGTTAAACCACTATCAGAGTCATTATAAAGGTTTGTTAAACCACTATCAGAGTCATTATAAAGGTTTGTTAAACCACTATCAGAGTCATTATAAAGGATTGTTAAACCACTATCAGAGTCATTATAAAGGTTTGTTAAACCACTATCAGAGTCATTATAAAGGTTTGTTAAACCACTATCAGAGTCATTATAAAGGTTT